ATGATCATCATCCATTCTTTTTTATTTGGTGTTGGATTCCATGATCATCATCCATTCTTTTTTTTTTTGGTGTTGGATTCCAGTGATCATCCGTTCTTTTTTTTTTGGTTTTGTATTACAAGTCATTTTTTTGGATTACAAGCCATCATCCATTCTCTTTTATGGTTTTGGATTTCAAGCCATCATTCATCTCTTTTTGGTTTTGGATTTCAAGCCATCATTCATCTCTTTTTGGTTTTGGATTCTAGTTGTCATCATCCATCTCTCTTTTTGGTTTTGGATTCTAGTTGTCATCATCCATCTCTCTTTTTGGTTTTGGATTCTAGTTGTCATCATCCATCTCTCTTTTTGGTTTTGGATTCTAGTTGTCATCATCCATCTCTCTTTTTGGTTTTGGATTCTAGTTGTCATCATCCATCTCTCTTTTTGGTTTTGGATTCTAGTTGTCATCATCCATCTCTCTTTTTGGTTTTGGATTCTAGTTGTCATCATCCATCTCTCTTTTGGTTTTGGATTTCAAACCATCATCCACTCTTTTTTAAGGTTTTGGATTACAAGTTGCCACCGTTGCCATCATCATCCATCTCTTTCTTTATGATGTTGGATTCAAATGATCATCCATCTCTTTCTTTATGGTGTTGGATTCAAATGATCATCTATCCTTTTTTCTTTCTGGCTTTGGATTACAAGCGATCATCATCATCTCCTTGTTGGACTACAAGTTGGGGTCACAAGCGATCATCCATCCATCCATCCTTCCCTCCTCCTGGTCGTGGGCTTTGGGTCTTGGGTCAAGGCTTTCTTGCCACGGTTTTGGAGTCATCATCACAGCCCTCGATGGCTCCAAAATCGTGGCAAGCGAAAGGGTTTTGGGTCCCGGATTTTTTTTACGGGATATGGGTCATCGAAGATGACCCATATCATTATTATTAGAATTAGAAGTAGCTATAGTATAGTATTTACAACGTCAATAAAAAAGTTTGTTTTAAAAAAAATATATGAAAATTACAATATTACAATATGTGTTTATTATACAATATATGTTTAATGCAATTCAATGTTCATAAAGTATAGTTTTATTAAGTAATATGTGTACTATCTAATAGCGTATAAGTTAATACTGTATATATGTACTTCTTTAAACCCTAAGTAAAGCCAAGTAAAGCTTTATTCAGTAAATCGACTTGTAAAAAAAATTTTTTTCCCTATGGCTTTTACATGGGTGCACGGCGCGCGCCCTATTACATTAGGGTTTAAGGTATAATTGTTTCGATTAGAATGAAAGTTGTGGTAAGATGGGTCAGTGATGGATAAATAAACAAATGTACACAAATAGAGTATAAATAAAATTAAGTTGAAAGATAAAAATAAGTTTATTAGGTACATGTATTTTAAAAAATGTTATAAAAAAAGCAGTTCCAATCAATAGTATAGTGCAGTAATAATAAGGTTGATATAAAGTACAAGTTTGATGAATGATGATAATTAACGGTAGACGAGAGAAAGAGAGAGAGAGAGCAAGCAAGGCGGAACGAGACGATCAAAATGATATAGTTTGCACGCTTGTTTTGCTAAGGATGTTCACTAAGAATGTTGATAGTCCCTTTGTCGATTTAGATTCTGTTACAAAATGTGAATCAGTTAAGGTGGTTATGTTTTATGGCGTTACTTATCCTTGGCAAGTATGACGAATGAATGTATGAGGAATGAATAAAGGAAAAAAGTAAAGAAAACAAGTAAAAAATAAAATAAAATGATGTGGAAACGAAATAAAATAAAAAATGAAAAAAGTCCGAATAGATAAAAGGTAGCAATGTATTCTATATTGTACTGTACTAGTGACAGTAATGTATATACAACAGAAAGTAGATGAATTCTTTGTTATTTTCCGTTTTATTGCTGATAATATATGGGAATAGATCGAGTCGAATAGAAATATATAATAAAAAGAAAGAATTAATATGATTTCATACTCTTTCTACTTGCATTCATCTGTGATTTAATTTATTTTTAAGGAACCAGGTACAAAAGTTGGAATGTATAGTGATAACGATTGATAATGTTGAAATAATGTTGAAATAATCAAGTAATAATAACTAAATAGTGATAATGAATATGAATTTTATTAAAGAATGAAATTGATCTTATAAGTAAACTACCAGTAAAAAGAATCACTAATGACCCACAAATAAAGAATGAGAGAAAAAAGATCAAAAAGATACTTCTAATTGATGGTAAAGTCGAATCCAGTTGAATCCTATGATAATATATCCAGTTCATTCATGTCGTCCACCTTTTGGACAGTAGTATGTATCCATTGCTGTTTAATTCTGTTGATCTATTGTTGATCCTATTTTATGTTCGTCCATTTTGTAGATTCTGTTGTATGCCCTTCCATCTTTTTGATCCTACTGTATTCATTTATTTTGTTGATCCTATTACCTGTCCATCCATTCTGTAAATTCTGCTGTCTATCCATCAAGTTATTCCAGATGAATGGCCACGTCGCGTAGTATCCTATTGACATAAAGTTACAATGAGAAGCCTTTGTGTATCTAAATTTCTCTTACATTCAGTAATAATGATTAACCAGAATACCAGGTAGAAAAGATGATAAAGAAGAAAGAATAGTGGCCCTAGGTGGATAGATGTTGTAATATAAAGATCAGCGTCAGAAGAACGTATATATATAAAATAAAAGGAGAAAGGGAAGGTTAGAAAGAAGAAGAAAAGGACTTGTTCTTGAAACTTACCTTTAATAAGACTAAACATTTGTAAAGCCACATAGATAAAAGGAGAAGCATATAGTAAAATAAGTTGGACTGTATAAAAGAGATAAATAAATAAAAAAGAAAGAATAATAAGATTAGAATAATACCAGAGCTATTATCTTACTTTAATCAATCATATTTGTATCTAGAATATAGATTGAAATAAAAAAAAAAAGGATGATATTAATATCGTAGATAAAAATTGATGGTGTAATGAAATAGATTTACCTTATTAAACTTAAGTAATAATATGCTAAATATATATTTGTGTTTGGTTGTTTTAACTAGAAGGTAACTGTAAACACAAACTAAAGAAAAGAGAATGACTCAGTTAGTTCATTGAATACAATGAATATGCATAAAAAAGTCTTCTTTTATTTTACTTTACTTTGCTTTGTATTAAAATATAAACGTATAAATAAAAGAAGAAGAAGAGGAAGAAAAATTAAAACAAACGCGTTCTTTTTTTTTTTTATTTTTTTATTTTTATCTCAGCGGACAAAGTAAAAAAAAAATCTGAGGGTTGATTTATATCAATGTAGCCCTATTGATTATTACAGTGAAATGATAATAAGAACGACAATAAATAAAAGATATGATTTAAAAATAAGTAATATGTTATTGTAAGAATATAACTAGTAAATACTAACTATATAACATAAGAAATCAAATAAAGATATCAATCAACGGTATGTTTGTATCATTTCTATGCTATTGTTGTTGTTAATAATAGTATGTATCCTCCAATTGATTTTGTAACCTATTATTATTATTATTTATCCATCCTACCCATATCAAGTTCATCCTGTTATACATCTCTTTGGTCTTTTTATTTTTTCATCAGTGGTTTAAGAGAAAAAGAAAGAATAAGAATAATAAATAATTTATTTATTTATTTTATTTATTAAAAAGAGTATTCTTCAATAGTTTAAAGATAAATATAATATACGTATTATTATATTTGATGTGTTTAATGTATTTAAAGAAAAAGAAAAGTAAAAAAAAAAAAAAAAAAAAAGAAAGGGGAAAAGTATGTGTGTGTGTGTGAGAGAGAGAGAGAATTGACAAGGGAAAGAATCAAAAAAAAAAAAAATTAAAAGTCAGTCGGATGTGCAAAAAAAAAAAAAATGGAGACCACAGGTCCAAAAAAAAAAAAACCTGAGACAGACCAAAAAAAAAAAAAGATCTGAGAGACAAAAAAAAAAAAAAAACCAAGCTTGGGACAAATTGAGGTCCCTGGTTTTTTTTTTATTTTTTTATTTTTTTTTATTTTTTCTTTTCTCTCTCACTCTTTATTTTATCTATCTTTTATAGTATCACTTCTAATAACGAACACAACAATGTAAAACACAATGAAATAAAAATACTCAAACTTGAAGATATAATAAGAACTGTAGATATAATGAGTAACTAATAGTTTTATTATTATATTTAATACACACACTGGATATTAATCTAATACACGAATAGACCTAACTTTATTACTCAAAAGCTAATCAATTTATGTGCAAAGTACTTTTTTTAAAGGCCCTTCTCTACTTGGTTAGTTTCTCTTGGACGTAGGTTGGACATAAGGTGGACTTTTACAACTTTTTTTTTTTTTTTTTTTACTTTCTCTATATATAAAAGCTTATTTTTTTACAGACTTTGGTCTCTTTATTACTTCAGTATCATCTAGACATTATTCTTTTCCTCTCTTGGTTCGTTGCTGTTAGATATTGTCTAGTTAGTCAATGCTAACCATGGTAAGTCTAAAAAAAAAAAAAAAAGGTGAAAGACAAACCTAGATACTTACTACTGTCATCTTTTTTTCTGTTTTAAGATGTACAATGGGACAAGTTGAATGGACGTAGGAGGACACAAAGGGAACAAGCTGGATGGATGGGCATGCAACTGGATCAACTAGATAAACAGATGATTAAAAGGAATGGAATACATACAATGATAGAGTAAACAACGTGGAGAACGACATCAACAGGATGGATAGATGACAGCATTTTACTTTTTGCTCTGGATCTTAATCATACTGACTCTTTGATGGATAGATACAGTTGTCTATAGCATATAGTATAATTTATCATCTTCTTCAATAAAATCATATTCATATTATATCATTGTTTTTATTTATTGTGATCATAACTATACTACATAACTATAGTAATAAAATAGCTACACTATAAGGATAACGTTCACCAGGACCAACTAATGCCACCTCCAAGATAATGAATCTTTCCAAACCAAATACCGCCAATGTCAGGACTTAACAAGGACTCCAGCATGAAACAACACGATCAACAGACAATAACTGAATTTCCTACGTATTGCATTTTGCCCTCCACCTACTTGAGCACAAAATTCAACCACTAGATTCATAAACGATTCTAGAGATTGATCATCCTCGACCAAGTCCTTTGCCCGTAAATAAACAAAGCTCAATACACCATGATCTTCGTCTAACCAAAAAGCTAAGCATAAAGTAATGATGATCATTCAACATTTGATTGTATAGACCGCTATCCTGATACCTAACAAATAAAAAAAATAAAAAAACACAGTGAGTAGTAATCCATCGATCTTATTCACTTTTTTTTTCTTTTATATATACTTACTATCAGGCGTCGATATTGATGTACCAATCATAAAAACCAACATGAAAGAGATAACCAAAAGCATTTTACGTATAGTATACTTTGTTGACTTTTTATCAAAGAGAATGGAGATAACCAAAAGAACAGGAACAGTAGCCTAAGACCACGAGAGAGAATGAAAATAGGGAAACACCATATCAAGCGGGAAAAAAAAACAAAGGACAAAGACCAACAATGCAGGAAAAAAGATCTTGAAGAAAACAACACCACAATGAGAGGGAGAGAAAAAGAGAGTCCAACCAAATAGAAAAAAACAAAATAAGATGAGCCACCTTTTGTTCTTGTTGTTTCAAGATGTTCTTGCGAATTTTACCACTTCTGCGCTAATTCTTTTAATTCATTACTAAACGGTAATGGTATCCAAAGTGTTCTTCAACCAATATTTGGCTTGATAATGCTGGTAGAAATATGAAAGGCGCAGAATGAGCTAGAGTTTGTCACGTTAAAAAAAAAAAACGTGAATTAAACAAGAAAAGCGAAGAAAAAGGAAAGAATGGTACGATAATGGAGTTTTAAATTTGTTCTTTTTATCATTGCCTTTAGAGTTTTATATTCTGAACCTTTTTCTTTCTTTTCCGTAAAAGAAATTTACGCGTCGAGTTTCTCGTAATGGAGCAAGCTAATGAATAAAATGATATTATATGACTTACACTATTTTTATGAGAAGAATACACTGGTACAATAGTATTGTATAACGATGAAAATTGAATGAGAAATCATGACATTGTCCTTTATTTTTTAAATAACTCTACAAATGGCAAGGTAACATGTAAAGTGTCATTAATACGAATGAAAGGTAATATGATTATGTATCTTTATTCCAAATTTGATACAATGATGATGAATATTGAGTCAGTTACAGAATTCAATGACGAAGAGAGTATGAAATTTGTATCTATTCACTGATGATTTTCTTTATGATATATGTATCCAACTATATTGATGTTGCTAAAGATCATTTTATAAAAACTTTATTCTACACTGAGACAGGATTCAGAAAAACAATAATAATAATAAAAAAAAACCTTTACAGTATTACTACTCCTTCTTTCCATAACTTGCAATCAATTTCGCTTCCACATTGGTCTTGATTTTTTGATTAGCCTTATGCAAAATTTTGGCAAAATCCATAGGGTCTGTTGTAGTACGCACTCCCAAATATTTGTTGACATTCCCGCCTTCCAAATTAATGATAAAATAACCCTGATCATCAGTGACTTGGTGGTCTCTTTCAATCAAACGTGGATGCATTATATTTTTCAAGGAACGTGGAACTAATGGTTTACATGGGATGATGTCAATAGCAACACAGGATAGTTTTTGTTCTACATAGGGACCCGCAAACGATTGACCTATAGGAAGTTGGCGCATATGACAGCAAATATTGACTAATACTGGCTCTATAGTAGATACGAAGTCAGGTATACACCAATTCCACAGCCCGGAAGAGACAGCCTGCCACCAAAAAAATGGGAATTGAATGCTCGCCTTTAGCATTACATTTATATCATCACAGCATATAATCCATCCTTACAACGCGCGCCATCATGCGGAATGAGCTAATGTTGGACTTGGTTATCGAAAATCCCCTTCCACGATGATATACTTAAAACTAATCTTGACATCGAACCTCGTATCAATGACATTTTCAGAACCTACTGAAGAATTGATTGAAGCACTAAACATGGACTTCCGTATCTGGCCATCAAGGTATAGTGGGAACAATAGGAGAAACAGAAACGGCAGGAACAATCGCCAGCACAAAAGGAGAACGATGGAGAAGAAAGAAGAGGAGAAGCGGCGGCAGAGGAGGAACAAGGGAGGGGAAATAGAGGAAGGATGAAATGGCTGCATAAATCCAAAGGTACCATCCAGAATATGAACACCAGTAGTAAAATATTGTTTCAGTAGGTAAGCCACGCAGAGGTTAATATGATCAGAATTGGACACCAAATTCACCAAGTTGTTAGATAAAGATATATAGTCCAAGTTTTACTTTTGAGCTGTTGTATAACTCTCTGAAGAGCACTTTTCTGGGATAAATTGAAGCATTTGTCACTAGTGGCAGATATGGATAGAAAATAGAACTTCAGCACTCTTTCCTCGAGTGAATAGGAGGAACTAAAATGGCCAATATCATCCAACACCGAGTCAAAGATTGAGCATGGTAAAGACGAGGAAGGAACTACAGGATAAAAAGAAGAAAAAACGGAGTTAGGTCGCATTCTTTTATGAAAAAAAAAAAAAAAGAATTGAATAGTTTATTACCTAAAGTCATAATAATATTACTTTATAATTAGCAGTCGTTATTAGAGGAATACATGGAATAGTAAAAGTAAACAAATAAGAAGAAGAAGAAAAAAAAAATGTTAAACGCGCTAGTGATAAATAAAGATGACTTGGCGGACTAAAATTAACTCGTGTGTGAGAAAAGAAAAAAAAAAAAAAAAAAGAGCGTTCGACACTTTTCCTTTTCTTCTTTTTTTAAAAGTATTCAACTTGACTTTTTATCTCTTTTTACTTTCTCTTCTTTATTCAATAACTATCAAGTAATATCATTAATGACACTTTTGGTAATATAATTATATAAAGTAAAACTGAAAACAAAACTGACTATTTTTTTTTCTATACATAGACACGACCAAGTCAATCGATAAAAAAATACAACCAACCATAAGTACTTTGCTCAATACAAAAAAACACATTTGAGTCAATGCGGTAAGGGAAAATAAAAAAAAAAAGATGAAAAATACTGATAAAAAAAGAATTCTTTTTATCTATCAGTCATAGTAATTATTACTTTCCTACTGATGATTTTGAAAGAACAAGTCGAATAATGTAACATCACCTGATGTCACACGAAATGGTTGGATTTTATGTATGGCAGATTTGTAACTGTGAAGTAGATATAGGAATTTGAAAATTTCTTTTTCTCTTTTTATATCTTCATGTCTTTTGGTTATCATCTTACTAGGAAACAAGCTTTTATCGTCCCTCAACATGGTCATCCACAAATGAATACCATCAGGAACAACATTAATGAAAAGACAGCAGCACTCGGATGACATTTTGGCATTATCTCGTCATGATCATCATTCTTGTGGAATTGAAATCAGCATCAACAAATCATCAACATACAAAGCATTATCATCAAGCACAGTCATCATACATTATCCCTCAGTCTCACTGAAGTAAGATCACTCTAGTATCATCATCATCATCATTCGCAAATAGCAGGGGAATGATTCAAAGTAGGATAGAAAAAAAAAATGAAAAGAGTGTTACAATAACTACATACGATCGTCTTTCTCATTCCATTTCTAATCTAGTTTTTTTTTTTTTTAGTCATTAGTGCCGTTACTATGGCCAATCAACATGATCAAGGTTATACATCATACCACTAATTGTGATGCTATCAATCAAAAGCGATGTAACTGAGGGTAGTTTTTTTTTTTTTTTTTTACACGCAAATCATTCAAATCTCATTACTATGATATCCTATTCCTTTCATTTCCTCTATACATTATTACAGACAATCACTATTATTAAAAGTAAGTTTAAAAATACAAGATAATTATTTTTTTTTCTATGATCAATTTAGATAACTAGGTGAATGACAAAGGTTGAAATGTAGGATACTGGATGGACATTGTTTTTTGGGATAGTGGTATAGCTAGATTAGACCTTATATTTATAGTATGTATGACTTTTGAAATAAAATTGAAGGGCTTTATTAGAATGAAACGATGTTCTTTTTTTTTATTTATTGAAAGCACAATCAAAATCATCTTCATCATTAATACTAATTCTTAGAGTGGCCTCTATGACATGGATGATGCCTTTTAAGATGATTATATTACGTTCAAACTGATGATAGTAATGACACTAAGAATACTATAGTAATAGAAGATCTTTAAAAACAACATCATTCTATTTCCATGATACAGTAACCACTTTAAGTCTAGTTTCCCATATATATTTGTATAAAGTGTAAATGAATTATCTTTTTTTTTATTATTATTATTAAGAGTAAGATTATTATCTATATAAATCAGCTAATTGAATCTGACTAATGGGGGCATGAATCACAAGTAGATGTTCATTATTGGGTATAAGATTGCCTATGAACAAGATATAATAAACTAGAAAACAACCAATGATGGCAACACCATCAAACACGTAAAAAGTCCATTCGGTGGTTGCTATGGGACCATCATAGCCCGTAGTGATGTCAACGACCCAATAGACAAAACGAATATACTGTAATACGATGGTCGTAAATAAACAAGCCATGACCTTTTTTTTAGCACAAGGTATCTCGACGAGTGTGAGGGATCTGATGTCCACCACTCGGTAATCAAATCTTGATTGGTGATACACATAAATTGACATCATCATAAACAAGGCAAAGAAAATCAATTGTATAGCGATGCCAATTAAAATGATGATCTGACCTATGGTTTGCATATCATCATGTTTTGCTTGTAATCCACCACCTATACCTTGAAGCAAGAAAGAAAGAATGTCACTAGAAAAAAAGAGTCGAGTTATAAATTTAGGAGAAAGGTAAAATGGATCAGATGGATGGGTAATAGATGATCCAATGTTTATTTGCTGATCTGTCTGTATGGCAATGATCTTCGCCAGAGTCTTGTAGTTGACAACTGCCAGGGCATTGGGAGCAAGAAGAAGAAAAAGATGCATCATGATGTATTTTACAAGGGTGGTTTGGTAAACACATGCTGTTCGAAATCCATACCCAATGGCTTCTGCTACTGCTGTACCAGGTAAAATGTATAACCATTTACCACACTTGCTCCGATGAATACGATAAACAAATGCTAATGTAATTACGGCAAACATGGCAATAAATAATTCTGGGACAATGTCAATAGGTTGATAATAAAAATAATCAATTGCTTCTTGATCTGATTCCATAGAGTATTTATGGGTTAAGAAAAAGAGAACGAGAAAGGAGTAAAAAAAAAAAAAAAAAACCAATCAATCACATGTACCTTTTCTTTTTTTTTTTTTTTTTGTAATGATTATACTTTTACAATGCCAAGAGACATAATAAAGGTAAGCGGACAATATTCTTTTTTTTTTTTTTTTCAAAGTTTCCCTGGTGATGTTGTATGTGTCTTCAATCCTATTTTGTGATCTGCCAAGAAAGTTCGGGGACTAATCAATAATTATAGGTATCTGAAATTGCCTGAAAATGTAAGCCCGATGACCATAAATTTTTATCTTTCTTATATCATCTTGTTTTCAAACATTGAATTAATCAATAGGGAAAATATAAATTAGGTAAAGAAATATACATCCTATTGGATGTATATTATTGGATTTCTCCAAAGAAGGATGATATCAATTGATTGGCAGAAGGCAGAAAAGAAGAGAGAGAGGAAATGAGAGAGATGGATGATCTTTTCATTCCCTGATAATATGTATTGATTGGGATCTGATATTGTTTTACTTTTTATTTGAATCAATGTTTTTTTTCTTTTCCTGTTGTTCCCAATATTACTAATGTTAAAAGTTACTTTTTTAGTATCACCGCGATAATTATCATCATACTATCATCATTGATGAAATTATATACTCCATTATCTATTCATCATGATACCATCGTCCATCATTATAACAACAGCCACTATAATGATTAACATCATTTTCTTAAAATTATCATCAGAAATAAATTCAGGCTCACTTTTTCTGTTCTTGGTGAACTTTTGAAACTGCGATGTCAAGGGCTTGCAATCCGAAAAAAAAAAAAAAATTGATTTTTCTTTCTGGCTCTTTTGCAAACTCAACATAATGACAAAGTACAAAAAAAAAAAATGGATTCCTTGTTGTCTTAGTTTATCTCGACTTGTTTGTACTCACTTTTATTTCTATGTTATTAATAGATCGCACGAATTGGAAGACCTTTCAGATGATGAAGCTTTATTTGAAGAACTAGAAAGGGATGATGATGATGCCATGGCCAAGATACGGGAACAACGTATTCGAGAAATCCAACAAGAGTAAGTCAAGTCAGATATGATTTATGCCACAACTCATCTTTTTTTTTTTTTGAATAGATTGGAACGACGTCAAGTGTTACAAGATAATCAACATGGGATCTATACTGAAATCGAAAAGGAAAAAGAATTCATGGACACTACAGTGAAAGAAAAGTATATGGTGGGGCACTTTTATCATAAGGATTTCCGACGTTGTAAGATTATGGACTCTCATTTGGAACAATTAGCAGAAAAATTCCCTGATACCCGGTTTGTCAAGATTAGTGTGGAAAATGCTCCTTTCTTGGTGGAAAAATTACAGGTTCGCGTGTTGCCTTGTGTCATGGGTTGGGTGGATGGTTTTATCAAAACAAAGTAAGTCTCTTTTTTACTTTCTCTCCCCCTTTTTTGTTGTTGTTTAAAAAAATAAAATAACCATATTTTGTTATGATTTTATAGGTTGGTAGGATTTGATGAACTAGGCAATACAGATGATTTTAGCACCAATATGTTACAAGTACAACTAGTGAATGCAGGTAAATATAATTAAAAAAAGAAAAGTTAAAAGGGATGGCTTTAGAGATTAATATCATGTTATTAGGTGTGATTCGGAAGAAGGAACAAACTACCATACAACAAAAGAAATCCATTTTCCAAAAAGTGGATAGTGATGATGAAGATTATGACGACTGATAGTATTCCCCATGAGTTACTTTTTTTTTTTTATCTCTGTTTGACAACAACAACAATATATATATATATACAACATACCCATCCATTCTATTTTTTTTATTGTGTTTAGTTTTAGTATTGTAATGTTGAAATAAAAACAAATTATTTTAGAGTGTATGGATGTCGATAATAATGATAGTTTAAGTTTTTGTAGCCATTGTGAGAATAGATGCCGCAGAAGAATGATTATCCATTTGTTGCTGTTGAATTGCTTCAGAACGTGTCATCCTTCCACGGAACAAAAGACTTAATATCATCATAACTCCTGCTGTTGCGGCTTGAAAGACAAGTGCGTTAAACATATTCCTTGGGGGAAACGCTTGATCACTTGCACGTAAGCTATCCATGATGAGAACAAAAACAAAGCCAAAGATCTGAGATCCTTGCCAAAGAAGGGAATTGCTAGAAGCCTCAGCAACAGGATAAGAAGCTTCACAGTAGAAAAAAAAAAAAAAGAAATGAATTGAGGTTGAAGTGTACCATATGATATGTCTGTAATATAGCTTACTTTCACTACCCAATTCAACCACCACTGGTACAAGGAACGATAGAAAGAATTGATTCAAACAAGTGACAAATAATACTGATGCAAATGCGTCACGTTGAACTAAAAAAAAAAAAAAAAAAAAAAAAAAAAAAAGACAAGATGAATGACAATGAAAAATATAATAGTTTTATGCGTCGCTTTTCTTTACTCATGAATACAAAACCAAGATCAGTAATAAGAACCATTGGTGCAATCAATTTTAGAAATAATATATGTTGTTTTGTCTTATCCAAGACAGGTCCAGCCACGGCTGATCATCATAATTTAAATTAAAAAAAAAAAAAAGTGAATATATAACAAGATCTTTCATGATGAACACTTACCACAACCTAAAGTACCAGCAAAAAAGGCCACAGCATTTAATTGACCTGCTTGTGCATCAGTATATCCAAAGGGGGAAATGATTTGAGTAAAAACTGTACTAAATGCAACCGATAGACCAACATTTAGTCCATGAATAAGAAATAGTAGCCAAAAATCAATATTCTTGCAAAGTAATTTTAATCCTTGAAAAAAGGATGGTTTCTGATGAAAGGTCTCTTTATCATCTCCTGACATTTTCAAAGTAGGTGGTGTTGGTGGTTTGGCTGGCATAAATACTAATGGAATTGTCGATCCTCCTGCTATTAATGCTATAATCAATGTCTTGATTTTTTTTTTTTTGATAAAATGAAAATGAAAAGCATACATGATATGAATAATCAAAGATTAATAATTGATCATCAGAGAATTGTTGTTTCCTTTGAATACGTGTTAAAAAAAAAAAAAGAGAATTTACTTACATTCATTGGTATATGATTCACTTGTTTGACAATATTGGGAATCATAAATAATCCTAAAATAGCGCCAAGATTTACAGCTATATAATAAAATAGAAACTTAATAGATCTGGGATAATATATATATATATATTTTGAATTCTTACCAATACACATGCCAGCAGTTGCTCGCCTATTTTCTGTGAACCATGTAGAAACGAACTAATAATAAATGAATTTTTGTCAATCATATATAAAGAATAATAATCATCTAATGTATATTTACCATGGTCATAATATTCAGTGATAAAGGATCTGAAATGGCACCAATAGTTTGACCCACCATGGCCAAAGCGAAAGATGGGGGTTGAAGAATGACAGCCACATACCGTAAAGTGGCTCCAACGCTAATAAAACAACCAGCTATTATTAACTTTATATAAAAACGATAAAAATGAAATTGAGTTCAATAGATCTCTCCTGTTCCCCTCCTTTTTTTTTTTTTTTTTGATCCATCTCTACCCTTCCCCTGTATACTTTACCGATGGTTTGACACCCAATTTTTCAAAAATCCAACCAGTGAAAAAACTAATGATCACATAAACCAACCCTTGTATATTGGCCAACCAATTGACAGCAGAGAGTGAAACATGAAAAAATTCTGAAGTGATAGTAGGTACCACACTAAACGTAAATTGAAAGACTTGCACAGATGTTCTTAACAATACCAAGAAGAATAATACCATCCATGCTTGTGGATATGTTCTAGGCACATGACATGAACCCTTTTCAACTTGATCTTGTTCCATTTTGCCCTCGTTTTCCACAATCGTACATCCTACAGATTCAATACTATCTTGTGTGCTTTTCGAAAAAAAGGATTCAGACGTCTTCATGGTGGTCAAAGTATTTGGATCGTTTCTAGGTAATTCATTTCGTGGCATGATTGACAACAGTTGGATGAGTGTTTACAATCCTATAAAAAAAAATAAAAAAAAATAAAAAAAAATAAAATAAAAAAAAAAAAGCTAAAGAAAGGAGACCTTTTGAAATTCTGCATTTTCTTTTTTTTTTTTTTTGTTGTATGTCTGCAAACTCGAAAATTCTGTACAAGTCCTGAAGGAGAGAGAGAGAGAGACAGAAAGGAGGATCTACCTGTCATCTTCCAAATGTCTCTTTTTTTGTTGTTTTAGTTTCAATTAAAATAAATAGCTTATATAAAAAAACCAATTTTTTTTTCTTGGAACTAAAAATCATGCAATAACATTATCTTATCATTTATGCCACAAGATCAAAATGACAATTTATCGTTAGTGTATCAAACAGTAAAAATATGCAGTCTAGTCGCACTATTGTAACGATAATGAATCATCCATGTCGTCAAATAAAAAGAATAACAAGTATATTATGAAATATGTAAAATAAATATAAATAGATAGATCTACTTTTTTCTTTTTTTTTTTTGTCATGGTACAAAAAAAAAAAAAAACATTCATCTTTTTTTTTTATTGAGATTTCTTTTTAATATCGCTACTACTACTACTACGACTACCCCAAGTGGCCAACCAAACAGTACTAAAGACCAAGAAACCGATAATCATACTTCCAACCGATGTATAGTAAGGATAAGCAGCCACCAAGAAACGAGGATATTCATTGTGACGGAAAGGACGAATGGCCACAACATCTTCAGCCAAAAGATAAGTCCAACCAGGTCGTTTGTAATTGACTTTAAAAGTGAATACACCATATACATCAGGAAGAGTTAGATGAGATATAAAACGTCCATAATGATGTTGCGTTGTTGCTGGAGTTTCATCCTTCAATGTAGTGCGAATATAAGGGTCAAGCATGATCACTTCCAATTGAATATCGTCCGAATGGAAAGGAACCCAATGATCATCCTTATATTCCGCCACTTCCAATACATAGACAATATTATCCTTAATGCGATACCATTCCAATTGTTCTGTGCTGTTTTCCTTATGATGGCGATGATCTACTACTTTCAAAACACCCTTTTCTTGGAATGTCCATTTTGTTAATTCCTTGATAAATCCTTCATTGCCTTGTAATTTTGCTGATTCAAATCTAAACCAATACAAACAAAAAAAAAAAAAATGAATAAATTTAACTATTGGCCAGTCATATATATATATATATATATATATATTTTACCCTTTAACATCCCCAGTCCAAAATTCATCAGAAAAAAAATCTAAAGAACCAGAAAAAGTAACTCGACTGGATTGACGAGTTTGCATAGCAGCAATCAAATCTACCTTGTTGTGATCCTTTTCATTGTATACTTCACCACTGACAGCATTCTTTTCACTTGTCAAGATTCGATTTAGTAAAGGTAATTTGCCAGGAAGTAAACCAATACCACGATAAAGAAGACCAGAAGAAATAATGGAAGTATCAATAATAGGTGTAGGTGCAATGATTTGTTCAGTAACCACAATATTATCATGTTTATCTTGAGCATCCTTATCCAATACACGCGTTCCCTTGGGGTCGAACTCAATGTCAAATTCATTGGCTAAATCACGTACTGTACTACTAGCTTGTTCGTCCACTGCTACCAATAAATTACCACCTTGCTTGACAAAGTTTATCAATGCTACATTGTTCAAACCAGTATGTTGAGCCAATTCTAATAAGAAAAAAAAATATATTTAATACTTGTATTATTAAAAATGATGAATATATATTTACCATTAGTTCTAGGAGCAAAGTGAATAATATGATTATAACTTGATTCTCCAAAGACATGAAGAGTTACAGTTGGGTCACTAGCTTTCTTGAAATCCAATTGATATTTTCGATCTATTTTTTTTTTTTAAAATAAAAAAGTCAATAAAGAAAAAAACCTTTGTCAAATAAAAACTAATTACCTTGTAATGATTTCCAGAAACGCGAATAAGAAGATTGGTTCTCAAGGTCATCTAAAAGTACAAGTACACGAGACCCCGTTGAGGATGTTGCTACAGTTGTTGCAATGAGTGTATTCAAGAGGACAAAAGCTATTAATATCACACTTTTCATCCTTTAGATAAATAATAAGGGGATAAGAAAGGTTTGAAAAGGTAAGAAATAAAAAAAAAAAAAAAAAGTTGAGTATGAAATTGACGTGGCAATCAAGCTAATGGTCTTTTGGTTTAACATTTTTCTCTTCACACTCCGGCTATTTTTTTATTTTCTTTTCTTTGTTTTCTCACAATTTTCGTACTCGTTGATAACCTCACAGTATTTTGGGTCAAGTGGATTTGTTCATGTCATTATAACCATGATACTAATACGATTACTACTATTACTTTTTGATTGACTACGATTTGTCGTAAGTAGAAAAAAAAAAAAAAGAAAAGGATTGACTGCTAGTGGTTTGTTTGTTTGATTTGATATCAAAGTAGAAAGAGTATATTTTATAGGAAGAACTCACTCTATTTATTTCTTTTTTTTTCCTGTCCATTACTTTTTTAGTTTCCCTATTGAAACAAACAAAATAAAACAGGAATGGATCGTTTTATGGAAGAACAAGAAAAGGACGCTCTTGCTGAGGTGAATACATTGGTAGCAGAACATCAAGATGAACTTGAAAGAATGTCATTAGCATATGAACGGAAAATCAATGAGTTAAAGGTATAGACCCTTTTTTTTCTTTTTGTAATAAATTCTTATATATTTATATAATATATATAGATGGAACTACAAGTTGCCGAGAATAGAGCACAACAGCAACAATCAACATTGACGGAACAATATCAAAAACTTAAATTGGATTATGATATATTATCTCAACAGCATCAGGAACAATGTCAAAATCGGCTTGCTCAAATGAGCATGGATTATGATACACAAAAACAACAAATCAATGCCTTACGGAATCAAATTCAAGAACTTCAAACTCATCTTGGATGGAAGGATGCAACAGTCTTATTGACACCATCTTTATCCGAAAATAATGACGACAATCATCATCATCAACTACCCTCTCCTGTTTCAGCATCAACGTCATTACCAACACAAACTACTGACAATAATGATCATTCTGCTCTCGAACAAAGTAATATTCAAACAAAATACACTGATGTCCAATTGCAATCGAAGGCTATTCAACAACAACTGTTATCAAGTAACGACGTTTTAGCCCAACAACACAAAAAGGAATTAGAGTTTCTACATAACCAGTATCAACAAGCAGTGGATATCAAGGATCAAGAATTGGAAGCATATTCATATCGTGTGACAGGTCTGATTGTCAATCGACAGAAAGATTTGGAATCTTGTCGTGTCAAAGCCGATGATCGCATTCATGCATTGGAACATCAAATTGAAGGTTATCAGGTAAAAGAAAAGAAAAAAAAATATCTTATTATTTTTCTTTTATAACTCATCAATTTTTTTTATTTTTATTTTCTTGTAGGAAATCATTCGAAGTGACAATGAAGAAATAACGGCACTACGATCTCAACTGGATGTATTGGAGCAACAAATGAATCAAGGTGGATAGACTATTACAGCAAAAAAAAAAAAAATCACATTGACTCAAGGAAGAGAGTGGAATGAGGAATGAATAGAATCAAGTGTTGATTCTATAATATTATATAGTTTAGATATCCATACTATTATCATCCCTTTTGTTATCATCGTATCATACAAAATAAAAAAAAAATTATATCTTACATAGATGATTTTATGTGTATATGATGAACCTCTTTTTTTTTATAAATATATTATTAATATATCTCAGAATAACAGGAGGGGGGGGGGAACTACAATTATTACGTTGTTAGAGATGAATATAGAATGCGATTTCGTAAGAAGAAGCCATATCGGGTAAATGACGTTTTTTCCAAATCCATCCACAAAAGGAAAATGACATCTTCATCATGCAGATCTTCCTAAATATCCTGTCATATCATTTGTTTTCATGTCAAAAAAAAAATGAAAAAATCATTATTTACTATTATTTGTTATTACTATGATCATTATTATCATCATTATCATCCATTCATGATTAGCTTGTATCTTATATATATATACATCACAGTAAATAATGGAGAAAACTGATCTTGAAACTTTTCAAATGACAAGAGTATTAAGGATCTCCGCTTGGAACCCTGAGTTCCTAACAATGATTTAATTTCTGGAAAAAAAAATTGCATGGCCATGAAAATGATATAAAAAGGGAGATCAAATCCCAACTTTTTAAACTTATAAATCAAAATCTTCTTTTTTTTAAAAAAAAAAAAAAATATATATAATCTGAAATGTCTGCCGAAAATTTACCTCCTATGAAATATGTCAAGTTTGGAAACACTGGTCTACGTGTGTCACAAATCTGTCTTGGTTGTATGAGCTTTGGTACACCTGAGTGGGATCAATGGGTGTTGGATGAAAAGGAATCCATCCATATGATTCGTAAAGCATATGAAGCTGGTATCAATTTCTTCGACACTGCCAATATTTATTCTGCTGGTGAAAGTGAACGTGTCTTGGGTAAAGCTATCAAGGAATTGAACATGCCTCGTGGTCGAATTGTCGTTGCTACTAAGGTCTTTGGTCATGTCGGTAAAAACGGTGGCGAGTACAATCCCATCCCCTATGATGATCCTGATGCTGTTAATCAATTTGGTCTTTCAAGAAAACATATCTTCGATGCTGTAGAAGCTTCTTTGAAACGTTTGCAATTGGATTATATTGATTTGGTAATATATATATATATTCTTTTTTTTTTATTTTATTTTTTAATCCTCACTTTTTTTTTTTTAGTATCAAATCCATCGACCTGATCCTAATACTCCTTGGGAAGAAACAATGGAAGCTTTAAATGATCTTGTACGATCTGGAAAAGTACGTTATATTGGTGCATCAAGTATGAAGGCTTATGAATTCCAAAAGGCCAACACCATTGCTGAAAAGAACGGATGGACCAAATTTATCTCTATGCAAAACTTGTACAATCTTTTGTATCGTGAAGAAGAAAGAGAAATGATTCCTTATTGTCTGGATGCTAAGATTGCTGGTATGCCTTATTCTCCTTTAGCTGGTGGTTATCTTACTGGTAAGAACCGTAACACGGCTCGTAGTGATCAAGCTTCTTACATATCCAAACTATCCAAGTTGTTTGGCAGAACTGATGATGATGATGCTATTATTGATCAAGTGATTGCCATTGCTGAAAAACGTGGAGTCTCTCCTGCTCAAGTAAGTAACAAAGAGAGAAGAAAAGAAAAAAAAAGAAAAGAGAAAAGAAAAGAAAAAAAATGAATGATTTTCTGATGAATGATTTTTTCATATTATAGATCGCATTGGCATGGAATTTGAGTAAACCATTTGTTACTTCTCCTATCCTTGGATTCAGTAAGGAAAAATATCTTTATGAAGCCATCCATGCATTGGAAATCAAGTTAACTGATGAAGAAATTCAACAATTGGAATCTGCTTACGCTCCTCGTGTTAGTCTAGTTTAAATATTACTTTTTTTTTTCTTGATATTTATTCTAATTTTTTTTAGTTAATAATAAACATTCTAAAGAGTTCCTTAAAATCAAAAAGTTGTATAGGTTGTTGGTGATCGATAACTTCTTTTCTTTTCTTTTTTTTTTTTTTTTTTTTTTTGCTTGGTCATTTGAAACAATCCTCAGTGATGAACACCATTGTTTGAACTACATACGTACTAACAGATAGACTGCCAAGGATGACGAAAAAATCTACAATGATAATATTGATATGTATAAATCCTTATGATGTTGCAGTAATAGTAGATGTAAAAAAAAAAAAAAAAAAAGAATAATTATGTTTTTCACGCAAAATGGTTTACCATCAAAAAATTTCAGCGAATCATGCCTAATTTACCTGAACACCTTAAATATTTTACTCTTCATACATTTGATAGGCAATAAATAGATTTAGTAATGGATTTCGTCAGGTGCAACCATAAAAGGAAAGTGACATCCTCATCCCTCATAATTGATTTTCTCCGTTCTAGATATCCTATCATATTTTTTCTTTTCCTTTTTTTTTTTTTTTATTTTCACTTCATAATTGAAGAATCATCATGGTTATTATTACGATTATCATCATTGTCATCCATCCATCCATTCCTTCATCAAATTGGTATTAACTTGTAATTAAATGTTCTCTAATATTTTGGAGCAAGTGATCTTGAAACTTTTCAAATGAACAAGAGTTCTAAACATCTCCGTTTGGAACCCTGAGGTAACACTTAAATCCCTAAGCATGAAAATCATATAAAAAATGGAGATCTAATTCAAAATAATAAATCAAATTTTCTTTATTGAATTCTTTTTCTTTTCTTTTTTTTTTTTCTAAAAAATAATCATTATTGAAATGTCTATCGAAAAGTTGCCTCCTATGAAATATGTCAAGTTTGGAAACACTGGTCTACGTGTATCACAAATCTGTCTTGGTTGTCTAGGCTTTGGTACACCTGATTGGGATCAATGGGTCCTAAACGAAAAGGATTCCATCAATATGATTCGTAAAGCATATGAAGCTGGTATCAATTTTTTTGATACTGCCGATGTTTATTCTGCTGGTGAAAGTGAACGTGTCTTGGGTAAAGCCATCAAGCAATTGAACATGCCTCGCGGTCGAATCGCGGTTGCTACTAAGCTTTTCTTTAATACAAAGGATGGCAACTTCAATCCCGCTCCTTATGATGATCCTGATGCTGTTAATCAATTTGGTCTTTCAAGAAAATATATCTTTGATTCTGTAGAAGCTTCTTTGAAACGTTTGCAATTGGATTATATTGATTTGGTAATTACAATATATATATATATATATATATATATATATATATTCTTTTTTTATTATTTATTTTTTCATCTTTTTTTTTTTTTTTTTTAGTACCAAATCCATCGACCTGATCCTAATACTCCTTGGGAAGAAACAATGGAAGCTTTAAATGATCTTGTACGATCTGGAAAAGTACGTTACATTGGTGCATCAAGTATGAAGGCTTATGAATTCCAAAAAGCCAACGCCATTGCTGAAAAGAATGGATGGACCAAATTTGTCTCTATGCAAAATTTGTACAATCTTTTGTATCGTGAAGAAGAAAGAGAAATGATTCCTTATTGTCTGGATGCTAAGATTGCTGGTATGCCTTATTCTCCTTTAGCTGGTGGTTATCTTACTGGTAAGAACCGTAACACGGCTCGTAGTGATCAAGCTTCTTACATATCCAAACTATCCAAGTTGTTTGGCAAAACTGATGATGATGATGCTATTATTGATCAAGTGATTGCCATTGCTGAAAAACGTGGAGTCTCTCCTGCTCAAGTAAGTCATAAAAAAAAAAGAAAGGAAAAGAATGATTTTTCTAATGAATAATTCTGCATATTATAGATTGCTTTGGCATGGAATTTGAGTAAACCATTTGTTACTTCTCCTATTCTTGGATTCAGTAAGGAAAAATATCTTTATGAAGCCATCCATGCATTGGAAATCAAGTTAACTGATGAAGAAGTTCAACAATTGGAATCCGCTTATACTCCTCGTTATAGTCTAGTTTGAATGTTACTTTTCTTGATATTTATTGTATTTTTTTAGTGATAATAAACATTCTAATACTCTATCAGAGTTCCTTAAAATCAAAAAGTTGTATAGGTTGTTGATAGTCGATTAATTCTTTTTTTTTTTTTGTTTGGTCATTTGAAACAATCCTCAGTGATGGACATCATTGTTTGAATTATGTACTAACAGATAGACTTTCAGGGATGATGAAAAAATATACTACAATAGGTACTGAGATAACGCATATTTTATAACGCCTAAACGCATACAACATCAATAAAAAATACAGTATGATAATATTGAAACGTATAAATCCTTATGATGTTGCTGTAATTGTAAACTAGATGAAAGAGAGTTATTTTTTCACGCAAAATGATTTATCATCATGTTCAAAAAAATTTTAGTGAGATTTACTTGAACATCATAAATATTTTACGTATTTGATAATATAACCAGTAATGGATAGATATAGTAATGGATTTCGTCAGGTGCAACCATAAAAGGAAAATGATATCCTCATCACCCATATTCATTTCTCCGTTCTAGATATCCTACCGTATTTTTTTTTTTTTATATTCACTCCAAAACTGAAAAACATCATCATTAATATTATCATTATCATCCCATTCATGATAGTATTAATGTGTATCCAATCTTTAAATGTATTATCATGTTATGTGGAGAGAAAAAAAAAAAAAAAAACTGATCTTAGAAACTTTTCAAATAACAGGAGTTGTCAAAGATCTCCGCTTGGACTCAGGACCCCTAACAACGCGCTCCTAAAAAAAAAAATGCATGACAATGAAAATCATATAAAAGGGAGATCAAATCCCAAACTTTTTTAAAAATCAAATCTTTCTTCTTTTTTTTTTTTAAAAAAAATAAATAAATAAATAAATAACTAAAATGTCTGCCGAAAACTTGCCTCCTATGAAATATGTTAAATTTGGAAACACTGGTCTACGTGTGTCACAAATTTGTCTTGGTTGTATGAGCTTTGGTTCATCTGATTGGTTTAATTGGGTGTTGGATGAAAAAGAATCCATCGACATGATCCGTAAAGCATATGAAGCTGGTATCAATTTCTTTGATACTGCCAATGTTTATTCTGCTGGTGAAAGTGAACGTGTCTTGGGTAAAGCTATCAAGGAATTGAACATGCCTCGTGGTCGAATCGTGGTTGCCACCAAGGTCTTTTGTCATGTTCCCGAAAAATTACCCGCACCTCTCGTCCCCACGCCTTATGATAAATCTGATGCTGTTAATCAATTTGGTCTTTCAAGAAAACATATTTTTGATTCTGTAGAAGCTTCTTTGAAACGTTTGCAATTGGATTATATTGATTTGGTAATATATATATAGATTCTTTTTTTTTTTTATTTTTTCATCATCCTCACTCTTTTTTCTTTTCTTTTTTTTTTTTAGTATCAAATTCATCGAGCTGATCCTAATACTCCTTGGGAAGAAACAATGGAAGCTTTAAATGATCTTGTACGATCTGGAAAAGTACGTTATATTGGTGCATCAAGTATGAAAGCTTATGAATTCCAAAAAGCCAACACCGTTGCTGAAAAGAATGGATGGACCAAATTCATCTCTATGCAAAACTTGTACAATCTTTTATATCGTGAAGAAGAAAGAGAAATGATTCCTTATTGTCTGGATGCTAATATCGCTGGCATCCCTTATTGTCCCTTAGCTGGTGGTTATCTTACTGGTAAAAACCGTAACACAAAGCGCAGTGACCATGCTGTTGAGTTACTCTCGAGATACGTCAAGACCACCAGTAAAGATGATAATGAAGTTATTATTGATCAAGTGATTGCCATTGCTGAAAAACGTGGAGTCTCTCCTGCTCAAGTAAATCATAAAAAAAAAAAAAAAAGGAAAAGAAAAGAATGGTTTTTTCTAATGAATGATTTTTGCATATTATAGATTGCTTTGGCATGGAATTTAAGTAAACCATTTGTTACTTCCCCTATCCTCGGGTTTAGCAAAGAAAAATACCTTTATGAAGCCATTCATGCATTGGAAATCAAGTTGACTGATGAAGAAATTCAACAATTGGAGTCTGCTTATGTCCCTCGTTATAGTCAAGTTTAAATATGACATTACTTTCGTTTTTTTTTTTTAAAAAAAAAAATAATAAAGTGATAACAATAAACCATATATGATTTGTGTGAAGGATGATTCAATTTTTTCTTTTTTATCATGATATATTTCTTTGTTATTAATATGATTTTCCATATTTATTATTGTCAATTCCATTGTTGATCATTATCAATGAATCTAACTTTTCCAAGAAATGAAACCAGTTTGTACTACTGGATGTGGGTTACAATGAAAAGATCGGTGTTTATATGTTCAATTTCAGTCATTCAGGTTCAAGAAAAAAAAAAAAAAAAAAAAAAACAAATCCTCCCCTTCTCCTTTTCTTTTTTTCTTCTTTTCATTAAGTTTCATTCTTTTATGTTTTTATCTCGGTTTACGTCTTCTCTACCAAGACAAAGAACAACATTCTCTTTTACAACATGTCATGATTGTCTTCAACGACCAAGTCGATATCAACAACGTCTTACTACTTTTAGGATACAAACATTCCATTCCTCACGTCCTCAACCTAGCCCTATCCTTCCACTTCCAGCCATTCTTCTTGGTTTGTTAAAGTCGGGTAAATTGGTCAGTTTTGTATCATTATCTTCAAAAACATCTTTGACATTATTACCACACACTTTTCGTCGAGATAAGGGAAAACTTGTTGGCAAGATATTAGCTGGGATTCCACTTTTCGGTTTGACTTTATTATTAGCAGTAGGATTAGATCAGGTAAAAAATAGAGGAATGAGATATTGAAATATACTTATTTTTATTTCATGTATGTATAGGCTCCTAATACTTCAAGATTACGATTCATCTATTTGACAGAAGAAGAGGAACAAGAGGAAGTAGAAAAGGCGATAAAGGAATTGATGACACCTCACATGGCGTTAGTGGCATCTCGAGAAAGTCAACCAGTCTTATGGCTTCAAACCATTGTTGATAACCTTTCCAAAGTAGCGAGTGATGATATTCGAGACCCTGTGCGTCAATACAACCATTTAGAAATAGCAGCAAAGGATGAGGCATTGAAAAAGTATGAAGTGAATCTGATATGTGATGGTAATACTCTCAATGCAATGTGTGCTGGACGCTATATTGTTGTATATGATTTGATGATGCAAGCGATGGAATACGATGAAACCAAGATGGCGGTCATTCTTAGTCATGAAATGGCCCATTCTGTGCAACGACATTTTGTGGAAACACATGGCTTTGCTTCCCTATTACTGATGCTTGGTGATATCACACGTGGCGTATTTTGGATGGTGACTGAATCTTTTGGACCCTATGTGAATCAAAAGATCAATGAAGCCATCACAGCTTTCATTGCTTTGGAATCTGAAAATACATACAATAGACAATTGGAACGTGAAGCTGATTTGGTAGGATTGAAGTTTTTGGCTAAAGCTGGTTATGATCCTCGTGTCGCTATAGAAGTATGGACAAGAATGGCGGAAATAGAAGAAAGAGTCAAGGAATTACAAGAAGATGATATCAAAGCGTTAGAAAAACAACAATCGTCAATACAAGGACAAAACTCTGTAGGTGCTATGATGGAAAATTTGATTAATCTATGGTTTGGTTCAAGTCATCCTCCAAGTCAGGAACGTGTGGAATATATGCAGGAACATATGGATGAAGCTGTGGCCTTGTATGAAGATACCCTACGACTCAATGGAAAACCTGATCATTTTGATTGGAATCCTTATTCAACTGAAGAAGAAAAAACGACAAAGAATAGTTATTTTTGGGATTTATGGTCTTCTTTTATCCATTCAATAAAAAATTAATTTTTTTTTTTTATTCTCGTGATCACTTTTCTTGGTATTTAAACTTTTTTTTTTCTTTTTTTCTTTTTTTTTTTTCCTTTTTTTTTTTTTTTTCCTTTTCTCTTTTATTATTTATGGAGCCTTTAAATACTGATTTGAATAAACGTATTCTTGAGAAAATACCGGATTGGAAACTAGCCATTACACCTTCTGGGAAATTGGCAAAGGAATCTTGTTTTGTACAAAAATATATGCCACCTATTATACCATTGACTCATGACCAATCAACTTCTCTTATGGTTACTCATAGTAATTGGACTCATCGACTTGTTGATCAAGGTGTACTTTGGGACCCAAGTAATGACTCAACCATTCATAATCTTTCCTTGGCTCAACTTTTATTTTATCCTCAACAACATACTCAAAACCCTTTACACTTTGTTAAAAAGTCTTTACATTTGATTTTATTCGAAACTCGTGCCTTCTTACCAGTCAACAATATTTTACGACTCACTTTGAAGTTTCAACAAGCTATTGAGGAAGCATTAATACCTTATCCTTCTGATTTTCGTCAAACCTTGAAGAACCTTATTCTAGTCTTTGATACTTATGGTTTCCTCTGGCCACAGAAGCTCATCCTCGGTAAGAGAAGAAAAAAAAAAAAAGAAAGGACGGTGGACAGTTTATTCAAATATAATATTTCTCCTTTTTTTTTAATATTTGTCATAGGTCATCGTATCCATGTCAAAAAATCTTACAAAGTCTATACTCCTGACGATCGATTGATGTATTTACGTGTAGCCAAAGATGATGTATTGGTCAAACTTGCAAAGGAACGTGAACTTAAATTACACGAACGACAAACTCATACGGAAGGTATAATAAAGATAAAAGGGAAATCCATCCAGTTGATGCTTACAATTACTTTCTTTTTTTTCATTTTAGAATAGAAAGCTTGACTTGGACTATTATTAAACGCAATGATATCTGTCCTATCTATGAATTTTTGGATGATCCTTGGAAACAACAAATTCAACACGTGATTCATGAATGTTTATATCGTATTCCTATTCATGCACCCATCAAACTACGAAATTATTCAACAAACGCTTATCTCAGCTGGCGATTGAACGATGATGAACAAGTATTATCTTTGGCTGCTTTACCAATGGACAAATTGATGTCAAGTCAATATCTCTGGCGATTCACTTTGACTCGTTCGGCAACTTCTCCTCCTTCTTTTGCTGCTCTACCTGATCTGGTGGCATCTTATCAATCTCAATTTCTACGTTGTGGAAGTGATGTGTTTTTATCTCCAGCTTGTGATACTTTATTATCCTCTAATCAATCCAACAACAAGTGCACTCATACTTCTATCTTGACTCGATCTCCTTCGGAAGGGAATGATGCTCGAATACGATCTGTGGGTTTATTCAATCCTGATAATAATAATAATAATAATAGATTGGATGGAATGGAAACAACTTGGAAAGTGGAACTACCTGGTTTGGGTCTTGGTCGAGATGATGATAGTTCAACGGATGAAGGTCTCAATATGGATATTCTTATTGGTCGATGTCGTCTGGTTCTACATGGTGATATCATTGCTTTACGTCAAGTCCTTTATTTGTGTGCACAGCAGAATTCTACTTTGGTACACCCTATTGTTGCTAAGGAAAATGCTTTGATTGGTAGGAGTTTGGAACAATGTTGGTGGATTGAATTAGCAACAGAAGAGGATTTGAAATATCATCAGGATTCTTATATTCCATGGTCGAACTTTTCTTCAACACATCTCTTACGACAACATAAAAGTGTAGAATCTCTTGCCATTTGTACCGATAATACGCCTTTTTCCCTGCGACGTGTTCAATCTTTCGACGGCTCTCTTTTATCAAAATCAAATCCGCCCAAAACGAATGTCGAATTTGGTATGCAAAAGAAGAAGATGTCAAGTCCTCCTTTACTACCAACTTTTCATCAACCAACAACAACAACATCGAATGCTGCCGATGAAGAAGTAGGTTATGATACCAATAATTTGAACCATCCTCGTGTACAACCCTATTTACGTCTTTATGCTTCAAAACAACAAAACACTTTGGCCAGAGTATGGAAACATTCTAGTTTGAAACAAGTCCTATCCAGATTCCCAAACAACTCATATCCCTTCAAATAAAATATCAGTATAGAATATACGATTCATCCTATAGATTATATTTATTTACAAAAAAAATATATATATATTATTTTCCAAACTATTCATCATCGTCTTCATCATCATTTTCTCTAAATCGTGGATTTTGTTGTTCCTTTTGTCGTTTTCGATCTTCAGGAGAATCATCCGTTCGTTCACGTTTTCGATTGGCTATTATTAAAAAAAAAAAAAAGAGAAGATAAGTTAGTATATTTACAAAAAAAAAAAAAAAAATAGTATAATTACCAGTAGCAGAAGCACTACTTTTATATTCTCCAGCACCAGCAGGGACTTCTTGAATGGCTTCATAATTTTGTTGTTGTTCTCTAGCTCGTTGACGTTCCATTTCCATTCTAGTACGATGACCCCAACCTCCTCGACCAGCATCATATTCTTCACGATATTCATCACGTACTTGACCACCATTTTTGCCTCGTCCATATTGACGTCCTTCTTTAAATCCAGGATCCAAATCACATCGAATCACTCGTTCATCTAGTCGAGTACCATTCACATATTTCATACAATCCAAAGCATCCGCTCGATGATAATATCTATTTTTTTAAAAATAATAATAATAATAATAATTAATAATATGAATATTTTTTAATGGATAAAAAACTTACTCAACAAAACAAAATCCACAAGGTGTTTTTTGATTTCGATCAAGTCCCATAATAATTCGTTTGATTTCCCCTGCCTTTGAAAAAAGTTCATATAATTGTTCTTCTGTGGTATAAAAGGATAAATTGCCAACATACAGAGTCGTTGTTGAAGCTAGTTCATCATTTAATTGACTCGAGTTCCCCTAAAACAGATAAACATAAGACAAATTGATCATAAAAATCTTTGTTTATTTAATATATATACCTGATATTGTTGATCTCTGTAACTAGAAGGAACAGCAAGTGAATGAACAAGAGATACTACCATAATTGTGTTTATATAAAAAAGTTTTGATTAAAGGATAAGAAAGAAAGAAAAAAAGAATAAAAATTCAGATATTTTTGTTGTTTGTTTCTTTGCAAAAAAGACGGATCACATGACTGCGGAACATGAAAGTAATCACCAAAGGAAAACGAGACAGAAACTTTTTGTGTTTCTTTCGCCTTCCTTTCTATATTATTATTATTACACTTATAAAAAATGAATCATACTATATGACTGGATCAACTTGAATGAAGGGCTGGATTCAATTGAACAAGGTAAGCGTATTATCATACAATAGTATGAATCTTTTTAATGCTTCTTTTTGGTTTGATTGGCTCTTCTGGTTTGAGCAGTGATTCTTTTAACTAGTAGTTTATTTACATTCTTTTTTTAATAAAAATCATATCCTATATTTACCCATTCTATCCAATATGTGTTTGTCAATTAATAATCATAAATCAAACAAAAATCATTTGATATACTATAAATAAGAAATATCATATATAAAATAAAATTGATATTAAACAACTCTATTGGAGAGCACACTTGAATGTTTATTTAAATAAATCTATGCAAATATATATATATACAACTAAAGTAATAAGAAATATTCATTTGTCTAAAAAAAAGGAAGGGTTGTATCTATTTGTCTTCAGTAGAGTTTCCAGGTTGACCATCCGTAGCAGGGAAAGGTGATTCTTTTCTAGAATCAGATAATAACTTGTCAATACCTTTATCCTTGAGTGCAACCTACAAAAAATAATAAAATAAAAATTAGTTTAGTTTCTGTTTAAAATAAGTAAAAAAAAGTAAATTACCATGACACAAGCTCGATAATCTTTGAATAAATCTTCACATTCGGGAGTAGTATCACCTTTTAAGAATTTTTCAGAATACCATTTATTAAAACAAGCATCATATTTATGTTTGAGTTCAGTACAGTCAGCTCCAACACTGGAAGACATGATTGCAAAATAATAAAAAAAAAAAAAAAACGAAAATATGCTTTGGGAGCCAGGGAAAGAAAGAAAAAAAAAAACTATGCGGAGTTGAAATCCAATGAATCTGTTCTCAAACCCGTAAAAAAAAGAAATGACCAAAAAGTTTTTTTTTTTTATTTTTCCTTTCTTTTTTTTAACAATGTCTTCAGATCCAGAATTACTAAAAAGCATTGCAAAACTCTCTAGTGCAATAGAACAACGTCGTCATGAACAGTGGCAACAACAACAAAGACCTTCTTATCGAGGTAACTTGACACTTCGACCAATGTCCCAAGGATACCACCCAAGACCTACGTCTATGAACTTTCAACATATTAATCGTCCTACTACTCACAACAAGTCACTTATTTTGAACAATGTATCTTCTACTCAAAGATCGACACAACCAGCCATCTCTCACTCTACAACCTATCGACCTCCTCCTCCTACGTTTTACAGCAATAAATCAGTCAGCATACCTGGACATCATAAATCCTTAGTTATCAATAATAACAGTACCCCCAACAACAACAGTAGTAGTAATAGTACTAGTAGAGTAACTTCTGGTCCTCATCGATCTTTGATTGTGAACAATAACTACCCATCAACTAGTTTAAAAACTCCCTTATCAAAACCAAGTCGAAACAAGAAACTCATCCTACGGAGCACACCAGGTTCAACTATCCAACGATATCGAAATAATGCTGGTCAGTCTATTGTGGTCATTGATGGTATTTCCTTTATAGCCATGGGGAAACGATTGATTCGACAGGATTTAGATCAAACTGGAAAAACGAAATCTAATGTACCTCGAGTTCTCATTCGTCGTTTAGTGAAAAGGTGAGAAAAAAAAAAAAAAGAAAGGAAAAAAAAAGGAGAGAAGAACTCAATGATTGTTTTTTTTTTTTATGAATAGACGTGATAATAATAAGAATATGGTATTAGGAAAACAACCACTACATGAACTAAAGATCAAAAAGAAAAAGGTACGATATAAGAAGAGAGGCAATGCTGTATATATACGACAACCGGATGGATATGAAAGACAAGGTATACATGGAAAAACGTTGGTATTGAAGGATTCGCAACAAGGCAAAAGATATTGTGGTACTTTTACAAGATATGGTACGTGTCCAAATAAGACAAGATGTGGGTTTATCCATGATCCAAATCATCGAGCTGCATGTGTTTCCTATTTATTCACCAAGACATGTAGACATAATGATGGTTGTCGCCATTCACATCATCTGACGCCAGAGAATGTTCCACATTGTCGTCATTTTCAACGTATACGATGTACCAATGATGATTGTCCATTTCAACATGTTCGTGTGCGTCCTGATGCTCCTCTTTGTCGTGCATTTGGTGTAGAAGGATATTGTCCAAAGGGTTTGACTTGTAAACAACAACATATCATTGTCTGTCCCACTTTTGCCGTACTAGGAAAATGCTCAAAACCCAAATGTCCATTACCTCATGTAAATACAACTAACAATAAAAAAGCGACATTAAAGGCCAAACAACAATGGATTCGACCACAGTCAACAACAACAACAATTCATAAGAAAACTGAACAACAACAACAAGAAGAAGAAGAAGATGGTTTTGTACCCTTGTTGGATGATGATAATACAGATTGGAATCAATATTTAATCAAGAATCCCATGGATGATATCAAATCATTACGATTCAATGAAGAAGAAGAAGAAGAAGAAGATAATGAAGACAGTAGCAACAATGACACCGATGATGAGATTGTTTATGAAGAAATATCTGATAATGAAGATGATGATGACAACAGCTCAATGGACAATGGATCAATGGAAGAAATCTTTGAAGAAGTTTCCGATATGGAGGATGACGATGAATGATATTTATATATATATTGTAGTTTGTAGATACCCTTCCTTTTTTTTTTTTTTTGATTGTTATTATATTCCCTCCTCTTTTTATATAAGATTATAATACATATTCCGTAGTATTTTGCCGACTTAATAAACTTTCTTTTTTTTATCTTGGTATAAACTGGTCTATAGTAAATGGGTTTTCTTTTTTTATTTATTTATTTATTTTTGCCAAATTTTTGTTGAACCAAAAAATATAATATGACAATCGGATAAAGTAGAAAATATTTATTTACAGAAGGAAAGTTAAAAAAAAAAAAAAAAAAAGATGGATAAGTATACAATACAACTAATAAAGGGAATATACTAAGATATTGTTTTTTTGTCAGATGTCCAAACTTGTGTAGTATCACCTATGACCAAATGGATGGAAGGACTTGGTAGAATATCATCATCATCGGTTGTTTCTTTCATGTTGTTAGCAGCCACATGATCTTCTTGTTGTTGTTCTTCTTCTTCTTCCTCTTCTTCTTCATCATCATCACTGAGATCCAAAGTACCAGGCGCTGGCAAGGCTGCTTTTGCAAAGGCAACAGTTTTAGGATCAGAAGCCAAGTGTTGCATAGGATCACCTCCTTTCATCATTGTCTTTTTACGTCGATTGGCAAGAAGACGTAAAGCCACCAAATCATCTTGATCGTAATCATCATGAAGATCATAATCATCCAAAAGTAATCCTGCTGCTGCTGCTCCACGTTTTCTTCTTAATCCACCACTTGTGACATCTTTGATCAATCTTTCTACTTCATGTTGATCAGATTCTAACATTTTTTTACTTTCAAAAAAAAAAAAAAAAAAAAAAAGATGAATACAATATAATTTTTTTTTTTTTTTTACTTACTGATATTCTGCTTGAAGTTCAAGATTATCCACTTTTTCATAATTATCAGCTACTAACATATCATCATCTTCATATTGATCCAAATCTTCCGTTTCTGCAATATCTGGTCCACCCAAACCATAATATTCATCTTCTTCTTCTTCCGCTTCTTCTTCCACATAATCATTTCGTTCCTTTTTCCTATGGATGGTTTGCTTCGGAGTTGAGTCTTCTGTTGCCGATGCGTCGATATCTTCTGTCTCCTCGTGATCTTCTTCTTCTTCTTCATCATCTTCTTCGTCTGTCTCCTCGTGATTTTCTTCTTCTTCTTTTTCATCATCTTCAATCAGAGTCCGTTGCATCAATCTGGTCAATGTTCGTGGTCCATCATTTGTTTCATCATTTTCAGCTTGCTAAGATATATATATATATATATATATATATATACAAAGAATAATGAGATTATTTTAATGAGTAAAATTCATATGATCAACTTACAATGGATGTATCGGTGCGATGACTGAAAAACTTGGCAATAGAATTGACAGGTTCAGGAACTGGTTTTGTTATTATCTTGTTCGATTTGTGATCATCTTCATCATCATCATCCCAATGATGTCGTTGTTTTGCTGTCTTCATACGACGACGATTTCTAAAGACTACCGATCCATCATCATCATCATCATCATCATCATTATCATCATCGTTATTGTCATCACTGTTTTCATCTTCATCGCTGTCTTCTTCACCAGATAAGATCAAGTCATTATGTTTTGTATCAGGATCAACAGTGGTAGTCTTTTTTTGTTGTTTCTTCCGTTGTAAAAGTTGATTGACTTCTAAATTGATTTCGGCAGCTTCTTTTTCCCGTTCTAATTGTTGATGATTCCGTTCCTCTGGACTCATATAGATCCCCATGGCTTTGGCTTTTTCCACCATACGTTCACGATGGGCTTGTTGATCATAAGCTATCTTGGTCAAGAGTTGTTGATTTAATGTTCGGAGTGCTAATGGTGATTTGCTGCTGCTGTTGTTGTTTTTCATCCGTGATGGTGCTTCAGGCGATAATGCTGCCAAAACCGATTGAAGGAATTTGGTTTTTCGATTCGTAGGTCGACAGATAATCAATCCATCATCATCATCATCATCAGATAACTGAATATCTTGGTTATTGGTCGCATAATATTTTTCATGTTTTCCTTGTAAAATATTCAATTCTTTGGAATATCTGGCGTAAACACTGGCTTTTTGAGGACTATATCAAAAAAAAAAAAAAAAAAAAAAGATGTATCGTTATGTAACTTTTTATGTTCTATATTTTTTTTTCATTTCCTTACCTTGATTTCATAGAATGTAATGATATATGTTCTTGTTGTGATTGGATGGTATCACTAATATAAAAATAAAAAGTTTTACTCTATTTATCCTCCTTCTTTTTTTTTTTTTTTCTTTCTCTTTACCTAGATTTGATAGTATCATTTTGCATTTTTTCCACCTTTGTCACTAAAGATTCAATTGATTTTGGTTTGATACGAGGTTTGAGTTTGATATGAGCCTCCCGACGAGCACGTTGCATTTCTTGTTCCATATCCATTTTTGCCTTTCTGGAAAGTTGTTTTCGTCCTTTTACATCCGAGTCATCTTCAGATGAATCCTCCAATAAAGCCAATTCTGATTTTTTATTATTTATCGATCGTTTTTGACGGTTTGGCGTTGAAGAAGAATCAGTATCCGAGTCGTCATATGTTGTTGAAGTTTTCTTTTTAGGTGGTTTTCTTTGTTGTTTTGCCGTCTTTTTCTTCTTTTTTTGCTTTGTTTTTCCTTTTCGATTGGGTATTGAGTCATCACTACTACTACTATTATCATCGGAAGCCAGAGCCTGAGCAAGTAATCGTTGAAATCTATCTTGTTGAGTCATCACTTGTTGTTTTTCGATAGGTGGTAATCGTGTGGTAGTAGCAGCTGTGATAGTTGGTGTATTGTTTGAAGGTGAAGGACGTAAGAAGAGATCATTATCATCATCATCATCAGAGTCACCATCAGCATTAGTGAGATCTTTATATCGTAATATATTTTTGAGTCGGTCAGATACATTCAAAGAAGCCAAATAAGAGTTATCATTATCCAAATCAATATCAGAATCAGAATCTGATAAAGCAACTTTGGCAGTTTGGTTGTTGATAGGTGTTTTAAACAAAGGTATATCTTCGCGATCAGAAGTTGATTCCATTTTATCACTAAGAAAAAAAAAAAAAAAAAAGAAAGAAACGCGGATTTCGGAAACGCGCTTCCTTCTTTTTTTTTTTCTCTCTTTGTAACACTTTGTGAATAAAATTGAAAGAGCGCTAGGCACACGTTTACCAATGTACATTATGAGCAAAGAACAAGAACGTTCAAAAGTTACTATGACAATTGAATCGTGTCATTATTATTATTATTTTTTTTTTTGAATGGTTCGAATTTATATTTAAATATAGTTGTTTGATAATCGATCCGGGTACCACAAACGGAAAGATACACAAAAATAGTAAATAAAAAATAAACATTCCTTTTAAATCATCATTGCCTTTTTTTTTTTTTTTCTGTTTCTTTCATATTTTATCTTTGACATGGTCTATAAACAAGATGAGAATACCTTTGACTTGATTTCAACTTGGCTTTTCGAACTTTACATAGAAACTAATAATTATGAAAAATGGTATAATAGTGTAGGTGTTGTTTCTTCTTTATGTCAATATATATAGCCAATAGTATACTATATTTTATCCTTTCTCTTTTTTTTTTTTTTTTTTTTGCAATTCAGGAAGAACTGATATATGAAAAAAGACGAACAACAATCAAAGAAAAAATTGAAAATACTCGACCCCTGAATAGTAACAAAACATTCTTAAGGATAACAGAGGCAATAAATCATCATCATCATCTAATATCATATAGTATGGTGGACAAGATGACATTATGGATTCAAAAATGGTTATGGAAGAGGGCGGTATCTATGGCAAAAAAGGATTCAAAACTTGTCAGTAGCAGAGGCAGAATATATTCTGCAACAGAGATTCTACCAAAAATCATCCAATGTTATCGAGAGTCTATGAATCATCAATGTCATTTCTGCCGTCGTTACCTGATGATGGCCACTTATGGGTCATGCAGTCAATCCACTTTAGCTTCCTTTGATCATGCTATTCCTAAAACACCTGTTCTTGCTCCAGGCAATAAATTTCTTTTGACATGTTTAATGTGTAATCTGTAAGTAATTTAAAGGAAAAAAAAAAAAAAGACATTACTTATTTTTTTTTTTTTTTGCAAAAAAAAGTGCCAAACATACATTGACGACTGATCAATTTCAACAATTCATTGATTTAGTCCGCTCCACATCATATAGTCGTCCTCCTATTCTTCCCTTACATCAACAAGATATTCATGAAGCAAAAAAAGAAGCATCACGTACACTAAGCCAACATAAGCAAATGCAAAGAAAATATGTTGATAAGGTAAGAGTTATTTGTTTTAATGCAATGATGATGATTCTAATATACAACCCAAGTTTGAAGGTAAATCAATGCCAACAAAACATCAATTAGAAACCTTGGCTAAACAGGCTGGACTCTTTGATCCTTATACTAATATCAGAGGTCATTACACCACCCAAAAAGATCTCGCTCCCTTTCGTATGGTGTTCGGAAGAAGACAAAGAAAAGTATATAATCCATTGGATGGGACTCATATGATACATGGATATTACATTGAAAACACTATACCTATGCTTCTCATCATCAAATATGCTTTTCATGTCTTTACAGAATATGAAGTCATTTCTTGGATTCAAGCCATCCGTCATCACCCAATTCGGAAATTCAATTTTTAGTTATAGGAAAAATAAATAGGTTTCCCTTTTTCCTTTTCTCTTTTTTGCTTTTCCCACTTTATACCCTTTTTTTTTCTTTTTTTTTTTTTTTTTGTATAATATATAGATAAATATTCAATGTTTACTTTATTAATTGGATATATATTGATTGGTATATTATTTTATATTGAATACCGTTATGAATCACCACGAGCATCCACCATGCTACAAACATCTGGTGATGATCAAGGAACAACCACCCTGTTATTCGGTGTCTGGATAATGGCTCTTGTATCTGGGGTATTATGGTCTCTCGTGGGATTGGGCGATATGGATACAACAATAACGGTAAATTGGCTATTGACTTGGTTAGGTCTTGCTTGGATTATAGGTGGTATTGTCATGCTACGTTGGGCCATTCACGTGAATGCGTTTTATTTACGTCCTTTAGCAACAACAGATGACCAATATCTCTGTACCGATGGTCCTTACAAAGTCATTCGTCATCCTGGTTATTTGGCTTTTTACTTGGCTTGGGTTGGATTTGGACTTGCTTCTGGTAACTGGGTTGCCTTGGTGATGATCGTCTTGGTCATGGGATATGCATATATACGTCGAATTCAAGCCGAAGAACAAATGATGTTGGAACAATTTGGTGTAGATTATCAACAATATGCTTCTGAATCTTTCCGGTAAGGGATGAAAATCATCATTGTTACAGAGACTGATCTCTTTTTTTTTTTTTTTTTTGGATACTGGATTTATAGGATCTTACCCTTTATCTATTGAAACTCAATTATCTAGTAGTGGTTATATATATATATGTATAGTGTAGTATTTGTTTTGTTGTAATAAAAAAAAAACGGTGAATGATGAAGTCTATGTGTGTGGTTGGAAGTTGATAGTGTAATCAGTCAATATGGAGAATCATGATAGAATTAATAATACAAATGGATAACAATAATGCTCTATTTGATGGGATTGATAAACAAGTCATTATTGATAAGATAAGCAGATGTAAAAAGGTGATTGAAGCAATGTATTGTTATAAAGATGGATTCATTTCAAATGATATCCACAATACATCAATTTTTTTATATATAATTTTAAAGAAAAAAAAAAAAGATCACAATAAAATTAAATAAATAAATAAATAAAAAGATGAATAAAAAAAAATCATTAACTATAAATGGATAGGAAAAAAAAATAAAGGTTTCTAAGCAAAGACAACAGGTTCAGGTAACTTTGCAGGAGTGTCAGTTCTAGGCTTGTCGATGAACAAGTGTTCAAAAGTAGAAGACCAAGCAGTACGAGGAGTCAAGTTATCCAAATCCCATAACTTGGCCAAGAAACCAAGAACAGATGAGTGAGAGTATTCACCACCATTGTTGGAACCCTTATGTTCAACCACACCCTTATTCACCCAAGGAGACATCAAGATGGTAGGCACACGGACACCTAAGCGAGTGAAATCAAAAGTATGATTCTTTTCAACATAGGTCTTACTATCACCAGCGGGTACATTAACAGGAGGAGGAACATGATCTAAATCAATCAAAAAAAAAAAAAAAATTCAAGACTCGTTCTCTTTTCTTTTTTTTTTTTTTTTTTTTTTTTTTTTACCAGCAAAACCACCATGTTCATCAAAGGTCAAGATGAATAAAGTTTGATTCCATTGAGGAGAACCACGAAGAGCTTCATAAACGATCTTGAGGAATTTTTCACCAAGATCAATAGGAGAAGGAGGATGGAAACTATCAAAACTACAGCATTCAGGATTGATATAAGAGAAAGCAGGCAAATCACCATTCTTGGCATCAGTGATGAATTGTTCGAAATGCTTGACATTGGTTTTAGCAGCACCAGAAGCAACCGTCCAATTGTAGAACACGGAATCAGGGTTGAAACCAGTGTAACCTTTGTCTTCAGGGGTCATATAACCTTTAGGTGAAGTAGTGGAATTGGAGTAATTGATCCAGGTAATATTCTTTTCAGATAATTGTTGGAAAATGGATTTTTGAGGTAAACCACCATAATCGAAACTTTTATCATTACTACCATGACCATTGGAAGTACCAGAAGTAATATAAGCACGGTTAGGATTGGTAGGACCACTGACATCTAAAAAAAAAAAAAAAAAAAGTGAGATATTCATCCTTTTCTTTTTTTATTTCAATCTTTACCACAGAACCATCTATCGAAAAGAACAAAGTTTTCAGCCATAGAAGAAAAGACAGGAATATGATTGACAGTATAATAATTGATAACATCAGAAACACGAGTCAAATTAGTAGTACCATAAGTACGTTCTTGTTCTGTGATGAAACCTTGCATATTAGCCTTAAGTTTACCGGACTTGATCAAAGCTTCATTAGGATCGGTTGTACCATACAATTGAAGATTAATACCAGACATACTATGGTTAGGATCATCGGCATCGACATCATGTGCAGAGGTCAACTTATCAGCACATACTTGAGTACTATGAGCATCGGTTACATTGGCAGGATTACAATATTTGTGATGTAATAAACCATTGATATCCTTACTGTAAGTCAATCCACCAGCAAATGTATCAAAAGATCGATTTTCTTGTACAAGGACAACCACATTCTTGATATTGTTTTTCCAGTTATTGTTGTTGTTTCCACTATGAACAGGAGAAGCTAAAGCAGTAGCAGCAATACAAAAGAGGGAAATTGTACCTAATAACACCATCTTTAAAGGATTCAATCGAATAAATAAATAAAAAAAAATGAAAATAAAAATAAAAAAAAAAGAAGATACTTTTAAATACAATGTTTGACCCTTTTTGTGTTACCAAAACATACACACAAGAAAAGTCTTATCGAGATGATTGGTTAATAATGAAAATCAAGTTTAAATAAATAAAAAAAAAACAAAGTTACAATGAATGAATAAAATGTAGTGAAACGTGGATATATAGTATTATCATGATAGGAAGATTGGGGAACACATGAGAAAGGAAAGGATTACTGCACTACTGAGATTCAATAATTTGATGAAAAAAGGGTTATTTACAAAAAGATTTCCTCTCGGCTTATCATTGAGCATTATTTGATAACGTGCCTCATCTGTGAACAAATATATAAAAAAACAAAACCAAAAAAAATTTCAATTTTTATAGATCAGAAAAAAGAAGGGTCTTTTTTAAAAAACATTTCAAAGGAAAAAAAAAAAGGAAAAAAGGGACCGATTTGTTAGAAATCATTCATATGGTTTTTTTTTTTAAAAAAAAAAAAAAATACAACTTGCTTTTCGGTCATGTTTTAGCCGACCAATCAAATGACGCCATAGAAAATGCTAGTAAACAAAAAAAAAAAAAAAAACAAATCCATCAATTTTTTTTTTCTGTTAACTTTATACTTCTTTTTTCAGAATCATAATATGGGTAAGCTTTTAAAATAAAAAACTATAAAACCTATTTTATAAACATGAATGTTTTTTTTTTTAGATTACCAAAAAGCAATGCTAGCTGATTTGATGTCCCAATATGTGGAAGTGGACAATAAAGATTTTTGGGATGACAGTGTAAGAAACAAAAAAAAAAAAAAAAAAAAAAAAAAAATCATAATATTTTGAATAAGAATTAAACTTTTTATTTTATTTTAGGTATGTAAAAATTACCTTGTAGCCTTTTGTCCTCATCTTTTATTTACCAATACAAAGTCTGATCTTGGTAAAGTAAAACTCAATATATGATTATTATTATTATACTAACTTTTGTTATGTTTTAGGTGCTTGTACAAAGATTCACAATGATCGTTTACGTGATAAATATCAACAATCTGACAAATCTAAATATCCTTATGAAGACGATTTTTATACCTTTCTTCAACAATTGATCAATGATGTTTCTAGGAAAATACGCAATGGAAGAGAACGTGTCAATCTTCAGGATGAAAAGAAAAAGGAAGTAAGTAAACAAAAAAAAAAGATGAAAATAAAAAATAATATTGATGAATTTTTATTTAGAGCAAAGAAATGGTGAATGAAGAACGACATGAAAAGATAGTACTTTTAGAAGTCAAAATTAAGGAATATCTTCAAAAGGTATAACTATTCTATTGTTTGAAAAAAAAAATTGATTTGATTTATTTATTATAGATTGAAGAAGCTGGGGAAGAAGGTCGTGTACAAGAAGCAAGTGATTTGACAAATCAAGTGGAAAGATTACAAGCAGAATTGAAACTATTGAAAGAGGTAAACAAAAAAAAAAAAAATGGAAATATGAAAATTTAATCTAATTTGTTACAAAGATGGAAGAAATGGCAAGTAAATCAGATAAACGGATGGAAGTATGTGAAGTATGTGGGGCATTATTGGTGACTCACGATTCAACAGAAAAACCAACAGCACATTATGATGGAAAGCAACACATTGGTTATATGAAAATCCGTGAAGCCTTGGAAAAACGAAATGTAAATTAAAGAAAAAATGAAATATAAATATATATTAATCTCATTTCTTCCAAATAGCAACAATCTAGACATTCAAGTCATGATCGTGATTATTCTCGAGCCCGATATGATTATCGTCGTGATAACAATGGAAGTAGAGATTACCGACAACGTCATCATGATCGTAGTAGACGTGATAATTATCAACATGATCGCCGCCGTCATCGAGATCGACAGGATGATGATTGGAATCGTGAAATGGAAAGATATGATCGTGGAAGAAGACAACGTGAATATTCTTCTCGTCGCTCTCGCTCTCGGTCTCCAAGACGTTGGTAACCCAAAAAAAATTAAAATTAAAAAAAAATAAAATAGAACTAAAACCTAGGATATTCAAAAAAAGAGAGAGAAAGAATGAACAACTTTTTTTTTTTTTTCTTTTGATCACTATCATTGTGGGATTGTGATTTTATAGATTGAAATGGAATTACAGTAACATTAGATAGTGATTAGCAAAATAGTATAGTTGTTTATATTTGAAATAAAGAACTGAAAAATATATCTTACACTTTTGATTTCCAATGATGATTTATGTGATGGATGACAAGAATGGATGCAATGGATGATTTGCTTGAATTGGTAATTGATGCTGGGTTCCAATATTCAAGCAAGTATTACTTTTTTTTTTTCCCTTTCTATCATGATATTCCATGTACAATACTCTTAACAACCTTTCATCATTATTCACAATCCTCTATCATCCATTATCTAGAAGAAGAAAAAAAATGAAATAGTACAATTTTTTTTTTTTTTAGAAAACAAATCTGGTACATCGAAATATTCCAACCTAGATAGTTTGTTTGGAAAAAAATCATTGAACAATGAGAAAATCAAGCTAGTTGATTGGATTAAAAGATCAGGAGAAAAAGAGGATATCTAAGATTGATATCTTAGGTAAGTTAAGCGGTCACATAACTTGATAAAGTAATATAATAAAACAACAAGGCGTAAGTGAGAGTTTACGATTTGACCCGTTTTTTTTCCCAAAGGAAGCGGAGTGGAAAATGATGAGAGCTTACGACAATAACCCGGTTCAACTTTTTTTTTTTGTGTCAATCGATTCATTTTCAACAACGAATACACGTGACAATGCACTATGATGGAAAAATATATGGGATCATAGCCAACTCACTATATGAGAATTAAATTATTATTAGTTATTTTTTCATGTTTGATAGAATAACAAATCAAAAAACTGTTTAAGGAGAGGGGAACGAGTTAAATGTAAATGAATGAGTAGGAGCATGAAAAATAAAACCATCTGATTGCAATCAAGGTATCCAATCGGTTGCCGGGAAAAATAGTGAATACGGAAAGAAAAAAAAAGAGAAAGAAAATATAGCCATTTTAAATAGCGCCTTTTTTTTTTTTTTTCTTTTTTCCCCCCTTGCTTTTTTTTTTTTTCGTTTCCTTTTTTCTTTCTCTATCCTCGATATTCTTAAGTAGGGTGATTTTTTTTTTTTTTTTTTGCGGATTCGAGATAAAAATAAAACCAACGGTAAATAATAATAAAAGAAAACAAAAAAAAAGAAGATTTTCTTTTTTATTTATTCTTTTACTTCTTTTTTTTTTTCTTATCTTTTTTTTTTTTTTTTTTACTCTCAAAAAGATAACTAGTGGTCTATGCCTTATTCAACTATATATTGTGACACTACACCCTTGTCTTCAAAGTCACATCATATTACAACTGACCCTAGTATGTATCGATGGCAACGATCTACTAAAGCAACAACGAAACCACCTTACGGTCGCAGCTTATCTGATCGGTTAGCTTATGTAGAAGCACTTGTAGATATGAATGCTATGGTGATTGAAGCCATATGGCCTAATAACTCAGCATCTTCCAATATTGTACCTTTACGTAGTTTCATCCAAGAAGTATTGAAACGATCTCGAACCACTTATTCAACTCTACAAACCGCCTTTTTTTATCTCTTCCGTGCTAGACCAGCCATTGTTCATTTTTTACACTCAACACAAACAAAACAAATCCCTCTTAGTGGTCGAGATGCTTATATCCATTGTGGAAGAAGAATGTTTTTGGCCAGTTTGGTCGTAGCTTCCAAATTTGTACAAGATAAAACTTATCGAAACTCTGCTTGGGCCAAGATTGCTGGATTACCTGTACAAGAAATCAATGCTTCAGAAAGAGTCTTCTTAGGCTTATTAGATTATCGACTTTATGTGGCTCAGGCAACCTTTGATCAATGGCATCAATTATTACATGCTCATGTTCAAGCCAAAACATCAACAAAAAAGTTTAATCATACCTCATCAACAAATACTACTTCCAATAATTCGCGACTTTTCCAATCTCCTCCTTCTTCACCCTTATCATCATCACAATATTCAACTTTACCTTCTCTACGTATAACATCATCATCATCATCATCATCATCATCTTTGCATTCTGACAATTATCCATCCTTACCTTTACTTCGTACTAGTTTACTGGCATCCTCTTCTTCTTCTTCTTCATTACCAGCACTTTCACCTTCTTCTATCACTTCCAATTCTTCCAATTGTTCTCCTCTTCTTATGCCTACGCCTCCTTCAGTGAACAATACTGGAAAACGTCCTTTGTACGATCATGATCTCATCTCTTCTTATCAATCATCTCAAAGAAAACGACCTTGCAGTGCCTGGTCGACAACTGATTCTTCTTGAATCATATATATATTATATATATATATGAAAATTACCAAATGACAATATAGCTTATACCTCTTTCTCTTTCTTATATTACTTTTTTTTTTCTTTTTTAATCATCATCTCTTTGTTTTATTCCCAAATCAATAAAGAAAAAAAAATGATACTTGTTTTTTTTTTTTTGTTTTAAATTTAGTAATGCCGTTTATCTTTTTTTTTTTTTTTTTTTTTTTTTTTTGTCGAATGATCTTCAAGTCCATTAAGTAGGAAAGAAAAATCATGTCATACGTTGTGCATTTATTTGTAAGCCCCGGTGGCACTTTTCCGTTTTTTTCGTCATCGGTTTCCTTTTTTGGGATATTCAATCCAGGAGATCAGGTCTTTTATTTGACAGAAGATATCCTTTTTTTTTTTTTCATTTGTCTGTTTGAACTTTTTTTTTTATCATATGATTTATTTTTTTTTTTTTTTGAAATCTAAATAACGTACAATCAATACATATTTTATAAAATTGACTCACTTTTGAAGGAGGTCATCATTCCATCCAAAAAGTTTTTATCTTTATTTCCCAAGCAAATCATCAAAACTTTATTCTTTCAAACTACTATTTTTATTTTTTTGATCAAGAACTTTACAGGAAAATATCCATTCCCATTTCTGGACAGTCCACAAACAAAAAAAAACACTTTTTTTTTCTTTTGGTTCCCTTTACTTAAAACTGATCATACTATCATTAAACCTTTAAGATGTGTTCATTAGACTATTCCAATCTGAAGAGAGAAGAAGAAAAAAAAAAAAAGACGTTTCTCTCACTAAAAAACAATCATCAGAGCTTATGATCTACCCAAGAGTGTCACCATGGCTAAGTGACTGCAAGGAGACACGATTCAGCCACCGCCATGAGCATAATGAATGAGATTTTTTTAGGTTCCCTTTTTCGTGTTCAGTTTTTTTTTTTTTCCTTTTTTTTTTTTCATCTTGTTCAAACATTGATCTCATCATTAATACATTGTATATCTCACCCTTTCCTTAACAAGTCTTTTTTTTTTTAAAAAAAAAATACATACATATACACCTCATACACTTCCTCGAGTTATCTATTCTCAAGTTCACTTTTTTTTACTTTCTTATCTGTAACTCTTATCCAACGATCGCTTTACCATGTCCACTACAGCAACTGTACAAAAACGAAAATTGGTGATTGTCGGTGATGGTGCCTGTGGTAAGTTAAACAAAAATGAAAACACTCCTATTTCTTTAAGAAGTTAATATAAAAGTTCTTATTTGATATACTTAGGAAAAACGTCATTATTAACAGTATTTGCTCAGGGCAGGTTCCCTTCGGTAAGAAAAACCTATTCAAATAAATAAATATAACTAATGTTTTTTTCCATAGGGTCATGTTCCTACAGTGTTTGACAGTTATGTTAAAGACTTTGATGTAGATGGGAATCATGTAGAATTGGCTTTATGGGATACAGCAGGTAAAAACTGATTGTTTATGAAGCTTATCACAATATATATATTTAGTACTGTGAATACTTTTTGCTCTTTGTGTCACAATATCATTTATTCACTCCAGTTTTTTTTTTATTACATATTAGGACAAGAAGATTATGATCGATTACGACCACTTTCCTATCCGGATACCAATGTGATCTTGATTGCATTTGCTACTGATTTACCTGATTCTCTTGACAACATTACTGAAAAGGTAAAAAAAAAAAAAAAAATCAAACATTTATATATATACATGTATAAAGATGTGTATCTCATCTTTTCTTTTTTTTGATGATAATCATATTTTGTTTTTTAGTGGTTACCTGAAGTAAAGAAACATTGTCCAGATCAACCTTATCTTTTGGTAGCATGTAAAAGTGACTTGCGAAATGATCCTTTGACAATTGATGAATTAAAGAAAATAAATGCAGCACCAGTGTCTAGTGAACAAGGCATGGCGATGGCTACTGCAATCAAGGCCTATGGTTATGTAGAATGTTCTTCCAAAAACAACCAAGGTGTAGTGAATGTCTTTGAAGAAGCTGTCCGTGCAACCAACTCCAAATCTTCCTTTGATCAAAATAACTCGAAAAAGAAAAAGGATTGTATAGTTATGTAGTTTTTTTTTTTATACACTCTCTTGCTTAGTATAGTTTGCGTATATCAATCATTTTTTCTTATTCCCTTCCTCTCTCTCTCTCTCTCTCTCTCTTTCTGCTTTGCTCTATCACTTGTATTTTGTATATCCAAAAATAATAAACTTTTTTTTAAAAATATATATATATATAATGACTTGTTACATTATGCTATTACTATTGTTGTTAATCATGGAAGGTTTCCAAAACAATCGATCCCACAAAGATCTTAATGATCATATATAATCAATAATTTTTCTCCATGAATCATTTTTCATAAGTCTATGCGGTTGTACCATACACTTTATTCAATAATAATTGACGGAATTCAAAGAATAAGATGTCGCAAAAATAGGAAATAAAATATCGTAAGGATAGAAAATAAATGACAGAAGAAAAAAAAATATAATTGTCGCATCATCAAATAGAGAATATAAGAAAATAGATATCATGAAAAAAAGAGTAATCAAAAAAAAAAAAAAAAAAGGAAATCCACCAATTGAGTTCACCAAGTTATCATATAAAAAAAATAAAAAATAAAAAATGAGTAATACTTATCCAAATAAAAATATTTCACTAGCTTACCATTTAAGTGTAATGTGATCGCCGTAGCGAAAGTAGGATGGCGATAACCATCCCGGAATTGTTGAATATAAAAAAAAAAAGGCTGACCGTAACCACGCAGATGCGCATTAGCGACCACGGTCAAGCCCAGAAAGCAAAAAAGAGGTAGATCAACGGAGAAACAGACAAAGATGCTTGAACTATTAAAGAGTACTTGTATAGAAAAAGATAGGCAAAAAAAAAGAAGGCAGATCAAAAAGTAAGCAGGTAGGCCAAAAAGATGAATATAATGTAAAGAAATAAAAAAAAAAGTTAAATCAAAGGGATCCTTTTATAAGAAAATGAATCACTCGTGCAATTATGAACTAATTTTAGTTGATAAAATGATGAGACAAGATGTAAGCGAGTTTTATCTTTTTTTTTTTAAAAAAATATTAGCAACATTTCTATCTTTATATCGTATCTAATTCATCATCATTTTTTTTAGTATCTACTTTATTATTTTAGTATCTACTTCATCATTTTTTTTTAGTATTAGCAACATTTCTCTCTTTCTATTGTATTTAATTTATCATTGTCTTTTTTAGTATCTACTTCATCATTTTTAGTATCTACTTCATCATTTTTTTTTTTTTTTTTTTTTTTTTTTTTTAGTGTTAGCAACATTTCTCTCTTTATAATAAAGTTAATTATATAAATGTTCACATTAAGTTCTATTATTACAATATCCATGTACTAAGTGATACATGATACTGACTTGTTTTTGTCGTGTTTTAGTTTAATTACTAGATTTCTTTTTTTTAGTTGTTCTATTTTAAATGATAGTATGATTGTGCACAGGATACTTATTATTGCCATTTTTTAATTTCCATAGGTGATCATTATTATTATTATATTGATTTATCATGTTGGCTGATAAAAGAGTGTTTTGACATTTTTCAAAGAGAAGAAGAAAAGAAAAAGAAAATGCTGTTCTGTCAGAAGGTAACTAGAACGAAGTATTTTGTATTTTATCAGTAATTTGTACAGTGGCTGACTATAATCATCCATCATCCATCATCAATCATCAATCATCAATCATCAATCATCAATCATCAATCAATGACATACTCTACCGACATCTCTGGAGCGATATCTGAAAAAGTGGTAATGCGACATTCATTTTGGGAAAGTACGATATTTTATTTGATAACATCACGAAAAGCATTTTCTTGTGACCCGACAAAAAACCTTGAAAACACTGTATTTCCACTGAGAGAGAGGATGGTTTTTTTTTTTTTTTTTTTTTTTTTACCCGCTTGCTGAATAAGCTTTCGACATTTTTTTTTTCTTTCCGCTTTTTTTTTTTTTTTTTTTAATTCTTCTTTTCCTTACTACTACAATGACAGCATGTTCAAAACTTCTTCAACTTCCCATTGAATTATTAGAATCAATAAGTTTAGAACTAGACGTATGTTCTTTATGGAATCTATTGGATACATGTACTTCTTGTCGATACCCACTATTGGCGTCTCACCGTATTTGGCAACGACTTATTTTCAATCTTGACTGCGGGCTTTCTGCTGTCTATGCTGCACTTCGACGTTTCCGTGATTCGAATGGTCTTGGTTTACGTTTACTAGTGAAAGAAGTAAGTCAAATTCAGGTTTTTTTTATAGAATATATGGTTATTTATTTATTTTTATTATAAATTGGACAGGTAGTGATGGATGGTACGGATGATTCAATGATATCACCCATTGTTATGATGGTCAAGTTCCCAAGGATGCAAAAGCTCAGTGCTAAACATCGTAGATTCAACACCAATTTGGAGGCAGATACAAAGATTTTACAGGAATTAATGAAACGTGGTTCACTAGAAGAAAACAGTTTGGCTTTGGAACAATTGGACATATATCATTATTACATGGATCAGGAACCTCATCTGGATGTATATCAAAAGACATTGAATAGGCTCAGTCAACATGGAAAGGTATCTTTGGATGTACGACGATGTAAGGAATGGAATGGAGAAAGAAGTAGAAGAAGTATCGATATACCACAACAACAAGAAGAAGAAATATTAGAACAACTAGATGATTTAAATATTCATCGTGACAATAATTATTGTCACAAAGTGATATCAACAACAGCAACGTGTTGGAAATGTGATTATGAATTCAAACGATGCTGGCATTGTGTCACCCATTGTACTCAATGTCGATCAGTAAGGTTACCGCCTCTAGCAAATGATAATTCTCGCAAACAATTGAAACTTCGATCTCAACAAGATGAAGATACAAGTATGGATCAGGATCTGAAGGAACAATTTAGTTTATTTGAATAGTTTTTAGTATGTTGATTGAAATAAATTGAAGTATTTTTTTTATTTGATTCAAGATTTTTTTTCATTGGGATCATATGACAAAGATGAAGCCATTTTTTTTTCTTTTTTTTTTGGAAATCGATATCGGTTTTGAAAAAAAAAAAAAGGTAGAAAAGTCGTCCACTAAATTTCTTTTTTTTTTTTCTTTCTTTTCTTCTTTTATATTTTATCTCTTTTATTATAAGCGGACTTGCGTAATCAAGTACTGGTGCTCACTATAAATCTTTTAAACAATTAATCAAATTTACTTTTTTTTTAATTTTGGCCATTTATCATGTTAGTTGCCCTGGAATGTTTTTACATTGATGTGTAGTGATTGTGGACCATTAGCATAATGATTTTCAAAGTCCGTATTTTTTTTTTATTTTATTTTTTGATAGATATTTTTTTTTTACTGTTCTTTCCTTTCTTTATAGACTTTCTAATCTTAGTACATTAATTATGCTCTATAGTTAGTCATACTTTTTATTTTTTATTCTTACCACTTTAGTACAAGTCAATGTAATTGATTCCATCTTACAATGTATTTTTATTCTTTGTTTGTGAAAGCATTCTTTAGTTTTATGGATATGGTTAAGGAATGCGCTGATATTCACTGCGGACCGTCACTGAATTCACCTAGTCAGCTTCTGAAAAAACAAGGAATTACCAAGCTGATTAAGGAACTATCAAATCAAGGTAACATTTTGAAGAAAGTCTGTATATACATGCTCTAATTTTTTTTTTTTTACTTAGATAATGTTAATGGATTTGGAAGATCATGTTGCTCAATACTCAAGGGATATCACTAACAAAATGCAAACGATCACAGGTACAAGCAAGTCATAAATTTCCACTACCGACAAACGAACTCTTCGTGTGCTTCGCATTGCTATGGACTATCTTGAATCAAACTTAACTTCGATTAAAAATGGATTATTGACCTCTTACAGCGAAAATGATTTCTTGGTGAAAATTTGGGGCCCCTACTAGAAGGTGTTTTGTTTATTAACAAAAATATGGTCCGGATGAAGACGTAAGTACCTCTTCTTTTGAAATACTGTAGAATACTAACCTTTTTTTTGTAGGGGCGAAAGTGTGAACGATGCCTCGACTGAATCCAAGAAACATCAATATCCACAAAATACCAAAGTCATGAACTAAAAAGTCGTCAGATGAATATAGATCTGAGACATCTATCACACAAAATCTATTGTTCTTCAATAATCAATCTATTTTTATTTTATTTTATTTCCAGATTACTTATATAAATATACCTTAGTTTTTATTTTATAAAATAATCAATTTTAAGTTATTTTCTTTATAATAAACAATATAAAAGAATCTCACTTATTTATTATCGTCTTTATTTTACACAACAAAAAATCAACTAATATCACAAAGTTGACCCGAGAAGGGAAGGATGGATTGATTCGTGTGGCTCTTGATGATGACAAAGCAAATAACTGCTCAGGGTGGGTGTTGCAGTTGTCAGGCATGTATGGTCAAGTCGCGTCAGTCCATCTAGCTGACAATGGTCTTTATGTCGCTGTTAATCAAGGAAAAAGATTGGTCTTTCCTTCCTCTATCTCAAACATGGATGTACTTTTGGATACTTTGGAAACGTTACTCTTATTTGTGGTAAGGGTTCTTTTTTTTTTTTTGTTCGCTTGATTTATTAAACTGGCATTTTTTTTATTTTATTTTATTTTTAGGCAAAAATGGAATCACATGCTCATTTGATCAAGGATACCATCGAAACTATGGAATCTCGACGCAGATCTCTCGGAAAAATGTTTAATAGACCACGTCCACTTACTTCTGGGAATAGGAAGTTATCTACACTCCCCCAACAAACGACTCACAGCAGTCCACCCTCCCTCCTGATCTTTTTGGGGAGTTAGTCCGTGATGATGGTCTTGCTACTTCCTCTAGTCGATCAACAACAATAGAATACGATGGTGATCCTGATGAATTTGGATTCATCAAATTGATGGATGGTCGCGTATACAATGTCATTCAAAAAGAAGTCATGGATAGGCACCCCTTCGATGAATAAAGTATATACTTTATTTAAAATCATATATGATTTTGATCAGTCGTTGCTCAAGGCCAAACAAAACAAACCAGCATTATCATCACTCTTATCATCCACTATAGCTTTATTAGTTAGTTCCTTATACATCTTTTTTTTTTTATCTCTCTCATGCCCTTCTCCAATGCATATACGCATATATACCATCTTACTTTTATATATCATTAAATAAATACCAAATGCCTGCTTTGTTTTTTTATTTTTATTTTTATACAATTGGCCTTTATTTTATACATCATGTTTATTGAAATATACTGAGTTTTTCCGTTCGCTTGGTGGACAACCAGATTTTTTTTGTAACTTAACGGATGTTTGAAAATATAGATTGATGGATGATATTATTAATATAATAATGATGATTGTTCGAAGTGAGCATCAGTTCTTTTATATAAAAAGAACAAAATAGTATAAAGTATATTTAAATATGAGTTCCAAATATGGAAGTGGATGTCTTGGGTATTTGATCACACTTGATGATGATCAAATAATATAATAATAGAATTGATTGTTTAAGATAGATATTTGTTCAAATAAAATAAAAGTTAAAACTTAAGATGATTGTTTTCTTAAGAGTGGCCAAGATGATTTGATTAAACAATCTTTTATTGAATTTGTTATAATAAAACTTTGATCTTTGACAAAGAGAGAAAAAATATATAAACTACTAGATGTATTTATACTAAAAATATTTTGAATGATTACTCGTGTGTTAATGAAACCAGTTTTGATGATGGGAAAGAAAAACGGATGAAACTGGAAATGTTGATAAAAAAAAAATAAAAACGCATGAAACTAGTTTATGTGAAGTGTTGGGAAAGAAAATCGGATGAAACTGGTATAACGGATGACACGATTATGAGTAAAATATAATAACAAAATAAAAATAAGAATAAAATAAAAATAAAGATAAAGATGAGTGGTAGGATCATGTAAAAAAAGGATTGAAGAAAGGACATTGGAAAAAAAAGGATTTCATATTCCGAGATTATAGCAATGTTCCATGACTAGCAGCTGACTGGATTGCTTTTGTTTTCTTCGCCATCGCCAGGTTTTTTTACATGTAATATGGATCGGAAGAGCACGGGGAACTGGGCTAAACCGCATTGTTGGTTGAAACCATTCTGTAAATTGGGCCTTTCATGTCCATTGTGAATGTCATCACAGAGCAGCCTAAAATCATAACATTGTTCAGGTTATTCTATATCTCTATTGTAAACTATTTACCTTCCACTAGAATACCAAATACAGCTGCATCTTCAACACCCATGATCCTTATCAACTTGTTCAGCATTGCTTTCATTTCTACCCCAAGTTTTACGAAATCTGAAATGTCTACACAGCCTAACTTTCCAAGAGTGTTTTGTCATGAACATACCAGTAATAGACAGACAGACAAAGACAGAAGTGTCAGTATACGTTTACAAGAATATAGTAGTTGCTTGATATAGAAGAATATGTAAAAAGTAATTGTTGACCGAAGATAATTTTTTGTTGATATAAAATAAATAGCGCTTTTTATATTCTACAACTAAAGGAGATTGTTAACTATTAATGTTGGTCTTTTGAGAAAAGAAAAAGAGACAAAAATAAAGAAGAGAAAAAAGAGAAGTTTTTTTTGCGGGGGTTGAAGTATCACATCTTGAGAGGAGGAGAGAAGGTGATAAAAAAAAATAAAATATTCGTTTCGCATTTTTTTCTTTTCCTTTTTCTTTTCCACATTCCCCATTTTTTTTTTTCCCCATATTGGGTGTCCTCTATGTTTTTGCCATCTTGGTAAGTTTTATTAGATTTGGAGCGCTTTGAAAAAGGGATTGATAAAATACATGGGAAAACTCAGGATTTAGTACTGATAAAATACTTTAAAATAAGTTGTCTTCTTTTATATATATGTATGAATTGCTCCTGGAAACATCGTTGACTTCTTCTAGTGGGATTGAAGAAGAACCATCAATTAGACAAATGTCAAGATCTGAATTCAAGACGGTCTCCGGCGAGACAAAGCGAAGAGCATATCTGGAACTGAAAAAAGCAACAACAATGGTTAGACACAGTCCTGAAGCACATTTGAAGAATCAGCACTACCTTCTTTAAAAAAAGCCGATGTTGTTCAAGCACGCCATTGATCAACGATTATCCAGTATCCAATTTACCATCTTGAACATTCACGACAAAGATTCAAATCGGCCCAAGGAAAGCAACGTACTGTTGCAAACAACTGGTAAGAAATTCGATCGCATGATTTATTGGTAGTTTGAACGAAAAACTGATTGGATGGCAAGACTTCTTTTGGTGATTACTGACGACACTGTAACGAGCTTAGCTGCAGAGATTGGATCTATTGTGTGACCGTTCGAAATCTGTTTTTGGCAACCAAATGTGTAAAATAAAATAAGACTATTATCCAAATAATGGGCTGACCAATGGATTCAATGAAATCGACGTAAGTTTTTGCAGGAACTATATATACACTCTAATCACTTTGCTTTTGGCAATTTTTTTATATAGACGATGATGACAACGTTGGAAATAAATCTATCAGAATATTCCAAAGATACTACAAACAACATCAAGGTAATCAGCGGAAGAAGCAAAACACCATCTGCTGTCAACCTGGACGCCTGGATCTCTGAGGTACGATGGGTTGATGGAAATGGCAACGAAGATGATGAAAATGATGACGAAAATGATGATGAAAGTGACGATGAAAGTGATGATGAAAATGACAATGAAAACGAAGAAGAAAATGAATTATGATTAGTTGTAATTAAGATTTTCTAGAAATAAAATTGATTGATTGAAATAACATGTCGTTGTCTTTTGTCGTCTTATGTCAAATAAAATCTCTTATTATGCAAATCACATCGTCTCAAGGGAGAAAAATGATTGCATGTGAATGATTAGGTGGTGTACACAAACTTAAAAATTTAAGGCAACGCAAACATTTTTTTTTAAGTATGAGTACTTGTACCTCTTTTTTTTTTTTCCAGTTTATTATTTTCTTATACCTCTTTTTCCCTCTTTTTTTTTTTTATTATTATTATTTGACATGGCAAAAAAACCGAGTCTATTTTCTATTATATTATGGATGAGTCCCATCATAGCCTCCACTACTTATACTCATTTCAAAGAAGGTAACTCATACACCAACAAATAAACAAGCATCTATCCTAATCAAATAACAATTATCATTAGGTCCGCCTGCTAAATCTTGGAGTTTAAAGTATTATTTGATGATAGCCCTCATTCGAGCCTATATTACTGGTCCAGCTTCTAAGCTCACTCCTCAACAAATGCAAAAAGGATTCATTAAACGCGTCCCACCACCAGCCAAAGACTGCCAAGAAATAGAGTTAACCGTGCCTTGTGAATATCGACAACGTGGTGGACATACTCTTGGTAAGATCTTGAGTCAACAGGATGAAGCTCTTATTGGATGGAATTGGCGTACTGATCGTTCCCAGTCTGATGCTCTTCAAGGTGCTTGGATTCAACCTAATCAACAAAGGAACAAAAATAAAAAAAAGACCTTATTATATTTCCATGGTGGTGCTTATTTTTTGGGGACTTATAAGATGTATCGACCTCTTTTGGGAAAATTGGCCATATTAGCTGATGCTAACGTGTTTACAGTCGACTACCGTTTGGCACCTGACCATCCTTTTCCTACAGCTTTGGAGGATGCTCTTGCTGCTTATATGTACTTGTTAGATCCTCCAAAAGATGCTCTTTTTGATCCTATTCCTTCTTCTCAAATTGTTATATCTGGTGATTCAGCTGGTAAAAAAAAAAAAAAAAAAAAAGGTCATAGATTTTATATAGAGATGCGTGTTGAAAGATATTCATTGCATTTTTTTTTTTTATATATAGGAGGAGGATTGACAATGTCATTGTTGATTTGTATTCGTGATAGTGGACTACCTATGCCTGCTGGTGCTATTCCTATCTCACCTTGGTTAGATTTAACGCATTCTTTACCTTCTTGTCGTACCAATCAAATGACGGATTACTTGCCAAATGTATTCAACTCTTTAAAAAAAGCAAGTCCATTGAAAGACACTGATGAAGAAAAACAAGATGATATGCTTTTCTATGGCGTACTGGATGAAACTCTTGAACAAATCCATCTTTATACCCATAATCGATGTCTCAAACATCCTTTGGTCAGTCCTTTGTTCGATCGATACCGATGGCATGGACTTCCTCCTCTTTTGATTCAAACAGGTGATGCGGAACAACTACGTGATGAATCCATCTGTGCGAGTTTCAAAGCTACGGATCAATTCAGTGATGGACCTCCTTCTCTGGATTCAACTACCCATCTCAAACGATTACCCCTTACTCAAGTGACTCTGGATCTTTATGATGATCAACCTCATGTTTTTCAATTATTGATGCCATCCAAATCTGTCGAACGTTCTATCCATACAATGGCTGCATTTTTATCTGACATTGAATCCAACAAACAACAACAACAAGAACCTTTAACTATTCGTTCTGTGGCTCATGATGGACAAGTACAAGATGTTACAAAAGATATGATCAAGATTCATGCTGGAGACACTTGGCAAGATTGGGAAGATCGATTGGACAATACAAGTTTGAAATCAAGATTCCAGCAAGCAAGATTATGAAGGATTGTACTATTATTACATACACTCTCTCTTTTTTTTTTTTGTATTCTCACTGTAGTTGTTATTCTTTCTTGTACTCTTATGATGATCCATCGAAATAAAAATACCTTTGATATATTATTATTGATGATTTTTTCTTTTTTTTTTCTAGTTTTTATTGTTTGAATTCGTTCTAATGATAAGAAAAAAAAAGTATATGTGAAAGTCTAATCTGATGGAATCGAAGTTGTATCTATACTACATGAAAATTAGACCAAATAATGAGAATGATTTTTTTAAGAGATATGAGATGGAAAAAGAGAAATGATCTAGATAATACGAGGAGCAAGGGAAGCAGCCTTCATCCAGTTCTTTTGACGTAATTCAGCCGCCACAACACCTAATACACGAGTACCAAGAGGTTCCTTCTTTTGATTCAATAAGATACAAGCATTATCATCAAAGCGAATATAACGACCATCAGGACGACGCATTTCCTTCTTTGTACGAACCACTAATCCATGTTTGACATCCCCTTTCTTAACCTTTTGAGATGCTGCTTGAGTACCGGCAATGTTGGGATTGATTGGTCGAGCTTTCTTTACAACACATACAATTTCGTCACCTACATATAAATGAGATATATATATATATAGTTAGTTTAATGTATCAAGAAAATATATACAAGTATATATTGTATATATAATTTATTTTCCTTTCATTCTATTATTACTATTATTTTTTTTTTTTTTTACTTACCAGCTCTAGCAAATCGTGCACCACTCATGACTCGAATACATTCAGCAACAATGGCCCCAGAGTTATCAATAACATTTAAAGTTCCCTTTAATCCGATCATCGTTGTTAACAAAAAAAAAAAAAAAAAAAAAAAAAAAAAAAAAAGGTAAGGTGAAAAGAATATCCCCCCTCTTTGGAGACCCGGTTGACTGTCACAAAAAAAAAATAAAGCCAATGAAATGACATTTCCTTTTTGAGTTTGAAAATAAAGCCATTGGCAACATACTTTTTTAAAGGGACAGTTTTATTGGTTCATAAGGATCAGAATCATTTCATGTAGGAATAGTTACACGGATATCCTTTTCAGTGGGTTTGTTACATCATAGATATCAAATTTTTATGATTGGGGTTCTCCATTCTTTTTTTTTTTTAAAAAAAAAAGCAGCTAATGACATGGATTCTATGTCAAAAAAAAAAAAAAAAAAAAAAACAAAGATGACAATATATGTTCTAAAACATTTGAGGTTAAGTAGTCTAACCTAACCTACTTTTTTTCCAGAAATAGTGTAAAAGAATGCAACTTCTTTCACACATACATAATATAAATAAACGAAGTGCATACTTATATCAACTTCTTTTTGTCGGCATGCAAAAAAAAAAAAATGTAATTTAAAACAATCTTATCAAATACCATTCAATAAATCAGGCGGGAAAAGCTTTTTTTTTTTTTGATGATCATTAAGTGGCAAACACGTTTTTTTTCAATTGAAATGATTTAATTATTCAAAATGCAGTTACTATGTTTGGCAATGGGCACAATAGAGAAAAAAAAAAGGGCGTCAAACATACATAAAGAACCGAGTCGGTTTTTTTTTACCCTTCTTTTCTCTCCCCTTTTTTTTTTTTTCTTTCTTTTTCTTTTTCTTTTCTTTCTTCTTTTCTTTTCTTTTTTTTTTTTTATTTTTATTTTTTTTTCATACCCGAATTTTATTTACCCCCCCTGTGTGATTTATATTATTATTGTATGCTAAGCAGTCATCATTACCACTCAGACAAACATAGTAGTGGTGAAGGGGATGGACCCGATAATAATAACACCCATCATATACCACCAAGTGATAAAGATTATGCTCAAAGAATGCAACAAATCGATGATTTAAAATATTTCTTGGCCACAGCGAATGATGGATGGGATGCTACGTCGACCTCACTTCAAACGCCATCCTATCAAGTGCATACATTCCCACTTCCGACGGGGGAACATATCTCATGCGTGTTATGGAATAACCTTTATCATATTACCGGCACCGACATTGTACGATCCTTAGTGTTTCGATTCCATGCCTTTGGTCGGCCTGTTCAAAACTTGAAAAAATTTGAAGAAGGTGTATTTAGTGATCTTCGTAACTTGAAGCCAGGTCAGGATGCTTGTTTGGAAGAACCTAGGTCTGACTTTCTCGACATGTTATACAAAAACAATTGTATTCGGACCAAAAAGAAACAAAAAGTGTTTTATTGGTTTTCTGTCCCGCATGACCGCTTGTTCCTGGATGCCCTTGAACGTGATCTGAAAAGGGAAAAACTGGGTATTGAAACCACTAGCATTGCTGTAGCCGAACCTGCCACTTCTCTTTCTTTGGACTCAACTCAAGAATTATTTGATCATCTGAGGAAATCTTTATCCCTGATCCCTTCTTCTCATCCTGATGATACCGAAGACGATGATCTCAACAACAAATTGGCTTCTTCTTCTTCTAAATCTTTAGGTAATATACCACATCATCATTATCATCGTCATCAATAAGAGAGAGTGTGGGTTTTTTTTTTTTTTAATTCAGGCGTGTGTGTGTGTTGATTGATGATGCCCTTTCTGGTGCCGTGTGAGTTGTAAAATTTATATATATGTGCTAGTGGGGGACTCAACAAATAAACAATTAAAAGTTATATTGTATCCCCTTTTTTTTTTTTCTCTTTTGTTTTCTTTTACTTGCGATTTTTTTTTTTTTCAACGAGAGCAAAAAAAAAAAAAAAAAAAAAAATGATGAACAATCTATTCTGATTTCCTTTTTTTTCTTTTTTTTTTTTTTTTAAAAAAAAATCTTTGATATGGTGATGTTATATTTTAGTGGATGCCTCGTCAATCAAGGTTTGGAACGATCAAACCCAATTGGGTAATGCTGAAGCACCGATAGCATCACGCGATTCTTTTGGTCTGGGACAATATGAACATCGTCGAACGAATAGTAATCTATCTATAAGATCATGTCCTTCGTCTTTCAATGATGATGATGATGATGATTCTTTTTACGACAAACAAGAAAATAATCGATTATTACAACATCATCCTTTTCGACCATCTAGATCTTTGGATCTTCAAATGACAAAGAAGATTTTTGGGAAATTACCACTTTTCGATGGGTCTCCTACTTATAAACAAAGGCGTCATCGTGCTGCATCCACCAGTCATCAAAGTGGTACAACCTCTCCACTTTCATTGTCACCTGCTTTTGCAAGAAAGACTATTGTTGGACGTGGCACTTGTGCTTCTTCTCCTATATGTGACACGAAACAACAACAACAACAACGATCTTCTTCAAGTCGATTGATGAAAGCAGCAGTCATGGCAGGTTATCATCAACAACAACAATGGGAAGCCAAGTATGATAATAATAATAAGCATGATAATGATGATAACAAGAAAGATCATTCAATCACCTTATCAGATGACGATGATGATGATGATAATGATGATGAAGAAGATCAAACCAATGATGATAACAAGGCATTGATTTCTACGGCTTCTTATAATGCTTTGGCGAAAGCTACTAGTGCATTGGCTTCAGTGATGGGTGATGATCCTCGATCAAGATGTACATTTACTTGTCCTTTACATTCCTGTGGTCGATTATTTCGTCGGTTGGAACAATTGAAACGTCATCTTCGTACACATACATTACATCGACCTCATTTTTGTCAAACATGTGGTAAACGATTTTCCCGTTCGGATAATTTGACTCAACATAAAAAGATACATCAAAAACAGGCATCAAATGATATACAACAACAACAGCCACCATCTTTTGCTTCTTATTCTGCTGATGATGACAACAAATTCTATCCTATCATGGAACCTTTGACTTTATTGAATGATGATATCAAACCAGATGATACCTTTCTTTTCGACTCTGATCAACAACAACAACAACAACAATTTCAATCATGGATGATGAGAGGTCCATGGATGGATGTTTATGATGGTAGTCTTAACAGTAGTCTTTGTAGTAGTCCAGTGATGAATGACCCATCTTATCAACAGTATGTGGTTTCTGGAGCATCATCTATTGTGCCTTCTCCTTCTTCTTCGACATCCTCTCCTTATGCCAATTCAACCAATGAATATCATTATCAACTCCAGCGTCAACAAATGAATGCATTACAACAAGCTTTGGCATCATGTATGAAAACAACCAATCCCTTCTCTTCTTCTTCTTCTTCTCAATCCATCCCATGGAATTCTCAATCATCTGGATCTCTTTTGACTTCACCTTTTGTTCCACCTTTTTCTATGGAGGAGGACGATGTTGTAAATGATTGGACCCATTGGACAAAGGTAGCTAAATCACCCACAACCATGAATTTGAACGATCTTCATTCCTTTGATGCTTCATCGTAATGGTTCTTTTTTTTATATGATATTCCCTATATGCATATCTCCTCTGATTTACTTTTTTTTTTTTATTTACTATTATGATAACTATGATCTATGATTTATGGCTTTCACCTTTTTTTTTTATATGCATTTTTTTTTATCTATTTGAACAAACAAACGAAAGGATCTTAATACTATATATTAGTATGATATGATTCTCTCTCTCTAACATGTTTAAAAAAGAGGACCCTTTCAAAAAAAAAAAAAAAAAAAAAAAAAGACGTTGACATTGAACAAAAAAAAAAAAATATTTATAGCTATAAATAGTAAATAGTAACAATAATAATAATAAAAAAAACGTATATTATAATAATCAAAAGTAATGTAAACATTTTTATTAAGTGTGTAGGGAATAAAAAGTAAGAAAGAGAGAGAGAAAATAAAACTAATAAAGAAATATGGATTCACTTTGGAGAGAGATTTACAAAGGTTTTCGGACGACAAAGAAAAACATGGGAGTAAACAAGTTTTGTTGAGCACCAGCAACGAGAGCATCAGCGGCGACTTCCAAGAATTTTTGAGTTTCTACAGTACCTTTGGGAGCAAGACCAATTTTTTCTAAAACACGACACATGTTGGTAGTGGTGAATCGACCAAGACGGGTCATGGCCAAGGTAGTCACATAATCACGGAAAGTTTGACATTTGCGTAAATCACCTTCCAAGGGGTAATACCAAGCAATCGAGTCACCGACATCTGCCATATCTTGATGTAATTCGATTTCGAATCCAACATTCTTCAAAGCTTGTAAACATTCAGCAGTAGGTCGCATCTTGGGAATACCATTACCACGTTCAATACCATGACCAATTTCATGATGTTTGGGATTGCTGGCATCATAATCATCCGTCATACACCATTCATAACATCCAAACTTACCTCCAGGCTTCAATACACGAAAGATTTCTCCATACACTCCTTCAAAAGTAGGGGCATGACAAGTCGCTTCAATGGCATAAACCGCATCATAAGAATTATCTTCAAAAGGCATTTCCATAAAGTTACCCTATCATTATTATATTTGAGTCACACACGTGAAAATATTTTTTATTTTTTTTTTTATTTTTACCTTGATAAAATTGGTTTGATTTTGTAATCCTTCTTTGGCAGCATAATGAAAAGCACGTTCAACTTGGTAAGCATTATTATTCAAACCAGTAATATGAGCACCAGTGAAATGAGCAATTTCACGAGCTGGTCCACCTTTTTTATATTTAAAAAGAAAAAAAAAAGGATGATGAATTTTTTTTGTATTCTTTTTTTTTTCTTTTCTTTTCTCACTTACCAACACCACAACCAACCTAAAATAATTCATTAAAAAAAAAAGAAAAGATATCTTTTAATCTACCATTGTTTTATCCTAATCCTTAACTTACATCCAAAACCTTCATACCCTTCTTGATACCAGTATTAGCAGCCAAATAATGTTCATGACGAGCAATAGCACGGAAGAATTCTTCACCAGGATAATAACGACAGAAATGGAAACTAGTACCCCAACCTATAATAATATATAACATAAATATCAAAGTTTTTTTTTTTTTTTTTTGTTACCATATTCATAAAAATCAGTAGCCAAGTTATAATAAGAATTGACAAGTTTAGTATAACTATCTAAACGTTGGTCTTCATCTTCCTTTGTTTCATTTTCAGCCTTTTTCCACATCTTGAGGTAAGTATCAGTAGCAACATTGTGGACATCAGCATTCTTGGACTTTAGGTTAGAGATTAAACCAGTCTTGATTTCCTTACCGTGAAGAGCACGAGCAAAGGCAATATCTTCAGCATGAATAGCTGATACGGTATTTTCAGAAGAGGTCATGATGATGATGAAGAAGAAAAAAAGGATGAAGAAAAAGAAAAGAAAAAGAAGTATGTCAAATACTGGGATTAAAATAAAAATATTTTTTTTTTCTAGTTCCGTGATCCGTGTTCCTGATTGGATTGTGATGATTTGCTGCTTCTATCACCGCGTTTGCCCCTTCTTTTTTTTTTCTCTCTCTCTCTCTCTAATCGGTATGATTCACCGTTCTTTCTTACTTTTATTTCAACTTTATCCTTCTTTTGACTCTTCTTTTCTTTTTTTATTTTTTCATTATTAGTGATTCACTTGTTTGATATAAAATTATTGGAACATTGTTGATAAGACGGAGTTTCTTTTTGACGAATATGATTTTTTCGGTATTCTCGGCCACCGAAGGAAAAAAAAAAAAAAAAGAAAAAACTTTCATCCTTGTGATAATAATAGAAGATATGGTTTTTTTATTATTGAATAGATCAATATATATAATATAAAAAAAAACACACACACATACGCATATATATAGATAAACAATATTTATTGGAATAAGTTCTTGAGTAAAGGTATAGTATCGATCATAGACTTGATATCAGTATCTTCCACATTGAGTAATACTTGTTGTTTGATTTGTTCTTTAGCATTTTTGATGGTTAACAAACCAGTATCTTGAATATTGGAGATAATCGTATATAATTCTGTATTAGTGACAGATGGAATGGTACCATTTTCCTTGATGATACTTGAATATTGATGACGAACCTATATAGAAAAAAAAATATATATAAGTTTTTTTTTTGTTTTCTTTTTTTCTTAAATTTCTTTTCTTACATCTGCCATTGTACTACGACTCTTTTTTTGTTTGAGAATCAATAAAGTCGCCATTACAATTTGTTGTTGAAGACTAAGATGAGCCAACTTGTCTTTACCAGAATTTCCTGTTACTGGTTGTGATACAATACTAATATGTCGAACCGTTACTTTTGGATCCATAGTAGAAGAATTGTTGTTGTTATTATCACGTAAAACGTTGTTGTTTTGATTGCGTTTATGTTCTTTTTGAGCCAATTCAATTGCTTGTTGACAAAGATCAAACGCTTGTCGTAAATCCCCTTTTCTAGCTGCCACTTTTTTTGCACATAATTCCACAGCAATGGGTTGCATCAATGGTAATACTTTTGTTGATTCATTTGATGATAATGAATAAAGTCGATCCTTGATAATAGCAGAAATATCATTGGCACTATAAGGATTAAAATTGAGTAATTGAGGTTCACCTAAATAAATAAATAAAAAAGAGTTAAATATGATTTATGATTATTATTATTACTTACAATTTTTGGCACGAAGACGAGGTAATAATAAATCTGTCAAATTCAAAGCATTTGCAATACCAATCAAGACTAAACGAGAAGTAGGTAAAAAAGCCCATTCAAATATTTTATATAAAACATCTTGATCTTTTGTTACTAAATGATCAATTTCATCCAAGATAACCACACTATTATAATAATAATAATAAAAATGAATATGATAAATTTTTTTTTATATATATAACTTACTTTAATGTATCTTTTTTTGTATTTAATAAAAGATATTCAACTTGAACAAGAATATCAGCATTGATAGGGAATTTTTTGGAAGAAGTTGGTTTCAATTCAGTCACTAATTTGGTGTAAATAGCTTTTGGTTCGTTGATAGACATACAATTGATCATAACAATATTGATATGATGTTTTGTTTTGTTATTGTTGTTTAACATTTGTCGTTTAACGTCGTTTAACATGGCAGTTTTTCCTGTACCTGGAGAACCTGATATATAAAGACAACCTGGTTGATTTCCCAATACATGTTGCGTCCAAAAACTCATCATAGCTTCACGTTCTGATTCTCTTCCAATCAATCTGGAAGGTATAGTTGTTCGACGAAATATTGCTTTGCCACGTTGAAAAAGATCAGGTTTATGTAAAGTTTTGTTATTTTCAATGTTGGTTGTTTTGTATGAGTTTTCAGTATCATTAAAACAACCTGGTGAGCGTTTATTCACTATTTTATTAAAAAGGATATTAAGTATTTTTTTTATAAATATATTTATTTATTTTTTTAAGTTTTTTTTTTTTTTTTTACCTTGAGTAATGTTTTCTGATCTTGTTCGTTTCATATTGTGAATAGGGATACAATTGGATATATATATACAAGAAATAGTGTTGAAAAAAAAAAGAAAAAAAAAAAAAGGAGAAAGGGAAAAAAATAATAAATACAGAGCGGAGTGACTGACCAGAAAAAAAAAAGATCGCGTCGCGTGAGCATATAGGAACTTTCTCTGTCAATCATCCCACTACATTCACATTTTAATAATAATAATAATTAATAATAACAGACTTTTTTTTTATTATTATTATTGATACAAAAAAAATATATAAAAGATATAAGATCATTTATCATCATCATCAATAGATGTAGCCACATTTTGCCAAAAGGATACATCAGTTTCTTGAGGAATCTTGATCAAAGGGAAATGTTGAAATGCCAAATTATTAAATACATTATTGATATCAAAAAGATGATCAGGAAAAGGGACACTTTCAATAATACTACTTGCAGGAACCAAATAAGGACAATCTCGACGTAAAACGGAATCAGGTTGACTAAAAAAAATAAAAAAAAATGAATGAGCTGTTTTCTTTATTTTTATATATATAGATTAATATTATTTACCTTGTTACATAGACATCATCAAAATCATTTCCAATGATCGTCACATTTTGTAATAATTCTCTTGTCCAATTAGCACTGATGGTATTACTATAATGAATACGAGTACAATGTGGCATATAAAATAATGTAGATGTCGTCACTGTTCTTTTACAACCTTCATCTTCTTTGATTACAATCACATTGAAATGTTCACAAGCTTCTTTATCTAAAGTCGTCATCACTGGATCAAATATAGATATGGTACCTTTGATCTAAAAAATAAAAAAGAACATGAGTATTTTTTCTATATATATATATATATATATATATATATGTTACCTTGATAATATCTCTAATCAATAAAATGAGAATAAATTGGTATCTAGCAGCAATAGAGTCTTGCATCGAGCCTACTCCATAACATACAATATCTTGACATTGTCTTGGTTCTAAACATTCAGAGATCAGTGGTTTGAGTGCTTCATAAAACTTGGTACTTGTTAATTTTTCTCTAGAAAAAAAAGAAAATTAATCCTATATATAGATAGATATGTATCGTACCTATAGGTTTCTAACTGTTTGATCATATCGTTGATGGTCCATTCACTAGCATCTTCATATCGAATATTTTTCTTATTCTTGCGTTTCTTTTTATTTTTGGATGTCGTTATTGTTTTGTATTTGAATTTAGGTTCTACTTTAATAAAATCATCGTCCTCTTTATCATGATCTGTACTTGATGGCATGTCCAAAGAATTTGATCTATAATATTTGATTCATTGGAATTCAAACGAAAAAAAAAAAAAAAAAAAAAAAAAAAAGAAAAGAAAAAAAACTCGGAGATTAAAAAAATTTCATTTCAGTTGTTCCAGTATAGTCCTTGTTACATTTCGTTCTCTCTCTCTTTCTTTTCTTCACCTTTCTTTCTTTCTTTTTTTTTTTTTGGCTTTGTGAAGTTTCTCAAGTAATAATGCCAATCACTCGTCATACAGCTAATAAGGATAACTTGTCTAAACAAATCTCTAATAAGAACTTGAACGCTTCCAATGATATATCAGAACCTGTAAACCAATTGAACAAAATACAACATAATGATCTTGAAACACGACCATCTTCAAAACCAAACCAAAATGATATCCAGTTAAATCAAACTTTACAAAGTATATTAAATATATTGACAAGGTAAAAAAAAAAAAAAGAAAAAAGAATATGTTATTACATACTGATATTAATATCACTATTATTATTATTATCATAGACACGATCGATACAATCTCACTACTTTAGAACCTTTCAAAAATATGCAACAAAAACTCACTAAATGTCACTACTTGAATGCTGATGAATTCAAAGTAATTCGAAAAGTATATTGTTTTTATTCTTTTTACTAATCCAATTCTTTTAGAATGACATTGATATATTATTTACAAAGATACGATTGAATGCCAAAACACAAGATCAAAGAACAATAGAACAATTATATATTGCCCTTCTCGGTAGTATCAAATTAGAAACAACTCGACTAAGAAATCAACAAGAAGGACATTCTATGATGGAAACTTCAAGCTTGGAACCAAATGATCAACATTGGATACAGACTGCTTTATTTCGACCTACTATCGATGGATTTATGTTTACTGATGCCAATTCAAATATGGATCAAATCAATGAACCATTACGTAAGTTTCCTTTCCTTTTATTTTTTATTACAATAAATTTAATTTTCTATTATTATTATTATTATTATAGCATCTAGGATTCAAACTATCGCTATTCATCCAATACCTGCAGAAACATTTGCTGTTCCAAGCATGAAACAAGTCGTCCAATTACCTTACCGATTCCCTTCAAGATTCTTAAAACATGAAGACAAACCAATCGTACCTGGTAAATAAATGCTCATTCATATAAAAAAGATTTAATTGATCATTGATTTTTTTTTCTTAATTTTTTTTTTTTTTTGATTAGTACAATGGTTAGATTATGGACCTTTCAGTAGTTTTGCTCCAGCATGTGATTCTAATAATGCCAACGCGTGTTATGAATCAACTTATATGGGACGAGCTACCAAACGGTTTAGAAGATGGGAAAGGAAACATAGGCGATCACACATGGATACAAAACAATCTACAGATGATATGGATATAGATATAGATGTGGAATGGTTACAAAATCAAGGATTGGATGTGGATGCTATTGTAGGTGCTACCATGAACGAAGATATAACTACCACTATGACTGATGATGATAATAATGACGAGAATCATCTGGACAACATACTCAACAAGAATAAGAAACTTATAGAAGAATTATTGATATATCAAGAACGACGTTTTGCATCATCTTCAGATAAATATCCTACCAAAGTAGATATGAAAGAACAAGAAACAGGTAAAAAAAAAAAAATTTACAAAACTTGGCATAAAATTAATTTTTTTTTTTTTTTTTTTAGCTGATACGTTACAACGTCATTTTTACGAAATCTTATCACAATTATCACCATCATCCATTATTCAACCTCAAGATATAGAAAATGCCATGGCACGTCTACCTTTACAAGAAGCAGCTTACCGTGGATCTTTACCACCCAATAAAATATTCGCCTTTCCAAGTTCGGACAAAATGGAATCTTCTTTACCGCCACCTTATGCCAACATTACACCTACTTATGCCAAGGAACGATGGCGAATGATTGATGTTCAAGGTCATGATTTGTCATATCGACAACAACAACAATCTAGTTCTTCTTCTTCTACCGTTCCTCAAGTAACTACCAATTCACATACACCAAGTCCCCTTCGATCTTAGGAAAAAGAAAAAAAAATACCTTCTTTGTTTACATAGTCCTTTTTTTTAAAAAAAACTTTATTTAGTTTCCATCGAATCAATAAAATAAAATAAAAAAGAGCTATAGCTATTCTACTATCCTTTTTTTTGATGTCCATACAAAATTATATATATATATTTTCTATTTCTGATATCATTTTCATTGCCATAAAGCATTGACTTGTTTTCTTCGTACAATGGGTCCTACCATCAAAATACCAATCACCAAAGCAATGATGGTCAATAAAAGTTGTGATTTGGAGAAGTCTTCACTTAATACATCAAATTGTCGACTGGGTGAATCACGAGTAAAGTAAGTATCCAAACCATAAGCATATACCAAAGAAGTAGATTCTAATAACGCAGGTGCAGAAATGATATGTTCAATGCCGATGACCTAAATACATTTAAAATAAAATGAATAAAAAAAAGAACGATATAAGTATTTTTTTTTTTTTTTTTACTTACTTCAAGATGATAAGTCAAAAACATTTTTCTTTCTTCGGGAATAGGAGCATATGGAATAAGTTGTTCTTCTTGATCATCCTTCGTAGGTGGATGAGTGGGACGTCTAGGATCTAATAATCTCTTGTTGACGGTGAGGATTTGATGTGATGGTAAAGCAACTACAAAAAAAAAAAAAAAAGAAAAAAAAATGATCAATCAGTATTAAAAAAAAAATAGACAAATCCATCTTTTTTTTTCTACTTACATAGAATATCACGGGTCGAAACTCCATTTCTTGTACTAGTCACACCCATAGCTCGAACGCCATAAGGGAATGCGAAAGCTGCTGATTGTATCGAAGGTTGCAAAGGATCAAAGGATGAAAAATTGGAACTAAAAAAAAATGTCATTACTTTTACATCTATTAATTTTTTTTTTTTTTTTTTACCTGGATACACGTTGATTTTCCAATTCACCTTCATAAAGCTCTAATACAACTACTTGGTATCCAGTATCATTTCCATCATTGCTCCAAAAATGATAGACAACCCAGTTTTCAACTTGAACCAAATGCACGTTAAATGAAGAAACATGGGGATGAGTAGCTTGATAAAGAATGGTGCCTTTGACGGCATCGATGACATGCACGGTCAAAGTGTTACGTTCGGCATCACCAGAAAGAACAGTAAACATGTTGGGATTCAAATATTTGTAAAGGACATTGCGATTACCAAGCACACGACCAAGAGAAGCCACTTGATGTTGATCACCCCCTGCCATGGTCAACCATTGTTCTCCTGCAGGTAAAGCCAGATTCCATACAGGATGAGCTGTTAAACTATGACGATAACCTTCCACTACTTGATAACCTTTCAATATACCATCATGAGTAGAACGATAATGGAAATAGAATTGAGACCAAAAGGGTTGCGCCACCAATCGTCCGGCTTCTGTACCAGGATAGAGATAGACACGAGTGGTACCGGCATCATACAAAGCCAAGAGATGAGTATGTTCATCAGGTTCTTCTAAAGGTAACATCATGACCTTGCTTACCAAAGTGGGCGTCACTAATTCCGGATCAAATGCCTCTTGTACATCAGACTTGGTACTTGTGGTCTTGTAATTATGTCCTGTCAATCCATCCAATCTATACAAATGCGTCTCGGTATGAGAAGTACCTATCACCACAATCACCGGAGGCATTTTCACAGCTGCTGTTCGTACCACATGAATTTGTGTAAAATTCACCCCTTGAACATAACGTGTCCATAAAATCTTGCCATGACGACCAGAATCCTGAGCCACCACCTTGCCTGTCGAAGTCACTGAAATCAATAATTTACGCATTCCAAAATTATCTCTATACAATGGATCATTATTATTATTATTATTCCAACATTGTTGAGCTTGTAAGGTAGTCACATCACCAGCAATAGAAGAAGAAGATATCATTGGTTTTCCCATATCGATAAAATGATGAATCAACCAACTAGGAAGTTTTCGTAAAGCAATAGCATGAGTACCGAGACGACGCACATATCTTGTCAAAGGCGAATCATGTTGTTGTTGTTGTACTTCTTCTTCATCCACCAAAGTCCAAGTTTGCTTTTCTGGTAAATCTAAAAACACGGCTGAGGTTGTATGAGCAAGAGCTTCTTCACGAGACCAAATCACTTGCTTCATTGTTGTATTGTACATATAAACAGATCCACTTGATGTTGATAACAAAACTGTATCATTGATAGAAAGAGATAGAACAATATCACCTTGATGATCGACAAACTCGAATTCTTTCATGTTGTAGTCATTAAACGTTTCCATTGTCAGTAAGGATGAAGTTGTACTGATGCGAGTTGTTTGTCCATTCATTTTTGTTACTGTACCCAATGATTTCTAAAAATATAGAATGGATGAGTGATATGCTCTCTCTCTCTTTTTTTTTTTTTTAATAATATATATATATATATACCTGGATACCCATATCTTTCACCGCTTGTACTGATTTTCCATCCGCTGATAAGGAGACAACACCAACAATACTCAATGCATCTGGACCATCCTCTATCGCATACGCTTGTATAAAAAAGACATCTTCACTGGTAGCATCTTGAGTAGTTGTAAGGCTATATGCTTTATCAACTGTGGATGCAAATGGAGAAGAGCCACCGAAAAGAGTCTATTGACAGAAAATCAAATCAATCAGTCTATTCTACGATCATCCTTTTTTTTTTTTTTTTTTTGTGATTCTTCATTTTTACCTTCAAAGATGTGTAGTGGACCTTCTTGGTTCCAAACTTATTCCATTTCAAAGTTTCTTTTTCAATCCATAATAATGTTGTGCCATGTATAATGATGGGAGATTCAGGTTGACAAGAAATACGAGCAGTATCATAAACTAATTGACCAGTCACTTGATCTAGACCGGATACAAAACAGGAAGAAGAAGAAGATGTGATGATATTGTCATGATCAGGGGTTTCCACTAGATAAACTACTTCTTGTTCAGTTTGTTGTAAAGTCAAATGACTACCTGAAGCAGTAAGATGTTCCCATTCCCAAATAGTAGCCCCATCTTTGATTGCCAACTTATATACCTTGTCATGACCAGAAATGATCATCGTTTGTTGATCATCCGATAAAAGTATACCACTCGTCTGCGTAGTTTCCAATTGACGTTCCCAAACCAATTTTCCCGACTTGATATCCCAATATTGTATCTTAGGATGGAACTTTGATACCGTCACAATCCCTTGAATAAATATATAAAAAAAATGACAAATATGAGCGCGCGCATTTTTCATTAAAATGACCTGATCAACGTATTTTTACCTTCGGTTGTCAACCTTGGTTCTTGAAACTCGTGTTCCATGAGTTGTCGCCAGTCTATATTATATAAAAAGAATATATATATATACAATGCGTTTAGTTTACTACATGTTCTCTTTCTTCCTTTTTCCAATATATATCTCTTTTATTACCAATGGAACCAGTTGACGAGTCTAAAGAGGCTAGAACATTGCGTTCTGTAGCGATGATGACGTGTGAAGAAGTAGCATGTTGATGATGAGCTACCCATCGAGGTTTGCCGATCCAAGTATGATGCCTATATATATATATATATATATATATATGTGTGTGTGTGTGTGTGTGTGAAAAAATATCAGTAGATATTAGCAAAAGAAAGAAAAAGTCAGAGTTCATTGGTTTTTTTGCTTTTCAAACATTAAATCTTTCCCTTTCTTACCAATCAAACACACCAGCTTGTGATTCATAGATAGCACGAACTGATCCAGTACAAAAGTATAACAATAAAAACGCAATTATTAAAAAGCGTTTCATATTGTTATTCGTCAAATAGAAAGAGGATACAAAAAGTTGCTCTTTTTTTTTTTTTTTTTTTTTTGTGGAAAAAATCGGTGCTGTAATTTTGGCCCAATGGGAGGAGACACGTTCAAGATTTGCCCTGCCCAATGTGATCTGTACATTGCAAAGAAAGGAATTATAAAAAAGTGCAAATCAATTGTCGCATGCGTGAATCATTTTCGTGGTGATGATTCTTGATACGCACATGTATGGTACGACGTTATATTATTATTACATGTAACTGCTTTATGGCAAATATAATGGATGATGCGACAAAAAATTGGTTTTTGGATGATGATTTTGGATGTCAATTCAATATATATATATATATAAAAGTTCATTTAGTGTGAATATAAAAGAAATCAATCAAATCATAATCATCTAAATCAAAGGTAAACTAAACTATTTACCAAAATAGGGGTTTCACTGAGATAATCATCAAAGTTCCTTGTAAGTCACCAAATGGCAAGCTTCTTGAAGATAACGTGTCAGAACACTTGGTCAAGTATTATTCCATCTTGGACCAGAATTGTTCAATTGGATTGAGTTTGTGTGGGGAGTTAAAGTATCATGCGGCAAAAAGCAAGAGTTGATAGATCAGAACAAGAATGATGTTTTTGAAAGTGGACTTCACCAGTAGCGTTCCGAATCCAGAATATCATGATGACCATCGTTTTCGTTTTCTTGTTGTTGTTTGTTGGACATACAGCCATTGTCGTTGTTATTTTGTTATTGGTGTTGTTCTTATTGAAAATTAAAAAACAAAAAAAAAAGATCAATGTCTATATACATCTTCACACAGTCAAACAGGTCCTCTTTTCTTACCACAAATTTGTCATCACCTTGAATTGCGTTCATACTCTTGAATATGCTAGTACAGGTGATAAACCACCTACCTAGAAAAAAAAAAAAAAGGAGTAGTTACTGATCAAATATATATATATATATATATATATATAACGAGGATACTGTAATATGAAAACATTACCTTTTATAGTTGAAAAAGTGACACTCTTTACCTGTACTGTATCATTCACGTTGGTTGATGTTGTATTCAATTTTCGTGTTTTATTGGAGACTTTAAAAAAAAAAAAAAAAAAAAAAAAAAAAAGACATAAAAAAAAAAAGAAGAATAATTCATTGACAGAAGAGATTTGGTAATTCGTGAGTAAAAATAGATAAGATTGAATAAAAATTTTATATATTTCATTACCGTTCTACTTGCCTCATATTGCTGTTAATCAGTTCATCATACAGGACGAGATGGCAGTATCAGTCACTTGACTACCGGAAACAAGGCAATAACAAGCTGTTGAAATCTTGTCACCACACAAGAGCCGGGATTTTGTCGAAGCCAAAGGGCTGGCTCCCTAGTTCAAGATAACTGAGCAGACAGTCCGTGCTCATACCTTCATCAATAGCCCCACAGTATGGCATAGACATGTGTCGAATTTCTCCCTAGTTCTGACTTTCCAAAAGATGTGTCCTATAGATAAAACCTATTCTTGATTAATTCTATAAAGTTTCCAAGAAAGCGAATATAATGGTATGTGTTTACCTTGTGAAATTAAAGTGGTAGGAAATAAAAAAAGAAAGGGGAAAAGTGTGTGTGTGTCAAAGGGTTGGGTAATAATATAAAGAGAAAAAAAAAATGTTGTACTGAAATACTCAACTCGTTTTATGTTATGTTCCACCACTTCGTCATTCTAAGCAAGAATCCTCCCCCCAGCAAAAAAAAAAAATGTTAACTTCAATATATATGCAAAAATTGAATGTTATTCAGAAGCATTACAAGACACCTCCAGCTGTTAAACAGTTTATCACAGGCTTACTTGAAGAGGTAAAAATATATGTAAAATATTTGCCCTATGCTTACTTTGTATTTTGCCTTTTCATTCAGATATCAAAGGAAGGAGATGCAGCAAACAATGAAGCAAGCAATATTACGAACAATTATATTGGTGCTGGATCTGGATCGACCTACAAAGATTCATTTGTAAGTTTGAAGATAACAATTATCTGGATAAAAAGAAAGAAAAAGGGAGGGAAAAAAAGAAGGGCTGTGGCATACTAATCCTTCACTCATGTTTGGCTTATCATATGTTATTAATTCTTCTTCTGCTCCTTCTCCTTCCTTGCCACCACCACCACCACCATCACAACAACAACAACAACAAGAAGAAGAAGAAGGTTCCACTGAATTATTGTCACCGCCACCACCACAACATGATGATCAAGATCAGTACGACGACGAAGAACAAGATGCGCGACAACATATGACGTCGGACTCTATCACTGAATTCAAAAATAATTATGCCAATATGATTGAATCACGGAAATGGAAAGTCAACTGTAGTCAACGATTTGTAGAAAACATACTCTTTGAATATGGATTGAAACTCAAAAAGGAAAGGTAAGCTTCAAGAAACAAAGATACTCTTATCATTTTATTGCTAAACTCCTTGTTTATATACGTAGTTGTGTCCATTCATTCATCCTGGGTATTGATAATGATGATATCCGTGGCCTATTCAAGGATGATGAATTGAAAGAAATTCAAACCAAATGCGCCAAGGATGATCCTCTTTTGGCAGATGACATAAAAAAACTTCTTGAAGAACTGGATCAGGTAAGTTATTATGCATATATTGATATTATATAATGAAAAGAATGGAAACCATGACTTACCACTTGAATTTTTTGTTTATAGAATGATGCCAATGCTGTTTATGACATACTCAAAGATTCAACTAGACGCTATAAAGACCACGACCATAAAAGTATTTTTTATGCTGTAGTCTCTTTGTAAGATGAAAAAATTATATACCCATGGATATGATTGGCTAAAACTAACCGTTCTTTGTTTTGCAAACGATAGGTTTTTTATGTTTGAATCAAATCCCAATCCTTTGAAATCAAGACAACTGGAAGACGGAGCTTTGTATGATGGCTGTATGGGATCAAAGCATATCCATGAATCCGAATTGAAGTTGCCCAAGTCGCTAAAGGACATGATGACAAAACTCTGTGATGAATGTAACTGGAATCCAACCGTCATGAGGTTATTGGAGGTGGTAGGGTATTGTCGTATCAGCGCATTTCGTAACCATATGCGTAAAATAAAACCAAAGAATGCATTCACAAATAAAGAATAAAAAATATATCGTAAGATGGAATCAATTATATTGACGTGTAACAAAGTAGTTGGAATAAAAATAAAAGTTTTATTAAATAAAAATATAACTACTAAAGACTACTAATTGATATACTACAACTAAATTGTTATAAAGAAAGGAAAGAAATAGAAAGAAAATAAAAATTACCGCATATCTAAAATATAAAAAAATAAAATACGGACTTTGAAAGTTAATATGCTCATGATCTTTTTGATACTATCAAGAAAGATATATATCAATATATAAACACTTCAGGGCAACTAATATAATGAATCACTACACATATGATGATAACATCACATCAATAAAAAAATAAAATACTAATAAAATTATACTCTCTGTATAACAACAGTATTACAAACCAAAACAAAAAACAAAAATAAAGTTCGATCATCAATCTTAAATATAGTATGATGATACTAGTATTACGTATCACTCACTACGTACTTATACATAAGACCAACAAAACTTTTTGCATAGATACTTTGTCTCTTTTTTTTAATCATCTGTCTTTTAAATAAAAAAGAAATCTCACAGACTTGTTCTTGTCTCCTTTTTTATTTTATTTTACTAACCACATCTACACCAATTCCACAGGTATAAGCACAATGGTAGGTTTCATGAAACAAATATGAACGCTAGTCTGACATCTCATCCTTTTTTTTTTTAAAGGTACTGTTTGTGAATTTTTGGTGATGGATGCTCCCAGTGGTTATGAATGTAAGCTAGCAAGATCTGATAACTATGAAGTTCCCACTGATATCATGGAATTCCCCAAGCTTCGTCTTCTTTTGGCCATGTGAAATCGTTATTTAGTCCATTAACTTCTTTATTATTATTCTTAGTATTATTATTATTCTCATTCTTATTATTCTTATTCTTATTATTCTTATTATTTTTTCAATAAATCAAATACAGTATGGACCAACACTGACTTTTTTTTTTTTTTGGTTTATAGTAGGGATTCTGGCAGGGACGGGTGAAACTGGGGAGCTGTATGGTGACGGACAGTGGGGAATATGAAGATGTGTGTGAAGATGTGGATGTAATTAGGATTTGGATAATAGCGGGTGTGGAAAAAGATGCTCCATGAGATGGGTTCACTATGGGAAAAGATCTGAAATAAATTTTATTTTTCCTGAATACGTTTATTTTTTTTTTTCCTGACTCGATTTAGTACAGACGTTCTTGATTTCTGATTTTTCTGAAATACATTAAGTCGTTTTCAAAGTAAATTAAATTTGAATTTCGGAAAAAAACGAAATGAAAATATAGTTGATGATTCACTTTATGATGTATGTTTGACGATTTTCAATGAGATTGACGTTGATGGTATATGATTTACCATTGAGCCTAATAAAGATAGATGAAGTAATGTTACTGTATTCCTATTATGATGATTGTTGATGATGACCACTAAAGATAATCACGATAATAAAGACAATGGTTTTATAAAGAAGACTCTTTTATTTGAAGATGATAATATACAATAAATAGGATTTTAAAAAAAGGGACAATTTTGCAGTCTGATATGTTACCAAATATCTTGGGATAAGTTATCATCATTGGCGGCAACATGGACTATTACCGAGCGCAACACAACCAAAGCGATCAGGGCAATGTGATGTATAGTTGGGAATATCGACAACTCTATCAAACAATGTAATGATCCTTACTGACTTTTTACATCAATGACAACAATTTAACAAAAATAGTGAATGAAACTCATCATAGGACAGTTATTCTATAAAAATAAAATCATGCATCTGAGCCAGAATTGCCTTTATTTATTTATTTACTTCTCCTTGTTTTTCTTTTGTTGTTTATCATTTTCTCTTCTTCTTGTTTTTCTTTTTTTTTTTTTTTATCACTTTCTCTTCTTCTCTTTTTTCTTCCTCGTCATTACAAGCTTTTAAAGGTAATTAGTCTCTCCTTTTTTAGTTTAGAATATAAATACGTTGTTTTATTTCAATACTATTAGAACTTGTATGTTATCTTCGATCAACATTGCCTTTTACATTGTCCTATTCTAATCATCAAATAGCTATTGTATTCTCGTGTCTAGATATGTATGTATACTTGCTTCTGAATTGTCTGTTTGTCCGTTACTGATATTATACCATCTCTTCTGTGCCATTCTTAAGACTGGTATCCAATCGTCTGCTATCATTCTGCATCTCCAAGGTCGTTCCAACATACCTCGCCTAGCAATTGGAATTTATCTGATGCTATCGATGCATACAAAACCAGCAACTACCAAGATTATATTGTATTATTATTTTAGGATCGAATCTCTTCCAAGTACTGTTTTTAATGAAAATCCCAATGAACTTGAACTCTTTTCTAGGTATCTGAACGCCCTTTCTTCTTCTTCTTCCCCCTGTTTGATGATCCAGAAAATGGTATTCTCTTTCGCTGGTAAGTGATGGTCTGATAATGTGTTTTTATGAATTTTTTTCTAGTGCTAACCTTTAATTCCTGTCTTTTGATACATAGGCACGATACTATGAACCATGAAGCCAACAAAATCACCGCGACCATCGACATCCAGACAGTTCCATCTCAGCCTTGGATGGATATTCGATTGATTATAATCGTGGTTTTGGTTTACCAAATATCTTGGGATAAGTTATCATCATTGGCCGCGACATGGATATTACCGAGCACAACACAGTCAAGGCAGTGAACGTTATGACAATTATCGATACCTACAATATCTTCATCATCTACTTTTACAAGTGAGGAAGTAGATTTTCTTTTGAATCAGAAAAATGTGCCGTGGAAAAAAAAAAAAGTTCAAAGAAGGCCAATTAAAGTACTTCTTTCAACGATATATAAGTCGTTAATATAATCGTTACAGCCGTCTTGGAACAGGACACAAAGATGTGAAGTACAATATCTCCAGCATGATGCTATCGTCAGCTTATGTAAGTCTTGACAAGAAATCCTTTGGTCTTCCTTATTATTAATGCCTTGTTATTATTTTACATAATAGGGAACCTATGACTGCACAGAACAGATATATGACAAGCCGTTACTCTCTCCGGATCATCCCAATGATGTGTTTGTTTTTATTTCTCGTGTGCTGCAGACATTGTAAGTACCCTTCATCGCTTGCATAGCTGGACAGTGGCTCACTCAAAATTTTTTTCGGCTATTTATGATCTTTAGCTCTGATTCCATCCACCACCGCACCAAACCGTGCAATTTGTCTGAATCTGAAGCTGCATATTGTCACCATGGAATCTGGCCTCTTCTGAACCTGGTGGTCAACCAAATCTATGACACTAACTGTCGCTTTCGTGTTGGCAAGACCAATCTCAACGCAGTGATTAACAATGCGACTTACCTTGCTGATGGGACGATGTACATTGGTAGTTCTGCACTAGAAGTTTTACTGTTGGAGGCCTCTGGTTATTATGGGAAGCACGACACTGTAAGAAATGCCTACGACCATATCAAGGCTGCCTTTGGAATGTCTACGATGATCAAGGCGATTTTACGGAAATACCACAACGCCGACCCCACTCTCTTGCACGAAGCTCGCGTCCTCTTTATCCATGCAAGTTCACGAGGTAATGTCTTTTTTTTTTTTTTTTTCTGGGGAGATGGAAGTGTGTGCACTCAATCCTTTTTATTTTTTTAGACAACATCCGACTGTGGCAAATGCGTCCAACTCTCAGTGGCAAGCTTCTCCTTCTTGAACGACTGGGCAAAAGATCGATTTGTTTGGATCCGACTGACATTGATGCAATGGCAAACCTGATGAGGTTCTTATGGAATAAAAGGTAAGCATCATAGGCGAAGGTTCATACTCGATCTAAATTTTTTTTCTTTGTATTCAAATAGTACCATGTGGAATAAGCAATCATTGGAATCAAGAGTGCATCTCAGAGGAAACGTTCTTATTCCGGCGATCACCGTGACCTGCTTGCGCTCATCGAATACCTTGTAAGGTTTGACCATTCTGCCAATGGAAGCAAAGCTGTAAGTTTATAAGAAGAAGAAAACGTACAAGGTACTAAAGTCGCGGTGTAGGTATTGATTCCTTTCTCTGTTTGTCACTACAGTTTTCCAAGACATTTTTTTGCAGCAGATGCTTACAATTTACAACAACTGATAGACTCATTCACACCAACGACGCACAGTTGATACAGTGAATAATCAAGCGGCCGCTGTATTCCACCAATATCTTGATGATCAGTTCTAATTCACACCGGTTGAAGGTAAACAAAAGGAAGGAAGAAAAAAATTAACTGCATAACATGAAAATGAAGCCGTACTTATTACTCTATCCTCTTTTTTTTTTTTTTTTTTTTTTTTTTTTTTTTTTTTTTTTTTTTTTTTTTTTTTTTTTTTTTTTTGTTTTTACTTTGTCTCTCTTTGATTATTTGGACAGACTACGAGCGCAGCAACAATTCGGCAACATACTAGAATGTCCATTTCGGAACCAAGAACCCAAGGGATCAACGAATTCATAGCGATTATCAACAATGGATTTTTATCTTCTGACTATACACGTTTTTGGATCTGTCGAACACAAACAAGGACTCTCTGGAAATCACGACTGGCGTCGTCAGAATTGTTGGATATTATCAATGACAAGTAATTGGAATCGTTGGAGGAAACGAGTGGGCAACTACTGGCTTCCATGCAGTATTCAATATCCCAAGTAACTACCCGGCAACTACTGGCTTCCATGCGCCTCCTTCCTACTGATTCCGCTACAGCTGCCATCTTCTCTGCTTCCATTGCTACTGATACTTCTGACGCATCTCATACCCCAAATGATTCCAATGCCTTCACCATCCAAGAAATGCAGATCCAGCTAAACAACGATTTCATCAATACGACCAACGATGATACGGACGATGACTCATGGATTTATAACAGCATCAACGCAGTGACTGCAACTATGGATGCTGATGCTTCATATTATTCTTCCACTTTCCGTGTTCAAGCCCCCGCGTCGTGTCTAGACTGATATTATTGTGTAACTTTAATATCTCAGCTTCTTGTCATTTAAGATTGGATTAGGATAGTTTTTTCTCTTTTTTCTCTCTCATTCAATTCTTATTGAAATAAAACTCTACCAACGGTCTCATCGTATTTTCGATTTGTCTTTATTATTATTTTTATTTAACTTAATCCAATCAACCACTTTACCCGTACCGAAACATTCAACATCAGCCAGTTATTTAAATTCACTATGAGAAAAGATCTGAAATAAATTTTATTTTTCCTAAATACGTTTATTTTGTTTCCTGACTCGATTTAGTGCAGACGTTCTTGATTTCTTATTTTTCTGAAATGCATTCAGTCGTTTTCAAAGTAAATTAAATTTGAATTTCGGAAAAAACGAAATGAAAATATAGTTGATGATCGACTTTATGATGTATGTTTGACGATTTTCAATGAGATTGACGTTGATGGTATATGATTTACCATTGAGCCTAATAAAGATAGATGAAGTAATGTTACTGTATTCCTATTATGATGATTGTTGATGATGATCACTAAAGATAATCACGAGAAGAAAGACAATGGTTTTATAAAGAAGACTCTTTTATTTGAAGATGATAATATACAATAAATAGGATTTTAAAAAAAGGGACAATTTTGCAGTCTGATATGTTACCAAATATCTTGGGATAAGTTATCATCATTGGCGGCAACATGGACTATTACCGAGCGCAACACAACCAAAGCGATCAGGGCAATGTGATGTATAGTTGGGAATATCGACAACTCTATCAAACAATGTAATGATCCTTACTGACTTTTTACATCAATGACAACAATTTAACAAAAATAGTGAATGAAACTCATCATAGGACAGTTATTCTATAAAAATAAAATCATGCATCTGAGCCAGAATTGCCTTTATTTATTTATTTACTTCTTGTTTTTCTTTTGTTGTTTATCATTTTCTCTTCTTCTCTTTTTTCTTTTTTCTTTTTATCACCTTCTCTTCTTCTCTTTTTTCTTTTTTTTTTTTTTATCACCTTCTCTTCTTCTCTTTTTTCTTCCTCGTCATTACAACCTTTTGATATGGTAGTTAATCTCTCCTTTTTTAGTTTAGAATATAAATACGTTATTTTATTTCAATAATATTAAAACTTGTATGTTATCTTTGGTCAATATTAGATTGTCATATTCTAATCATCAAGTAGCTATTGTATTCTCGTGTCTATCTATGTATGTATACTTACTTCTGTCTTGTCTGTCTGTCTGTTTATTGATATTATACCATCTCTCGTATTATCACGTTCTTGACAATATTATGCTCAATGTCATCCTCACAAAGTAACCCCTACGCCGACAAGGTCCTTATGAATGATTTGCGCGTCCTCTTCTTGCATGCTGGTGCCAACGGTAAGGTTTTTTTTTTATATATATTGCTTTCTGTATTATAACAAGTCACATTGACTTACTGTTATTATTTATTGTAGGCAATTATATGCGGCTATGGATCATGAAACCTTGTTTCGATGGCAGAATACTTTCATTCGAAAAAGTGGAACTGACAACAAGCCGATCGAACAAGGTACTAGCTCTAAAAATGATCAAGTTTTTTTCTGGAAAGTGAAAGTAAGAAAATGCAGATGAATAGCCCACAAAAAAAAAAAAAAAAATAACAAAAGGGAAATTGGTTTTTATTCATAGGACAAGCAATCAAGGCACTGCGGCTCTCGAACGATATCAACTTCTTATCACATGATTTCCCTGAACAAGCACCTCTATTGCCAACATTACTTAAACCTACACCTGTCAAGCCGATCAAAGTAATGATTATATCAAGATAGCCTGTCGTATCTAGACTGATATTATTGTGTAACTTTAATATCTCAGCTTCTTGTCATTTAAGGTTGGATTAGAATAGTTTTTTCTCTTTTTTCTCTCTCATTCAATTCTTATTGAAATAAAATCAACCAACAGTCTCATCGTATTTTCGATTTGTCTTCATTATTATTTTTTTATTTTACATTCACCATGGGAAAAAAATTCCGTATATATGGCATGTAGTCTATGATATCCGGGATAAAAACCAGGAATATATGGCGGATTTTTGTTAGTAATCCGGAATATATTCCTGATTTTTATGGCAGATATCAGCCATATATTCTGGATATCTGACATGTACGTGATGTAATCGACAATGTCTTTAATAAAAGTCTCGTTTTTCTTTCATCAATATTGTAAATAAGATATATACAAAAAACGAATTTTATTTCATCAATACAAATACTATACTATTATACTACATAACTATCTCTACATAATAATAATACCAAATAACTACACTACAAACGATAACGTCCGCTAGGCTACGACCACTATTGATACCCAAAGTAATGTCACCACCAGGACAATGACCATGATCTTCACTTCCAATAAGATTAATTGAATGATAAACATACTACAATTTGGCCACCTAATAGAGTCAATTCTGACAAGAAAGCAAGTGATCTTGGTTTGATTGTATTGTTTGCAATCTACGGAAAAAATCAATGAAGTGAGCGATAATCCATCAATGTTTTCCTCTTTTTTCTTTTTCTGTAGGATACATTTTACTTTGGCTACTCCATTGGATATTTGCATCACCGTTATTGTATGGATGACAATCTTGTAAGCTATAGATAAAATCAACAAAATGAGTAGTAACCCATCAACGTTTATTTCTTTTTCCTTTTCCTATGTACAAGTTACCTTGGCTATATCATTGAATGTTTGTATCACCATTATTGTATAGACAATAATCTAGCAAGCTATAGATAAAATCAACAAAATAAGTAGTAATCCATCAATGTTTATTTCTTTTCTCTTATATACACATGTTATCTTGGCTACACCGTTGGGTATTTTGTACCACCAGTAAATCGAATGTCATCATAACAGTAGGTTCGGAGAGAAATAAAGGCTTGCCACATGTAGACATCAGACAATTTCAGATCATTAAGAAAGATAGTTGTATCGTCTTACGTATAACGCTCCACTATCAGTCTTTGATATGATCCTCAATAATCTTTCCAAATCAAATACAGCAAATGTCAGGACTTAACAAGGACTCCAGCATGAAACAACACGATCAACAGACAATAACTCAATTTCCTACGTATTGCATTTTGCCCTCCACCTACTTGAGCACAAAATTCAACCACTAGATTCATAAACGACTCTAGAGACTGATCATCCTCGACCAAGTCCATTGCCCGTAAACAAACAAAGACCAATGCACCGTGATCTTCATCTGACCAAAAGCTAAGTATAAAGTAATGATGACCATTCAACATTTGATTGTATAGACCGCTATCCTGATACCTAACAAATAAAAAAGCAAAATAAACACACAGTTAGTAGTAATCCATCGATCTTTTTCATTTTTTCTTCTTCTTTTATATATACATATTACCTAGTCTACATCATGCGTCAGTGTTGATGTATCGATCATAAGAATCAATACCAGAAGGACAACCAAAAGCACGTTACGTGTAGTGTACATTGCTGACTTTTTGTTGAAGCGAGTAGAGACAACCACAAGAACGGGAGTAATAGCCTAAGACTATGAGAGAGAATAATAATACGGAAATACCATGTCAAGTGGGAAAAGACAAAGGACAAAGACCAACAATGCAGGAAAAAAGATCTTGAAGAAAACAACACCACAATGAGAGCAAGGGAGAGAAAGAGAGTCCAACCAAATAGAAAAAAAAAAACAATAAGATGAGCCGCCCTTTGTACTTGTTGTTTCAAGACATTCTTGATTTCTGCCGCTTCAGTCACGAGTCGTACCAATTCTTTTAATTCATTACTAAACGATAATGGTATCCAAAGTGTCCTTCAATCGGTATTTAACCTGATAATATTGGTGAGAGTATTGAGAGCATAGGATGAACTTGGTTGTGTCATCTAAAAAGGCGGATAAACAGGAAGAAAAGGAAACAGGGCGGATTTTCCCTTTATGCCAATGACTGACTGTGTCTTTTTTTCACTTATGCGCTAAAAGAAATACAAAATTAGCAACATAATAAAAAGCAAAGCACATAATAAAAGGGACAAAGATAAAAACAATTTATTTACAAATGAGAAGAGGTCAAGTATACTAATTGATGGAAGTGCATAGGGAAGGTAAACTAGTATTGGGTAAAACTATAATAATGAATGAGAATACAGTATGAATGTGTATATACCACGAATTCATTCAATGAAGGAGATGGGGTCTAATTCCACGATACCACCACATGAATTCATCTTTGTAGGCTTGATTGGGCATGGCTTCAAGAGGTCTGGTAGAAAAGTCTTTGACTTGGGATCAAACACGGCATCATCGTTTGAGTCCTTAAGAGATAAGATAGCTTTTTGGGATTCCAAGGCTACGTTCTAAAGGTAATAATGATAATTAAAAAATCGATTGGACATCAATAAAAGTATCAAGTTCTTACCTTGACCAACCAAAAAAATTCAATAACATCCCGCATACCTTTTCTGTCTTGGTCCATAGGAATCTTGCATTTTTCCAAACGTTCAAACGAAAGAATTCTACCACCACACCTTGGTCGCATCACCCAAAGACGTAAATAATCATCTACATAGAATAAAAACACATAAGTTCCTTTTTTTATATTGAAAAAAAAAACTTGTACTTACCTTTGGCGCTAGCATGAATAAAACTGACAGAGATTGTTTCCAATAGCTTTTCATCAGCAAGAAGTAAAAGAAAGAGGGACAAAGTAAAAAAAGAGTAGTTCTTGAGGTGATGGAAGTTTTTTTGATATAGGAACATTAAGCCTGCTTTAGTGATGGTGGTTTGGACAGCGTGTTGATGGTGGTTGATGATGTTGTTTGCCAAGTCAAGGAGTTCTGACGGTGCCACTGCCGTTGTTCTTGCTGGTGCTATTGCTGTTGTTGCTGTTGTTGCTGTTTGATTTCGGATACTTGTTTAGCGAGGAGTCCTATTCGCTCTTTTATTTGTTTTATATCCTTGATGATGGTATCCAAAGTGTCTCTTAGACGAAGGTGATAATGGTAAAGAAAAAGGGTAATTGAATTTAATATTCGAAGAAGAGAGTTGACAAAATGGACTAGGCGAAATTTCAATGTAAAAAGTAAAAATTCAATCACCACATCAGGTACCATATTCCAGTACGATTCCATTTCCAGTTTTTCGAAGAACCATGTCAGTACGTGATCCCATTCGTTCAGGGTATAATTTGCCTTGTTGTCGCTTTCTTTCCTTGCTAGCTACACTTGCTGATTCGCCCCTAGAATGAAGATAAGTCTCTGTCAACACCTTATTATGCTATTATCTCTTTTACAATTTACAATACACACACCACACTAGGTAGATTGCCAAGCATTTTATCCGTTACAGGCGTCCATACGTTTGTTTGATACCATTGTTCTAGTTGTTGAGACATCAGCGGATTGGGACTTGCTTCCAGTAAAAAGAGCCTATATGTACACAAAAAAAAAAAAAAGGGTTAGCCTACGTCCGTCATATATTTGTGTAACATACATGGAATAAATAACAGCATAAAAAATAGTTCTTGTGTTAAAGTCCTCATAACGTCTTGAAGAATCCTTGAGGACATCATAAATCTCACTAGAATTGGCTTATAATTTAGAGTTAGTAAATATTTAAGCTTTTTTTTTTTTTTTGGTTGTTCATGTCTCCAATGAAGTTTACCTTGTTGAAATCATGTAAGAGTCTATCCACATTGTTAGGCAAAGGAGGATCTTCCTTGATATTTGTGCATTCGATTTCTTCCCATCCATCATCTTCAAAGAGGCCACGGAAATCTTCATTATCAACATCAAGGATAAACGAATGGACACAACTATATCTAAGCAAGGAGTTTAGCAATAAAATGATAAGAGTATCTTTGTTTCTTGAAGCTTACCTTTCTTTTTTTAATTTCATTCCATATTCATACAGAGAATTTTCCACAAAGCGTTGACTACAGTTGAGTTTCCATTTCCGTGATTCAATCATATTGGCATAATTATTTTTGAATTCAGTGATAGAGTCCGACGTCATATGTTGTCGTGCATCTTGTTCTTCGTCGTCGTACTGATCTTGATCATCATGTTGTGGTGGTGGCAGTGACAATAATTCAGTGGAACCTTCTTCTTCTTCTTCTTGTTGTTGTTGTTGTTGTTGTTGTTGTTGTTGTTGTTGTTGTTGTTGTTGTGATGGTGGTGGTGGTGGTGGTGGTGGCAAGCAAGGAGAAGGAGCAGAAGAAGAATTAATAACATATGATAAGCCAAACATGAGTGAAGGATTAGTATGCCACAGCCCTTCTTTTTTTCCCTCCCTTTTTCTTTCTTTTTATCCAGATAATTGTTATCTTCAAACTTACAAATGAATCTTTGTAGGTCGATCCAGATCCAGCACCAATATAATTGTTCGTAATATTGCTTGCTTCATTGTTTGCTGCATCTCCTTCCTTTGATATCTGAATGAAAAGGCAAAATACAAAGTAAGCATAGGGCAAATATTTTACATATATTTTACCTCTTCAAGTAAGCCTGTGATAAACTGTTTAACAGCTGGAGGTGTCTTGTAATGCTTCTGAATAACATTCAATTTTTGCATCTATATTGAAGTTAACATTTTTTTTTTGCTGGGGGGGGAGGATTCTTGCTTAGAATGACGAAGTGGTGGAACATAAGATAAAACGAGTTGAGTATTTCAGTACAACATTTTTTTTTCTCTTTATATTATTACCCAGATGATTCAATAAGTAGCCGTTCCACTTTGTCTTTGACAGATACACCAACACCGTCCAAGAGGGAGCGAAAGATCATTGGTTTCGGAAGGCATAGTGACAAAAGGCGATTGTTCAGAAGTCCATTTTCGCACCTAATAGATAAAAAAAAAAAAAAAAAAAAAAAAAAAAAAAAAAAAAAAAAAAAAACAAGAATACAAATTAAATGAGCACAATAATCACACTCGTTTTGATTATGATTTTTTTTTTCTTTTTTTACTTACCAAGTGAAATCCATGAGACCTGTGACACCAGAAAACGCCTTCAGGATAGGGATAAGATGTTGGCAGAATGGTGTCCTTTCATCTGTACTTCTGCTATCGGTGTTGACCAGGCAATTTAAATGAAAAATCAGTTAAAATGTAGCGGATAATTTTGTTGACAGTAAGTTCTTCTTCAGTGCATCCGTCGTATCCATTTGTCCGGACGTACTTACATCTTTCTTACCCTGATGATTCTATTAACAGCCGCTCAACACTGTATTTAATAGATATACCGATTCCATCCAGCAGGGACCGGAGCATAATCTTGTTCGGGAGACATAATGATAACAGGCGATTGGATATCAGACCTTTTTCGCACCTACACGGGGAATTTAAATAAAATGAGCTTTTAGAGGATAACGTTGTTACTGGTTTTTTGATTTCTAAAAAAAAATCATAACAAAGAAAAAAAATACTTACTAGACTTATCTAGCGGAAATAAGAAAAATATAATACGTTTTTGATAGTTATAAGAACAAAGTTTTGATTATGGAGTAAGGTGGTAATGTAAAAAAAAAAAAAGGATAATTGAATTTAATATTCGAAGAAGAGAGTTGATAAAATGGACTAAGCGAAATTTCAATGTAAAAGTAAAAATTCAATCACCACATCAGGTACCATATTCCAGTGCGATTCCATTTCCAGTTTTTCGAAGAACCATGTCAGTACGTGATCCCATTCGTCTAGGGTATAATTTGCCTTGTTGTCGCTTTCTTTCCTTGCTAGCTACACTTGCTGATTCGCCCCTAGAATGAAGATAAGTCTCTGTCAACACCTTATTATGCTATTATCTCTTTTACAATTTACAATACACACACCACACTAGGTAGATTGCCAAGCATTTTATCCGTTACAGGCGTCCATACGTTTGTTTGATACCATTGTTCTAGTTGTTGAGACATCAGCGGATTGGGACTTGCTTCCAGTAAAAAGAGCCTATATGTACACAAAAAAAAAAAAAGGGTTAGCCTACATCCGTCATATATTTGTGTAACATACATGGAATAAATAACAGCATAAAAAATAGTTCTTGTGTTAAAGTCTTCATAACGTCTTGAAGAATCCTTGAGGACATCATAAATCTCACTAGAATTGGTTTATAATTTAGATTTAGTAAATATTAGTGTTTTTTTTTTATGTCTCCAGTGAAGTTTACCTTGTTGAAATCATGTAAGAGTCTATCCACATTGTTAGGCAAAGGAGGACCTTCCTTGATATTTGTGCATTCGATTTCTTCCCATCCATCATCTTCAAAGAGGCCACGGAAATCTTCGTTATCAACATCAAGGATAAACGAATGGACACAACTATATCTAAGCAAGGAGTTTAGCAATAAAATGATAAGAGTATCTTTGTTTCTTGAAGCTTACCTTTCTTTTTTTAATTTCATTCCATATTCATACAGAGAATTTTCCACAAAGCGTTGACTACAGTTGAGTTTCCATTTCCGTGATTCAATCATATTGGCATAATTATTTTTGAATTCAGTGATAGAGCCCGACGTCATTGTTCGGAAATAGCCATTATTGTCAGTTCGCGAGGGAATATATTGTCTTGCACCTTGTTCTTCGTCATCGTACTGGTCTTGATCATCAGGTAGCTATCCTTTTCATAGTGCTAGCAAAAAAAAAAAAAAAAAAAAAAAAAAAAGGATAGAGTAATAAGTACGACCTCATTTTCATGTTAAGCAGTCAATTTCTTCTTCCTTCCTTTTTACTTGCCTTCAACCGGAGCGAATTAGAATTTATCATCAAGATATTGGTGGAATACAGCGGCCACTATTCACTGTATCAACTGTGCGTCGTTGGTATGAATGAGTCGATCAGTCGTTGTAAATTCTAAGCATCTGCTGCAAAAAAATGTCTTGGACAACTATAGTGACAAACAGAGAAAGGAATCCATCGCATCATGATAACTACAAGCCGTTTCGCCGCATGCAAACTCTAAAAGATGCCCGTTGCCAACCGTCCTAACAATGAAGTCATTCTTGACACCCTTGTCCCCAGTACCATCACCAAATTTTCGTCGTTTGGTAGCAATATTCACGGCTTCGCCACTACCAAAAACAAAAGAAAACAATGAGACCAAATATACAAGTGAGAAAAAAAAAAGCCTACCGCACGCACTGTACACCAGGAGACGCAGAATGATAGCAGACGATTGGATACCAGTCTTAAGAATGTCACAGAAGAGATGGTATAATATCAGTAACAGACAAACAGACAAATCAGAAGTAAGTATACATATCTAGACACGAGAATACAATAGCTTTAGAATAAGACAATCTAGTGTTGACCAAAGATAACAAGTTCTAATATTATTGAAATAAAACAACGTATTTATATTCTAAACTAAAAAAGGAGAGACTAATTACCTTTAAAAGCTTGTAATGACGAGGAAGAAAAAAGAGAAGAAGAGAAAGTGATAAAAAACAAAAGAAAAACAAGAAGAAGAGAAAATGATAAACAACAAAAGAAAAACGAGAAGTAAATAAATAAATAAAGGTAATTCTGACTCAGATGCATGATTTATTTTTATTCATTCACTATTTTTGTTAAATTGTTGTCATTGATGTAAAAAGTCAGTAAGGATCATTATATCGTTTGATAGAGTTGCCGATATTCCCAACTATACACCACATTGCCCTGATCGCTTTGGCTGTGTTGTGCTCGGTAATAGTCCATGTTGCCGCCAATGATGATTGATGTGAGATAAGTTTCAGTCAAGTTTATTAGTAAAATATATAATCATAACAAAAAAAAAAAGTATACTTACTAGACTTATCTAGCGGAACGAAATAAAATATAATTTGAAGTTGATAATAATAAATATAAAATTTTTTGATTATGGAGTAAGGTGATAATGGTAAAGAAAAAGAACAATTGAATTTTATATTCGAAGAAGAGAGATAGTAAAAAGGAATAAGTGAAATTTCAAGAGAAAGTAAAAAAATTCAAAGCACCATTTTTTTTATAGGCTGACATGTTGGAACTGGAAAAGGAGACCGGGTTCCTGGAACAAGAATATGTGGGCATGGTCAATGTAGGACTGACGGTTTAAGATGCTCTGAAATTATCCCTTCTCTCTCCTTCTTTAGTGGTATATATATATATATATATATGTATATATTAGTATAGTTGATCTTTATTTTTATCATGAATAGTAATAAACGATTGTGATGATCTATAAAAGCTCTTTATCAAATATATAAACGTGTGATTTTGACGATGCAACTGGTAGCAAGATTGGGTGTACATGTCTCATGATTGGTAACCTCGCCAAAAACGGTAAATAAGGTTGAAATTCCGGTTTTCTTTTTTTTTTTTTTTGATCACTTTCCCTTGAGAAATATTAAGGTTAATTATTCCTTTGTTCATTCTTGCTAAGCCTTACTGTTTGAACTTGCAAACAATCTTAATGGAATATGCTTCCCTCTAAAGCATTATATGGGGACGATAAAAGTAAGTTAGTATTAAAAAAAAAAAGGAGTTAGAACTACAAGAAAAAAAAATAAAAATTTTGTTTTATTGGTTTAACTCAAAACATGGTTTGGTTATTCAATAGAAGCAACGACTAGTATCAATAACGATAATAACGAACCACCACCACCATCCTATTCAGAATCTGTTGGTTTAGGTTCAGCACATTCAGCAAACTCTCCCTATAGTTCCTCACCTTATGTAAGTGGATATCACCAGCGAATACCCACAGCTCCTCCTGCTTCACTATTGTTGCCACCTACAGATCAACAAGTCACCTCACCCTCAATATCACCTTCTTCTCCTCAACCTTATAATACAGCCTATGGTTCTATTTCAACCAACAATATACCTGATGCTAACGATTACAACGACAGTCATACCAACCGTCCATATGAACAACAACCTTTAATTTCGCCTTCAGTATCGTCTCGTTCACCTTTCTTAACCTCATGGAAAGCCATAAAGGATAGCTGTCATGTTCGGTGTATGAACAGAAAAAGGATCAAGAAAAGTCTTTGCCTTTTGGTCATCATATTGATCTATTTGATATTTGCTTTCATCAATTATTGTTTTAAAAGGTCACGCGGATCTACGAGGGTAATCATGACGAGTCCATATCCATTGAGTCCTTCTCACCTCGAGTTTTTGGCTCATGACAAGGATTTATCAAAAATGCCAGCATCTTCATTGACCTCGTTGTCGTTGAATTTTATGACCAACGCTGGCGAAGTCCATATTGTAGCAACGGATGAACCAGTGTCTTGGATTTCCTTCTCTTATCAACATCAAAACGGCTGGTCTACGTCGCAAGGCGGTGGTGGTGGTGATCCATCCACACTCAAGGCTATCTTCACTGTACATAACGCAACGTCATTATCGGTGGTTGTGGATGAAAATACGAAACATGGACTGGTCGTTGTATTACACATGTCTAAGCATGACAGACATGATGCGGCCATCATGGTGGAAGCGCAGTCTATGAACATTTTTATGGTCGGTGAAGATCCAGTGGATATGATAGAGGACCTTAGCATAGTATTATCGGGCTCAAGACCGGGATTGGTACTACCAGCAGGGAATCAAGGCTGGCGAGGAAAGCATTTGCGAATCAAGCTTCAAGGCAACAATGGCGCTTGGACATTACCAAGAATGGAAGCATCTGGTACGATTGATCTTGAATTGACAGGGATGGCTGGTGGTGATTTATCTGTGGCGGGACCCATCAAAGCAGGTGATGCCATCAAGCTTAAAGCGAAAAATGGTAGAATCACAATGGCTAATAATGCCGGATCGTTGGAAGCCGATGTCATTGAACTCACTACAATCAATAGTCACTTGGATGCCTCTCGTCTTCGCCCACGTCGTCAATGTATTTTACGCTCTACCAATGGCGCCATCGATGCCACTTTTCTACCTGCGGCCAATCAGGATTTGGATGTACTGGATGTTCAATCTATCAATGCTGCAATTCATATTAATTCAAAAGTTCTCAGCAAACGAACCCTCATCACATCAAATTTAGGTTCCATTACAATGCACGAGGTAATTTTTTTTCCAAAAAAAAAAAAAAAAAAAAAAAAAAACTAATAATGAAATGATTTATCTTTTTTTTTTTTATTTTTTTTTATTTATTTATTTTCCTTACGATATCCCGAAAAAAAAAGCCTTTGACATTTGATGGTATATTTGATGTACAATCCAGTCTTAGTGGTACAACTGTTCAAGATATGGAATCAAACAAGATCAAGTTTGATGTCATTAATAAATCAATCAAACAAGGCAGACGTGGTAAAGGAACAAGGGATCATCAAGTTATCATCCAATCATTTGCAGGATCAGCTAGACTAGTATTTGATCAGACTCAATTTTAGATCAAAATAAAAAAGCTATCGTAGCCTCCATTTATTTATTTATTATATCAATATGGTGATTTGATTGATAGGCTTCATGTTAAATTGATATCATATATAGATTCAATCTCCTCTGTTTCAGGGGGTGGCAACAACATAGAAAAAATTGCTGGCTTCCATTTTTTTTTTTTTTTTTACTTCCCTTTGTTCAAGAATGGTTTCTCATCTACTTCCTCGAAGAAAATCACCAGTAGTGATAGTATTCTGTTTATTATCTATCCTTTTAATATTATTTCTACATTCTTCTACTTTACAACGACCTCCTTCTCTTTCTTCATCCACAGTGATCGATAATAATAATAATAATATTCCCATCACGTCGTCAACCGAATCGTCTTCATCTTCAATCATACCCGTTGTCTTTCCTGAACCATTCACTTTTCATACACCAACAGCTGATGAAAAATTCATAACCTATCTTCCACACTCTGGTTTTCACAATCAACGTATTGAATTGGAAAATGCTTTACTGTTGGCTTTTTATTTAAACCGCACACTTCTTGTTCCTGATGTTTATCTGGGCAATCCAGCCATGCCATGGTTACGTTTTGATAAGATGTACGAACGAATACTATTACAAACAAAACGCGGATTGGATCACTGTCTTTTGATTCCTCGGGGTGCTCCTTATCCAATGGAATGTTTGAATTATAATCGATGGACCAAAGTACCCTGGACATTTTTCTATGATCTAAAGCCACTTACTTCACAAGTACGGATAGTTTTACGACCTGATCTGAGCATTCAATGGTTAGAATCGACCTTGGGATTAAATCAAAAAACTGATATTCATTTTCTAAAGGATGTATCACCGTATGAATTCCGAGTGTATGATCACATGCAGTCCAAGACACCACTGTCGAAATTTATGCATAGGTACGATGTCGCCACGCTGGAAGCCATGGATGCAACACTTCTTCATTTTGGATCGGTATTTGGTACTCATCGTGTATTAGCGCAACAAGCGGCTCATGCGGCATGGTTGAAGCAAATAAGAACGCATTTGATTTTCCGTAATCCTGTTCTGGTGAGTACGGCACAAAAAGTGGTGGATCAACTAGGTGGCGTAGGCTCGTTTGTTGGATTACATATACGTGTGGGTGATGGCTTATTCAAGGTGCGGGCATCGATCAATATAGATGATATCTATCATTCACTAGTGAATCAATTCACGGATTTGACTTTGGAAGAACTCGAACAATTGGATGCGAATCACGACGAAGATAGAAAGGAACGTACGGATTACGAAGTGAAAACTTTACGACAAATCACCAATGTCTCATCAGCAATGCCACTCGTTGTAGATCACACAGGCTATGAACAAGATATTTCCTCTTTATGGATCGGTGATACCCCTCCTTCTACCCTTGATTCTCAGTTATCATGTCACAAACGGAAAAAGGATAACAGTAATAATGTCAATGTCACTCGATTCAGTCGCGCCATTATCTATATCGCTACCGATGCTCCCAATCCAAAAGAACATCCGTTACTGCGTAAAATTTATAATACATTCCCATGTGTTTTTGATTTATCTGATTTTGCCTTTGTGTTTGACGCATTACGCCAAGTCCACGTGGTAGAGGAAAATGTACAATTAGATGATTACTTGATTCCCATGTTAGATGCTATTATTGCTGCTCATGGTCACCACTTTTTCGGTACAAAGGATAGTACTTTTACAAGTTATATTGAACGTCAACTTCATCCTGTTTATACACACAAAGAAGTCAAACTTGCTGGTCCCCCTGTTATTCGTTAAATATTAATAATAATAAAGATTCTTTTCCTTCTATATCAATATAAAACAAATATTATTCTTTCAATAAATATATATATTCCAATGATAAAACCTTTATTTTTCTATTTATAGTCAACAAAGGGAAATGACAAAAAACATCATTGGACATACCCCCCCCCCCAAAAAAAAAAAAAAATACAAGCTCCCCTCCTTTTTTTTTTTTTTTTCTTTTCTTTTTTTATCTTTTTTCTCTTCTTCTCATCCATCTTTCTACATTTCACTTTGTCTTTGTTCTCTCTCCATTCCTTTACATTCCTCCTTTCCACTCCTTCCCCTTTTTCCTTTCCCTCTTTTTTACTTTCTTTCTCCATCTCGTTATACTAAACCTATCCTTCTTTCTTTTCCTTCTCCCTTTCTTCTACACAACATACTATACAAAAAAAACCAACTCATTAATAGTTATTCTTACATCATTCTTTTTCTTCAATATGAATACAACTCTCAATAAAAGTACGCTTTTACCAACACAAATAAAACGAAAACAAATGGAACGAGAAAAACAAGTACGATTCAGTGATCAACCACCCAGTATTTTCATTACTTTTTCTTCAGAAGAATATGACCGAGGAGGGATTTTTTCATTTCCTGTATTATATAAATTAAATCCATCCATCCTTCAAAACACGACAAACGATACTACACCACCACCAAAATTATCCATTGATGTCCGATGTCAATCCTATCCTTCTTCTTTGGCCAATGATAATAATAATAATGATAGAAAAAGTCCTCAAACACCTATAGAATCATCTCCTATTACCCCACCTGCTAATCATCATCATCATGTCAATAAACGACCTAAATTGACTATCGACACCAATCTGATAGGACCTTTATTTCGTATGCAAGATACCAATGGTGATGATGATGATGATTATTTAGTCCCTAGATCAAGTTTCATTCATCCTCCTTCTGCTTACCCCTTTTTTTAGCATTCTTCAATATATATATATTTATATTCAACTTGGTTAATTATTATTATTACAAAGTCTTGACACAAAAAATACAATGTATTTCAAAAAAGAGTTTATTTAAATAAGAATGATCAATCATTATTGGATAATTTTCCTTCTAAACCTATCACACCAGTGATCCAACCTCCAGCCATTTTAAATACGGTAGATGAACCTTGTATTTTTGAAAATCGAAGAGCAATAACAGGACGATGTTTAGATGTCATTGAAGTAGTAGGAGAAAAAAGTAATGTTTCCCAAGTCATGGAGAATACCGCCACCCCATCTTTTTTCCTATGAGCATTTTTTTCATTCTCTGATGGATCATTGATGGATGGTTGTTGTTGTTTCTGCTTATTTCGACCAAAAAAGGAGGTTGTCATGGATGAAGTCAAATGAGAAATCAAGGGTAATCTTGTTGAAGATGGATAAGTACCACCGCCACCTAAAATCAATTCTTCATAACTATTACTTCTTCTAGAGTTTTCCGATCTAGTGGTATTACTGGTAGATGTTGAAGTTGATGATCTTTGAGTGGATGCTGTGGAATGTTTACTTGATCGCCTTTGTAATGATTGTTGTTGAGATTGTTGTTGAGGTGGTTGTTGATCTTGTGGATGTGGTGCATCTCGTAAAGTTAAGACACATATTAATTTTTTAGGTCCTTCTTGATAATAAGTGATACCCATTAACTGACATGTCTGTTTGAGTAATTCCATACATTCTTTGTCTAACTGATGATAGTTAGTGTGATAACCGTTACTATCCGATGATGATGATAATGATGATGGTGAATCCAAAGGTTCATCTATAGATCCAGTAGTAGTAATACTTGACAATGTTAAAGATGGAAGTGGAGGTTCCGTATTGCTCCCAGTTTTCGGAATTTCTGGAATTTCAAATAATGGAGTGCCATTGGATGGTTGCTTTACCAAACAAGTTTTTCCTATAAAAGAGGAAGAATTCACCTGAAAGTAATAAACTTGATCTTGAATACGTTGCATCATCCACGAGAACAATTTGGTAGATTGTTGATCCGATATTGGATTTGTTTTCGATTTAAGTTGAAGAAATTGTTGAGGACGAACCATGATCATTTTTTGCCATTTTTCTGTAGATCGCAAACCAAGATGACCTGTCTTTTGACGAATAGATTGTAACAACTCTGATCGATGAGATTCTACATTTGTGATATGACGATCATACCGATGAACAGGTGTATGAACAGTGGAAGAGGTATTGTTGGTGGTACTATTGATAGGTAATTCCAAGGTCGATGATGTTTTAGTGTTGTTTGTTCCAGCTGATGGTTGATCTAGACTAACGGTTGTGAAATAGGTAGAGGCATTGATTGGGTGATATATAATGGTTCTCTTCACTTGTGGTTGTTCTTGTTCCAATGTTTTCATGAGTTGGCGTCTTGTCCGTCGTTCTTTATCCTTTGCCGTCAATTCACCTCCTTCTTGTTGTTGAGTATGGATCAATTCATCATAAATAGTAGGCGTTTCCAATGGACAAGGCAATTCACCATTTTTCGTTAACCAAGGATCATTATGTAATGCATTTCGCACTGTCATTCTCTTCCTTCGATCTACTTGTAAACATTTAAGAATGGTGTTTTGTAGTTCGGGACCAAGTGATGCTGGCATTGGAAAATTACAACTACACACATCTCTTTTCAATTCACCAACAGCTATTTAATAACATAGAAAAAAAAAGAGTGAGGAATGATTTTAAAAATAAAAATAAAAAAAAAAGTATATGATCTACTGAAAAAAAAAAAAAAAACTTACTATGAGCATGAGCAAATGGTTCAAATCCAGCAGTCATTCGAAATAATGCAATGCCTAGACACCAACAATCGACTTCAGGTCCATAATATTTCTGATTGCTTATAATCTCTGGACTATAATATAACATGGAACCACAAATGGTACGAAGGCGTTGTAATCCAAAACGATTGCCTAAACCAAAATCAGCTAGCTTCAAAACCGGTACATCTACTTCGGTGCCATCTTCTCCTTTGATCTTTTTTCGCTGATCTTTGGAAATCATGATATTTGGCGTTTTTAAATCACGATGTACTACCCAATGACGATGGCAGGCATGAACAGCTTGAACGAGTTGTCGAAATAAATATCTTGCTTCTGTTTCTGATAATACCCCACCTCGTTGATGAAGATATTCGTCAAGATTATATCCAGATACATATTCCATGATCAAGAATAAAGAATCACTTGTTTCATATGTTTCATATAACTTTACAATATTTGGATGATCTAATAACTCCATCAGATGGATTTCTCGTACTAATCTTGACATGACTCTATAATCATGAGCTTGTTTGTCAATGGTCTAAAGAGAAAATAAATAAAAAAAAAGTTTGGTTTATTCATCAATGAAACCCCGCACATCTACTTTTTTTTTTTTCTTCTTTACCTTGATAGCTACTAACTGACAAGTTTCTTTATGTTTTGCCAACATCACTTTACTGAATTTTCCATTACCAAGTGTATGTAAAAATTGATAAGGTCCTATACCATTCAAAAGCCAATCATTATTGATATGTTTGCTACTAGGTGGATTTGATTTTTTTGAACTAGTTGATTTTGTTGATTGAGTTTTATTTGGTGTAGGTGTAGCTGTTCTTGTTGTTGTTGTTGTTGTTGTTGTTGTTGTGGTAGTAGTTTGTTTAGGTGATGGATGTTTTTTATTTACTACAGTAGTATTAGAAGATGTGGACTTTATAAAATTGTGTTTCAACGTTAAAGAAAGTGATTTCATATTACTTTATAATGATGATACAAAGAAGGAGTTTAGAGAAAGAAAAAAAAAAAAAAGAGAGGGAAAAAAAAAAGATTGAGAACTTTTATACCATCAATATTTTATTTATTTATTTATGTTTTGCCACAATAACAGAACCCCTTAATTTCCTCCCTTTCCCCCTTCTCCTTCCGATAAGCCCAAATAATAATAAACAGTAAAAAAGTTGCGTGTGAAGTGATTTTATTTCTTTTAATGCAACTGATCCCAATTTTTCTTTTCATTGTTAGCCAATCATTATATATTATTTCTAAATAGAAAAAAAAAACATCTTTTAAGCTACACGTGGCATAAAACATCTTTTCATAATGCTTCGAAACATTTCCCTTTTCAGAATGATTACTGTTTTTTTTTTATCTTCTTATTTGGAATAATAATTCATTGATGATATCTCGTTTTTAATATTTTTCCCATCTTTAGTTCAAAAATAGTCTAATCAAATAGATCAACAAAAAAAAAAAATCTATTATTGTTTATCCGATGCATGTTTGCTAACATATGGTCATCAAATGATTTTTATTTCTCTTTATCACAATAGTGTGATTCTTGCAGCAATTTTTTTAAAAATAAAAACACACACACACGAAAAAAAAAATCATAGATATATTGTAATAGGGTAGCAATACTTAAATTATAGAGTTGTTAAGGGAGATGGGGGTAAGGTAGGTAAAAGGTAATAATAATAATAATAATAAAAAGAGAGAGGGAAAGAATGGAAGAGTTTTACAAAGCCATGGCCAAAGCAGACAAACCAGCAGCAGCAGCTACAGTGATCATACTAATAGTAGAAGTGGAGGCACCATTGGTAGAGGAGGAAGAAGCTCCAGAAGAACTAGCACTGGTGCTATTGGACTTTCCAGTGGCTGAAGGAGTGGTAGATGAACCAGTACCATTCACAGCTCCTGAACTGGCAGCAGGAGCAACAGAAGCACCAGCTAAATAAATATATATATATATCAATAGAAAAAAAAAAAAGAGTCAATCATTCAATATATATTTTACAATCATTTCTACTTACATGCCAATTGAAGGGGTTTGGCGCTACCGTTACCAACAAAGTTAAAGACACCAGAATAAGCCCAAGTAGAGGAAGCTGATTGACCAATACGAATAGAGTATTTACCACTTGCAAAATCATTCAAAGGATAAATCTATAATAAAAGGATGATTTAACTTCCGTCCATGCATTTTTTTTTTTTTTTTTTTTGCAACAAGGTTTAAATATGAACAGAATGACTTACATCAAAAGAACCAACAGAACAATCTGTAGGTAATTTAGGATCAGTGATATAGGCAACCAAACTAAATCATTAAAAAAAAAAAGGACAATCAGTATTTCTAGATATGATACAAGTCAATGTCCTTTTTTCTTTCTTTTAAATAACTCCTTACTTTGCATTGGAGCTATTGCCATTCAAAAGTTGAATTTCACATTTTTGGGTGGCATCAGTACCTGAAGTCTTCCAGGTAATAGCACCGTGAGCACCAGCATTCTATATTGTAATAAAATAGAAAGAAAATATAAATGATTTAATACATATTCTAGTATTATTTGTTAGTTTTCATTCGAACTAAATTTACCCAAGTAGTATCAGCCCAAGGAGTAACGATCTGTAACAAGATAAAGAATATTAATAAAAAAAAAAGATTATAAACATGTAAAATTGACTCCACTTTATTTAGTACTACCAGTCATCTCTTTTTATTCTTCTTCTTATTATTATTATTCTTACGGTGATAGCAGCTTGAGCAACGGAAGCAACAGCGAGAGTGGTAGTAGCAATGACAGTAAATTTCATTTTAAGGAAAGTAATGGGAGAGGTATAGAAAAAAGAGGAGAAAAGAAAAGTATAAAAAAAAACTTTTGAATGAAGGTGTTTAAATAAGGTAAAGGAGAAGTGAAGAAGAACAAGAAAAAAAAAAAAAAAGAAATAGGGATGATATATGAAAAAAAAAAAAAAGTTTTTTTTTGTCTTTAATTTCAGTGGTTGATTGCAACCAAAGGTGGTACAAAGAAGCCTATAAAAGTAAGTTGTACATCATCCAGGAACTTCTTGGTGACAGAATGGAAAAATCGGATCCTTAAAAGAAAACTTTATATTATCATCTAAACTCCATTTTATTTACTATTGCCCTTTTTTCTTTCAACTCAGATGACAAAAAAAAAAACACGCATGCAACTTCATACACGAGTTGAATGATAATAATAAAAAAAAAAGAAAAACTTTTATTCTACATTTGAAAAGAACAATGAAAAATGAATTACTATGAAGAACTTAACTGTTGTAATAATTTAGTACAATCTTGAGTACTTTCTCTCGAAGGTATCAATCTATCTAAACGATATCCATTAGAACCCTAACATCATCATAGTTGTTAAAATATAATAAAGTCAGTCAAAAAGTATTTATATATCAATGTCACACAAATTCTTATTTCAACTTTTTTTTTTTTTTTTTTTTTACCACACAAGATATTGAACATATCCATTGTTTTCCAACTACGCTGTCTAATACTTGAATCTGTAATTCATTTGACAGTGACTGAAATTGATCAGCTTTACAATTTAATATAGACTTCAAAAAAAAAAAAAAAAAAAGGAATGTGAACAAGGAGAAGAAATAAAAAAAGAAAAAACACCTGTGTTGACTCTAAAACCAGTAAATTACCTCTTCCCCTCCATAGGTATATAATATCCCCTGGCCATTATCTAGACGCCATTCCAACCAACCAATCTTTCTTTTATCTTTGGGTAATGTTGTGTCTTGTAAGGATTTCCGTCTTTTTGGTCGAAATATCATAGTTTTCATATTATCTTGAAGATCTATACCACAGTAATTACATTTATTGTCATTTTCCATTATTTCTAAACAGTCTCGATCTAAAAAAGGAAAAAAAGTTTAAATAGTTAATTTTCATTATTCTTTTTTTTTTTTTTTTTTTTTTGGTATCAACTTACGTCCTTCGGTAATAATATAATCACTTATACAAAAATCATCATCATCATCCTCAATCTTATTTAATTCATTGTTCGTATGTTCATTTGAATATATAATAGTCTGATCCAAAGTATGTAATTCCCATCCAACTATAGTTGCTTTTGTTTCCCATTGACCATCACCTTGAATTGTATGTAATGGAATCAATTGTCTAATGCCTTTACTTCTCAAGAGACAATCGAATCGCGATACTTATAAAAAAAAGAATAAATTATTATCAACTATGTATAATGTAAAAAGAAAAAAGTGACTTACAATTGTAGATCTCGGTACCGCATACAGTACTACCATTTACATACCAAGATGTCTTGCCTTTTGTATTATGTTTGACAGATGTTGATAGACCAGTCAAAAGGATACGATGACCTACTTGTATTTTTCTTGCATAATGTCCTGATTTTTCCCATAAGGTTACATCCATTTTACCAGATTCATCTTCAACACGCATTGCATATCTATCCATTTTCTTGCCATCTTTAAAGAACGGATTCTACAAAATAGTCATCAAATAAATGGGTAAAATCAAAAACAATTCTCAACTAACTTACATTGTTTGCTTTGGCAATCACTCGACCACAAATGGTGATATTCAACATGGATGATTCCAAATCGTTGATCATGATACGAGGCGTATAAGAACTGCAATCCATCAATCCTTCATCATCTCTTTCTATAATTGGTTTCTTCTTCTTTTGAGATGTTACTGATTTATCTTGTTGCCAAAAATCACGCATTGGACTATGGTCATTAGCAGGCTTCTTCCTTTCCTGATCCTGAGAAGAAGAAGCTAATGAATTTTGATTGGAAAGTGGTTCGACTTTGGTAACTCCAGCTTGAATGGCATCTTCATTTGACATAATAAAAAGGATTGTATCTGGACCACATTCAAACACGATATCTGTTTGGGTTTGTTGACTTTCACTTGGTTGTGTTGAAATGATAGGATGATAAAGACCAAGATAATCACCACGTTGAACCATTCTTGATAAATGAGTTTGTTGGCCATAAAAAGAAAGCAATGCTGGTTCAGTATCATTCGATTTGTCTATGATATAGATATCTATTCTTTTCGATTTGTCTTCTCTTTGTTGATCAAAAATACCACTATTATTATTATTATTATTATTATTTTGAATGCTTGGTCTTGGAGCGGCATGTCTTTGTTCATCACTTTTTTCTGCGATGATTTCCAACTGTTCTACATGAAGTACTTTGACCCATAGTTGATGCTTTTTACTAATATGAGGCAACATTCCTGCCATGGATTGTGGCTGAATCACGGTGGCAAAAGTGTCTTTGAAAATATCATTAATCCATGGTCCATCGCTTATCTGTAGTGTCCATAGGCAATTATGAGTGGGTGGAACACATATCACTTGATCAGATCGTCGGATATGTTGATCATCACCATCATCATCATAATATTTTGACCGTAGGGTATTCATCAATGAAGGACATACAAATTTTATACTTCGATCCTTAGAAAAGTCAGTCATCAATGGTGAAATACTATTGTCGATCCAAGCATTGTATTTTGGTGAGAGATATAAATCCATTTCCTTTGAACTTTTATCACTCAAAGTTGCCAACCGTATAGAATAATAAAAAAAAAAAAAAAGGTTAAGGAAATAATATATTTGAACAAATTAGTTAGTAGTATTATCTATATATGGAAAGGATATAAAGTGCATCATGCCTGAATTCAAGTTTCTTGATCTTGCAGTTCAATAGAATCGTCGATCGCGCTCTTTTTTTATCATACATATCCTCGATGGCGTCAAAATCTATAATAAATCCATTTATTATCTCTTTTTCTCATCGATATATTTTTTTTTGTTCCTTCAGTATATCATGAACAGTTCTTACAATTAGCATTCCTCATGATACAATGTTTTTCCCACTACAAAGAAAAAAAAAAACACGATCACTTAAAAAAAAAAAGATCACCAACTTGTCCTTCTTATGTTGTTACCATTGTTTCTAGTTCGGCCAGTATAATGGTAGTCGTTAATCCAGCAGGATAAGCCTCTAATAGTTGAGCAGTTTGAGTCGCAATCCACGACCTTGAATTGTTTAGAAAATGTTAGTCCAACTTTTTCTTTGTTTTCCTTTCCCTATCCTTCCTTTTTTTGATATAAGCTCTCTTTTTTTTCCGGTACCAAGTGATTGACGTTTCATTTCCATATTTTTCCGGAGACAAAGGGGTTTCCTGAAAATTATGAACTAAAGTTTCTTGTAATTTATCGATTAGTTGAGTAAAGGCCATGACAGTTACAAGTTGACCTGAAAGTTTTTTTTTCAGGATTGCTCCGTTTTTGGCATTTAACGATCACCCCCTCAGGCAAATCTGCGGAGATTAAACCAAATGCAACCAATGTTCTTCTCGTTTTGCTCAGTGAAAATTTTTTTTTTGCTTCACTTAACGCTCCTTATTCTTGTTGGGTTTCATAGTATGCAGAATCAAGTTTCGGAAGGAAAAGTATCTTCTTCGTCAGCGGAAGAAACAACAGAAAATGAAGGTAAGAATATGTTTTTCATTTCAGCTAAACGAAACTAGTATCTGGGTTTTTTTTCCTCATCTTTTTAGTTCAACTTTATAGATCATAACCAACACACAACTTATTTCTTATTGGATATACAAGAACCAGAACAACAGGATGAAACTGAAGCATCGATCACTACACAACAACAACAACAACAACAAAAGAAGAAAAACAAGCGTCGATCGAGTCATAGCGATGCAAGTACTAGACGTTCCAGTTCCTCTAGTTCTTCAACAAGTTCAAGTGTCTCAGCTCAAGTTGTCATTGACCACGGTCATCTTCGCCAACCTCATCAATCTCATCATGCTTCTTTTTCCCATCGACTAGATAAACATGCTAATCATTTGTTTCGGTCAGGAGACGATGAATCAGAAAGTGATTATGCGTATAGTTTTTTACATCATATACCACCTACCAACGATCAGGAACAAAACCCACAGTCATCTAATCTAATATATCATGAATCATCTACAGCATCAGTATTCTATCACGACGATGATGATGATGATATGAGTAAGAAAAGTAGTGATCCAAGTCCATCATCTGAAAAACCAATATTGGACAATGCCACACAACAGCAACAATCAGCAAAGAAATATAATAATTACACATCTGACAAAATTCTGAAAAATGATGAGAATGATGATGATTTTATGCATCGTACAAATCCACATAACTATTACAATGATAATTGCACCGATGAGACTGAAAAAGGCAATAATGGTACTACTCTGGATGGTCATATGTTTCGAAAAAGTATGGATGATGAAGACGATCATGCTATTGCTGATGACGAAAGTGAAAATGGTAGCGGTATGAAAGGGAATCATATGGATAACGGTTCAAATAACAAAAGGTACCAACAAAGAAGAAAGAAACTACATCGAAGGAATCTAATAAAACAACCAGCAGAATCACATCATCTACAGCCATCAAATGATAATTGTTCATCACCATTAAATTCATCTTGTTCTACTCCTAAACAGTCATTGCATTATTCTCGGAAATTGAACAAGCGCGCTCAACGCATCTTGGAAGCAAATTTACATTCTCATTCTTGGAGTCGTCGTGAAAGCTTGCAACCATGCAATTATCCAGCTGTCGGTCTTTCAAGTGATGAAGCTCTTCAGTAAATAACACTAAAAAAAAAATTACCATCTATCATGAATATTGACAAAATTTATCTTTTTTTTCCAACATCATAGAAAATTACTCTCTATTGCTCAACAGATTTTGGATGAAGAACGAGGAAGAATACAGAAAAAAATAGGTAAAGAAAGAAAAATAATAATACAGAGACAATTGACCAAATATGATATCCTTTTTTTTTGTGGGTAATTATGCAGATATTAGGGATTGGCTCTATCGACCAGAAAATATTTTCAGCTTTGTATGTGCTATGGCTTGTTTGGCTTATTACATTGCTGGTTACCTGAAAAGTGATCCATATCAGTATAGAATCACTGGTGCATTAATAGAGACAATCCTAATCTTGCTGATGACTATTTGGAACGGCTTCTTATACTATCGGGAACAGACATTGACTTGCTACGAGATGACAGATAGGGCAACTACTATTATGGAAGCTTTAAAACGTAGTGGTATGAACATGGTTCAGGTCGGTACATCATAGATGGACGTAAACAACTGGATCACTTATCTTTCCCTTTCCTTTTTTTTTTTTTTTTTTTTTGATAGGACATCAAAATTCCATTTATCCCTTCAATGACAGTAGCCAAAGTCGTACGTGATGGAGTAGTACGAATATTTCCTGTGAATTTATTAGTGGAGGGCGATATAGTGGAAATGATTTATGGTGATGTAGCTCCTGGAAGAATGAAATACATTCATCAACAACGTTACCGTCCATACGAAAAAGAAATAAAACCATCTTCCCAAGATAATAATAATAATAATAATAATAATAATAGTAATAACAATAATAAACCTAAGGGCGATGACGATACGAAAGAAGAATCAAATCTTAATCATGAAACTAACAACAACAACAACAACAACAACAACAACAATGATGGATCACCTCTAAACCAACGAGAATACTATTTGGCTGAAAATCAAGCATTCAAACCTTCCTTTTTTGGAATACCACCACCTTCTGGTCTCATGGAAGAATACCTGGGCTGTCGAGGACGTTATCAATTTACATTATTGGAAACACCATTGGAAGAACATATGCGAACTGCACTATCACAGACTCGGCCTAAAACAGTGATTATGAATGAAGCCCGTGTACTTTTCCGAATACTTTATGGTCATCTGATATGGTATGTGCTAGGAATATCACTGGTCATTAATTTACTGGTTTTTGGATTGAAGGAATATCGTGGTCATGATATTGGTCTAGAGCAATTGGTTGAACAAGTCTTTTGGTTACCATTCTTAGCTGTTCTTCCTCTATTACCATTATGTGTACCCAGTCTTTGGTTGATTGCACGTAGTTTCGGCAATGCTCAATTATTGATCTTATTTGAAGCTTTACAAATATCAAAAACGGAATATGAAGATGATGATGAAGTAGATGAATTTGATACGGAAGCTCCTCCACCGACCAAAGATCTTGAACTTAGTCCAAGTAAGTTATCTTAAAAAAAAAAACAAAAAAAATAAATAAATAAATAAAATAGAATGAGAGGGAGGTGCATGATGATCCAATAATTAATTAATTCTCATTATCCAAATAATAGATGCTGTGTGGGATCGATTTTGCTCTTTACTGAATAGATGGGATCGATTATCTTTAACAAGATCTACCAATCTTCTAGAATCACTAGGCAGTACAACAGTAATATGTTGCTTGGATAGAGAGGGCACTATCGCCAATGTAGGTGGAGCAAAAAAAAAAAAAAAAAAAAAAAAAAAAAAAAAAAAAAAAAAAAAAACTAAGTAATAATGCTGATCATTTTTTTTTTTGTTTTTTTGTATGATAGCCTTTTCCTACGGCTGAACAACTGATGTTCCCTAATAATGAAGAAGATACTAGCTACTTGGATTTGGAAGAAGATTCGGATGAACCTTTTGGATATACATTTGAAGATGAAGATTGGGAATCATATTTACCTCAATTGAAACCTGTGGGACTTAATTTTATGCTCAATACAAATTGTGGGGTAGTACAAGGAAGGAAAAGGACGGATTATCATCGAAAAAGATCAAAACTACAAGTTTATGGCCGTACAGCTGCTGCTCGACAAGCTTGTATATGTAGGCTTGGGAAATGCATTGGTTTTAGAGAAAATAGTTTGCAATCATTTGCATTACGTGCAGAGATATATACTTTTGCTCCTTATCATGATATTTTGATGACACCCAGATATCAATTCAGCCAATATTACGAGTTTGAAGTACCCAATGCTTTATCCACCGTCTTTGAAGAACGTAGCTCTGGTAATGTTCTTTTTTTTATAATAATGTAAAGTTATGTTTAACCAGTGATTTCTCTTTTTTTTTTTTTTTTAATAGGAAGCTATCAATTATTGACGGATGGTCATCCTGCTCTTGTTCTTGATAAATGTTCTGATTACTGGGATGGAACATCTTTACAAACCATGTCCAGCAAGGTATTTAACAACAACATTATTATTATATTATTTATTTATTAAATGAAACTATTTATCTTGTAGATGGAAAAAAAGATACATGATTTTTTTCAAAATGCCGAAATCCATGATATGCAATGTATCGCCTATGCTTATCGACCAATCAATACTAGTAATGGTGGACGTATTCCTTTCTTAAATCCTTCAGATGATGAGAATGAAGATCCAGGATGTGCTTTTGTTGTTCTACCTTATAAACCACCTAGTAATGATTCCAGTAGTTCTGATTCCAGCAGCAGTAGTAGTGATATGTCTTCATCAGCATCCATTGATCATTCTGAAGATTTTACTACGACAAAGAAAGTTCATCAAGGAAAGACTTCGCCATCATCACCCAAAAATCATCGGTCACGCAAAACTTCCAATAACAATAACAACATCATTCACCATCCATCACATACCGTTGACAACCATGATAGCAGCAGTCAATCCAGTATGAACAATGATTCCCTCAGTGAAACTGATTATTCCTTTGAGGATGATGAACCAGTGGACGAACAAGAAGAGGAAACTTTTTACAAGGAAGTAGTAAAAGGACAAATATTTTTGGGCATGGCAGCCATGTGTCATCAACCTAAACAGGTATACATATATATAAAATTGGGACTCAAATAATGGTTGCTGATAATATTGTATTGTTTTAGAACGTTGTTGATTTTATCGAGGATTTAGGACTAGCTGGTATTCGATTTGTTTATTTCTCACACACTGCTGAAAGAGAATCTAAAGGTAAAGATGAAAGAAAGCATTTATAAATTACATTACTTATCATATTATAAATCGTTCGTCAGCATTTGCGGAACGTTTAGGCTTGGAGACGGATTGGAATAGTTGCATCTTACTTTCAAATCCTGATGATGAACATTGTGGAAATGGATACATCCAAACGCATGATATCAAGGCACAGCTCCCTCGGGGTATTGATCAAATACGACCTCATCTTGAAAATGTGGATGATATTCCTCTTCATGTTTCCTTGTTTGCTGAATGTGCTCCACCTGCTATCAAAGAGATGATCCGTATCTTCCAGGAAAATGGAGAAGTAGTATGTTGTATTGGAAATGCACTCAATATCAAAAATACTGAATCATTTGCACTGGTAAGGCAACATCAAAAAAAAAAAAAAAAAAAGAGGTGATGTGTATTAGTTGCTCACTTTTTTTTTTTTTTTTAATTAATTATTAGGCTGATATCAGTATTGGTATGGAACCTATGCATACAAGGGCTCAGAGTCGCGGCAGGTTATCTCTTAATGGACGACAACCACCATTAGCAGTTGGTGCCTCTTTAGTAAGCCTACCATGTGGTTTATTTATGCAATATGAAACTAGTCTTTATGCTGTTACTCAACTCATTCGTGATGCTCGTCGTTTACTCACATGTGTCAGAACTGTAAGTTTATCAACATTTCAGTTTATATGTTAATGATCTTTTTATTATTATTATTATTATTATTATTATTATTATGATAGGGATTCGTATTTTATCTCGGGACATGTATGGCATTAACATGTTTGCAGATGATATCCTTTTGTACGGTATTGCCGCCTATTTTAACAGGATATCAGATTTTATGGGTATTATGGATTATTCTACCTATTTTGACACTGTCCATGCTATTTACCCCTCTGGATGATAATATTATGTTATTGATGCCTGGCAAAAACATTGACCATCTTACTGACATGAAACGATTCTTTTTCTATTTTGTACTTCGATTTATTCTATTGTTTGTAATTTGTCTTGCCATTTTCATCATGTAAGCTCAAAAAAAGAAAAAAGGATTTTACAACTTTAAATGAAATGATCATAACAAATGACAACATTTTTTTTTTAATCAACATAGGTCACTTGTATATGGCATGAATGCCCCAGCAAGTCAAATATTTGGATTGTTTGGTACACAAGGTTGGTTACATTGGACGAACGAACAACAATGGGCCGTTATATTGGCACAGAATTTCATGTTGATTATATTTGTTTGGTGTATTGGTAAAAAGAAAAAAAAAAGAATTGATTCCTATGCTCACAATCATCTTTTATTTTTTTCTGATCATTTTTATTTAGCTTGGATGTCAGCCACTTTTCTGCATCGAACGTACTCTTTAAGAGAATTTATTCCTTTCAGAAACAAAGTATGGATTGGAGCTTTTGTCATGACAATCATATTACAATTCTGTTTTTGTGCGGTATCTTTAGCCCATTGTCCTATCAAGTTGGACACAATTCCTTGGTATGTTTACTTTATTGGCTTTATTTCTCCTGTTATTTTAGTTCCCACACAAGAATTGGTCAAACTACATGATGAAAAAGAATTCATTAGGTTCCAAAAACGATCTAAACTAGAATTTAGCACAAAGCTTGGTATGCATTCTCCACTTTAGAAAAAAAATAATAAAAATAAAAATAAAAAGAGTATACTTGTAAACGGTGGTTTTTTTTTTTTTTTTGAAATCAAATAAGTAATATCAAGCATGATGCTCCGACCAGTTGGCAAATGTTTTTAATCTTGTAATGTCTTTTGGGAATCATTATATGATAGTTTTCATTTACTGCGTTTATTATAGAGAAGAGTGATGAGGAACAATGCAAAAAAAAAAAGAAAGGAAACGGTTCTTCTTTACAAGTATCAATTTATCTATGATCATTAAGAAGAAGATTATAATTTACAATCAATCCAACTATTTCCGTAATATATAAAAAAGGAAGCACCACCAGTACATTGGAGTTCTTTAATCACAGCGTTGAAAAGAAAAAAATAAATTCACAAAGCCATTCTACATCATCCTTCATTGATGGACTCCTTTTTTGATCGGTAGTGGTAGAAATGTCCCATTCTGATGGTTGATTTGAAGAAGGATTTAAACTACATTGGTTCATCCATGATTCTACTTGGAGGCGCCACGAACCTATCAGATCCCCATCTAACAGAGCTACTAGTGAATCATCATCAACGTCATCATAACCACGAATAACAGTTGATCCTTTGGTTTCTGAATCATAGCGCAGAGTGGAAGATCTTAACATACTTTGATAATATTGCTTGACCATAAATACATGACAATGGACATCCTCCCAGTTCATTCGATAGGGTCCTATCTTTGTAACAATATGTATCCATTTTTGTAGCGAGTGGACCGTTGCTGTCATGGTATCCCTTTTGTTTCTTAAATAAAGATACTGTTCTTGGACTTGATGCCAATCACTCTTTAAAAATACAAGATCACATAGCTGTAGGATAAATGTATCAAAACATATATACTATTCAAATAAAAATAAAAATTTCATCAGATCTATGGATAATATAGGATGAGCAAAAAGATTATGTTTAGTAACTATACACTTACTTGGAAGAGTTTGATAGATACACTCAAGTCCAATGCACTTAATTTTTCATTGAATTGAGTGGCCAGATCAGTTCCGGATAAAACACTATCGTACAAGGAAAATGCTATCATCTGTAACAAAAAAAAAAGTTTGCTTTTTTTAGGAGTCAGAGCGTACAGATCATCCTTGATCAAAAAAAAAAGTATTCTATGCATTTACCATATTTAATAACCTTCCAGATAATTCCTTTCGTTTGCAACTAAATATCGGTAAAAGGCAGTGACTGTTGTCATCAAAAGGTTGTAGTAAAATATCCAAAAATTGCGTTAATCGAACACGTCGATATTGATTGTTCTTCATTAGAGTCATCAAAAAAATACTTTTTCGAATACTTGCAGAGCTATCTAATCATACGACATAATAAAAGTGAAGAGTGCAATATTAGTTGGCCCATTGAAAATGTAGCATTTTCTTGTGTAACTAGTTACCTTTTTTGGATAGAAAATCTTGTTCAAGTATTGATACTAGAATATCCAGTGTAAGTAAAAATGTCTTGTAATAAAAAAAAAAGATAAGTACATGTAATACTAGAAATTGGTCCAATATGATAAAATTTTTTATATTACCTTGGTTGCTGTGGGATCCTTTGATGTAAAACTTTGATGTATAAAGTCCCAAATATCAGCAAAGTTTGCGAAACCAGAGTTTGACATTCTACTCTCCATATTATCGTCTGCATCGTCGCTATCACTATCACTGGCGTGCATATTATCCCCGTTACCATAATGTACTATATTGTTAGATCGAGGGAGTGGACGAAAATGTTTTTTATGTCCTAGGATATGAAAATGCCGGAAAGAATTCCATATACCGTCAAACATCTGCGGGCCAAAACGATGCAGCATATTCAATAAAAGACCCTGCGTTCTTTCCATAAAAATCCAATTTTCCTTGTGATGTTGATTGTCAAATTCCTTTTTCCTTAACAGGATATCAAATAAAGTAAATACAATGATCCTAATCAAAAAAAAAAAAAAGGATTTACTATTATATCACTTTTAGATACGGTCGCTTCCTATTGTATTTACATGGTTGGCTTTTGACGATATGCCAGAGAATTTTCAATTAGATCAAGAGCAGCCGTGTCTACAATATAAAGTCATAACACCCGAATTGAATATACCCTTATTAATTCATCTATTTTTGAATATTCAACACTCACTATGCTCTACTTCGAAATAATCTAATATCATGGACTGAATACTGTGGTTCATGACAGGACAGTGCTTTCCATGAAGTGGTGATGAGGTCGTTTTCGGATGATCGGTGTCTATAGTGGTAAGAGATCTCGTAGAATTCCTAGGTGAAACCACTGAAGAATCGTGATGACACGGTAAAGTCAAGGAATGAAGGTATCTATAAAGTTCGACTGAACCTGGATCTATGGAAAGTATATGCTGGGCAGGTATATCTTCATTTAGATCATATTCAGGTGTAGTTACGGTAAACCATAAACAACCATTCTAGAAATATATAAAGTTGTATCGTCAGTCTTATCTTTGTGTCCGAATAAAAATTTTTAATCTTTTACATCAAGATAGTGATTGGAAATAGGCATGACTTGAAATTAAAAAAAAAAAAAAAAAGGGAAAGATTAGAGACAACCATATTTTTGGATACCTCCTCTCTCTCTCTGCTGAAAGAAAAAGGACTTTTGATACCCTCCTCAAAATTGACCAATAAAATTACTTTATTTCTGCTGTTTTGCAATTTTCCAAATAAGTCAAAACGCTCAGACTACCTAGCGAGCGTTTTTCCCTACCAAAAAAAAAAAAAAAGGTGTACATAATATATATATTTCTTTTAAAAAAAATTTGATAAAATAAAAATAAAATAAAATAATCTTGACACTCGTCAAGCGAATAGAAAAAAAAATCCAGCATAAGGCATAGTTTATGCGACGATTAAAGACGTAATAGAATAAGTGAGACAAAAATATATCTTTATTGAATGAGAAGAATATCTTTGGTGATGTAATATTTCATACGAAGCATTTCCATCTACTAATAATTTATAATGACCATTACCGTAAGCGAGAAGCTAACACAGTCTGCCGATACCGAAAAGTCAGGTTTGTAATGTTCATCCCCGTGAAAAGAAGAATTCGCCCAGTGGACTTTGAATAGAGAATTTGAATTGAATACAGACTGCAGGATCGGTGCTATGTAGTGATGTACAAACGTGTCTTCGATATTGTTTGGTGGAGGTCGAGCAATAAAAACCGGTAAGTATTGAGCTAACGTATGAGCTACGTGAATATCGACTTGGTTCCGTTTCTTAAGAATGTTGTCATGAACGTGACAGAGGTAATACTATAATACCAGTAACAGAAAGGCAGACAAGACTGAAGTAAGTATATATATGCTTACGAGAATACAATAGTTGTTTGATGTAGACTAGTATGAGGCAATTTAAAAAGCAATGTTGACCGAAGGTAACAGAGAATTCATTATTCGTATTAGAGATAAAATAATGTATTTATATTCTAAACTAAAAAGGGTCGACTAACTACAGTATCAAGATTGTAATGAGGACGAAGAAAAAGAGAAGAAGAGAAGGTGATAAAAAACAAAAGAAAAAAAAAAAGAAGCAAAAGGAAAGGAAAGGAAAAAGGAGAAAAGGAGTGAACGAGGTGAGTAAATAAAACTCAGATTTGTTTGCGTGATTGATTTCTATCCATATTCTTGATAGTGAAAATGATTCGCGTCAATGCACCAATTCATTTGCACTGTAAGCTTTTTTTTATTTGCATGTTTAAAAGAAATCCGGCCGCCCCCCAAGCAAACGGAAAAATCCAGTAGGTAAAGCATGGTTTTATGTAATGGCAATGACTTAATAAGTGGGACAGGAATATATCTTTATTGAATGAGAAAAATGGCTAGTTTAAATTATGTAATATTTCATATGAATCATTTCCATCCACCAATAATTTGCAATGGCCATTAGGATCTGCTCCTGAAATTTCACCATAAGCACTGCCTTGCGATTGAATTAAATGAGGGTCACCTTCGGCAGCATATCCTCTTGCACCATCTGCAGCACATACTAATTTAAAATTAGCTTCTCTACCTAATCTATTAATAATTTCATATCTAACACCACTATCTGTAGATTCTATTCCTAGATTTGCTGCATGTACATTCCCTGTTGGTTCTGGAGCATAGAGGTACGGGCACTTTTTTCTTGTATAATCCATTTCCAAGTAATAGAAGATAATAAAGTAAAGAGATATAACGTCAAGGTGGCAAAAGATAAAAAGGAATTGAAAAAAAGGAAAAGAACGGGAAAGAAGAAAGGAAAAGAAGAAAGGATGTTCAAGAAAGTCATATGTTTCGTCCTTTCTTGTCTACGTACTACAAAGATGGCAACCTTATTCGTATAAAGGATCATTTCACTATTTTTTTTTCCCTCACTCTTTTTTTTTTCACCTAGTACAAATGATAGAAGTTGCATAAACTAGTTGATTTTGGATGGATCACCTGATCTATCCCTGTAAGACAGTACGATATTTTTTTTTTTTTAAAAAAAAAAAAAAAGCACGGAAAGAGCATAAAAGGAAAAGAGCGAGGAAAATGCAAAAAGAAAAAAAATAGAAAACGAGAAAACGAATGTTGAATATCTACAGTTTATTTGATTTAATTAAAATAGTTTTGATGCCATGTATAATTTGGATTTTCAGTCAAGAAGGATCGAATTGCTTGTCTTGGAGTAATAGGTTCCCTACCAAGGACGTTCTTCATGAGAGGATGGGTTGTACTAGCTTCGCCTTTTGCAATACCATCATACCATGATACAAGTGTCTCAAAAAACTGGGCAGGTTTACCACCTTGATCATTTGTAGAGTTCAATCGAACATAGTCTTCAGGGGAAACCAATTCCAATTTGATAGATCTACCAGTTGTGTTGTTGATTTCATCAATCATGTCGGAAAAAGTAACACTTTCTTGTGTGGTCAAAAGAACAATTTGTTTGTCATATCCACCAGCGATCATTAATTTTGCATTTGCTTCACCTAGTTCCTTACGTGATGTAAGGGCCATGCTTCCGTTACTAGGAAGGTAAACAGTTTCTGTATCCGGATACCAATTCAAGAAGAGTGGGAATGCATCTACATAGACACCTTCACGGATGGATGTGAAATTAAGTCCAGAACTGCATAAAAAAAGAAAAAGACAATAAAGTATGAATTTTTATGAGCATTTGTTGTTAAATTAAAACTTACGTTTGGAGCATTTCTTCTGTTTCATAATGGACTTGTTGGATTGCAACCTTCGATTGAGATTCGAGTCCTCCAAATGCAAGAGACGTATACCAGACCTATATTGATAACAAAACGTTAATTGACTAAAAACACATTTATATATAAAAGGACTTGCATGTTTCACATTGGCCTTTTTGGCGGCATCGACAAAGTTTTGATGTTGCACAGCGCGACGTTTATTGTCAAAGACATTTGTACTGACAAAGAACAAATTTTCAACACCTTCAAAGGCTTTTTCTAAAGTTTGTGGGTCATCATAGTTGACATGTCGAAAAGCAAAGCCTTTGTCTTCATACTTTTGTCGATTGGATTCATTGGAAGATGCAACAGCATATTCAGATGCAGGGACATTGGTAACAAAATAAGAAAGCACTTCTTTCCCCAAACCGCCAGTAACACCAGTAAGAAGATATTTAAGAGTCATTTGTTAGGAAGTTAAAAATCAAGAAAGATTGTAAAGTCAAACTACCTTTTTTTTTTTTTTTTTTTTTTTTTTTTTTGTATAAGGCCAATTTATATCTTTTTTTTTTTTTATGCGGTAAATCTGTAAGCGATGATTTGTCAGCGGTCATCGCAGTAGCAAGATTTTAAAGCCAAGTTTTCGTGTGACCACCCCATTTCTCAGTGTTAACCTTCCCTGTATTTTTCCTTTTTTTTTTTTTTGAGTTGGTGGTAACCAATCTTGGAAATAGGTTATTACTCTACATTTACTTGAATACACACGTGTATTATGATACCTAGGCTTCCACCAGTGATCTTATTAGCTATTGGAGGTGCTTCGATTTACGGAATCAAGTATTGGATGGATAAAATGGAGACCAAGTCTTTGACAGGATCACCTGAGCAAGCAGAGGCAGCAAAGCGACATTTACGAAATGTAAAGATAGCTACTCGCTTAGGTATTGGATCTGTCGCTATGGGCGCAGCATATTATGGTAAAGTGAAAACAATCGAAACTGACTTTTGAACGTCATAGGCAGTGAACTCATTTTTATTAATTGTATTCATTTTTATGCAGTCTATGATTCTTGGAAAGAACGACCTACTCCATCCGTTGTAAAAGTCAAAGACTCTGAATTTTATGATAATCAGTACTCAAGCAGAGACCACTCTTATGAAAAAACTTCACAATCTATCGAACAGGAACAAAGAATTAGAGCAGAATCAAATCTGAAACGATTAAAAGAAGAATTTGTCAATAAAAAATAATGTTTATAAAAAATAACTATATATATATCTATTTGCTACTGATATCCCCTGGTATATTATGAGAAATTAAACTAGGCGGTATCCATTGTAACAAAACTAATCCTATTATTTTTCCAAGTAGTAGCTAGTAAAGCTCCTTCCGTGAAAGATTTCACAAAATGAATATGAGTTGGTTTTGTATTCTCCATGGGTTCAGCAGTTAGTTCATTATTTTGTGATGTAGACACTTCCATACCCCGAGTATAACCACTAAAAAATAGTAAATTTTAAATATGTAAGAAACAAAAAAAAAAAAAAAATACTATAAAAAAAAAACAAGAACTTACATCAATGTCAACTCTTGTCCTTGAGATAAAGACATTGGTTGTTTCAATGGCATCACTTTATAGAGAGCCACATAATTACAATGTTCAAACGATACTGCTAAACGACATCCATTATTAGGATCCAGAGCTAATTCTTTGATAACTCCACCAATAGGTACTTTTTGTTCATTAGACATTGTCACTTCGGCTGGAGGTATTTCGAGTATTTTGATATCCCACATTCCTGACGCAGTAGATTTGCTAGTTGGTAGACAAAGAGCGTGAATGTCTTGTTTACCAACCATTGAATAAAATAAACTGCAACTATCTGGTGCCCAACAAGCAGACTACATAAATACAAGACGAGATATATTTTATTACTCTCCCAGATCAAGATTATTATTTATTTATTTATTTTTTATATATCTTTACCTTCACCCATAATCCAGGAGGGTTTCGTATTTCTGTGTTTGTCCAATTTCTAGTTTCCCACAACCGAGATTTACCATTCCTAATGATTAGAAAATAAATATAATTTGATTAAAAACAGTCTATCCACATATTTATCATACTTACAAATTAGCCACATATAGATATTTCCCATCAGGACTCCAGCTCAAAAGGGTATTGCCTTTTCCATATCGTTTCACAGGAGTATGATTAAATGTCATAATATCATACATGATCAATGTGCTATCCACGCCAGAGGCCGCGGCAAGGACTTGACTTCCAGGTGATGGATCCCAAGCGACCGAACTAATATGTCGATGTCCAGGAGTGCTGAAAAAATGCATATATGCATTAGAAAGAGTACGGTTATCGCCTTGGTTCTTATCCGTCGTACTGACCAACTCACATCGTTCAGTGGCAGGAACAAAGTCAAAACGATTAGCACAGCGACTGTCAGTCAGAAACCAGACACACACACCTGCTTGACATCCCACTGCCAGAGTGCCATGACTATATTTTTTCCATTCCAAACTAGTTATATTCGCCATATAATGATGTTCAAGTACTTGTGTACGCCAGGTGTTTCTTTGACTATCGCGCTCATAAATATATACATGATGATCCTCTCGAGCAATCGCTAACAATTCATGGTGAGGATGCCATGCCACAGCGCGTACTGGTGGTGCATTTGCACTAAAAAGATGGTGAAGCGTAGGTAAAGGTTGCTGGCTAAAAAAATTAGATACCACTGTCTCATATAAAGCCTTAGCGTAACGAGAAGGCACACTATAAAGCAATAATACGAGATTAGACTAGTGAAGGAAACGGCAGTTATATAATATATATTTCTATTCATATTGTACCTGTTTTTGATGGCATCTTGCAAACTACAAATAATCAACATTAGAACTGGTGAATATTAGCTTTAATTCTACCTTTTTTTTTCACTTACGATTGTGGAAGGAGAGATATAATATCAGAGGTGTTTTTCAATAATTCAGTGATAAAGCTATCAATATGATCCGCTCTTTGTGTGCTCAACGAGCTTTCCATTGATATAGAAGGATAGATAGGTACCTTTACACATATACATATATATATATATATATATATAAAAGAAAATAATAATAAACTTGTTCAGAAAACGATATAAAGAAATGATCATTAACTTTTACCTGTCTTTGTGGTAACTGGGCAAAAGCAAGATCTTGCTCATTATTAACATGAACTATTATGGAACGATCGAAAAAGAAAAAGAATTAATAAATGGTATTGTTGAAGTAAATATTTCTCTTTCTAGCTTTACCGAGCTTTCCATCAACTTCAGCTATAGATCCTTGTAATTGTGTAGGTGCGTACATAATAACGAGAAACCTCGCGTGGTTGAAAAGAAGACCTGTTACACTTCTCGGTTAACAAACTTGAAATAGGGAAGGCTTTAAGTAGTCACAATGCACACAAACCTGCTGGATTTTTGCAAGCCCAGTCTCAGATTGGATTTCGGTCAGAGTTTATCCGGGATTGATCAAATTTTGATTTATTCATTACACCCTTTATGCAAATTGGAATATTATTATCAAGTTCAGCAGTTAAGATTTTTTTTTTTTCATTTGTTTATTACTTCAAAAAAGGTCTTTTAGTTTCCAGAATTTGTTAAATATCATAATAACCTACTTGTTATAAACAATTCTAACTTTGAAAAATTCCTTTTTTAATTCTTCATCGTTTATTACTAAAGTCAAATTCAGACTCTGCATCTTGTATTATTTTGTAAGTCCCTCGATGTAATAAACTTTTAGCAGCTACAAATTTAACTCTTGCTTTCTTTTCTGTGATTTTTTCAAATATATAATATGAACGAATTTTACTCTAAAATGTAACAACAACACTTTATTTATGGATAAAAAGGCAACAATGCTTTTATGCCTGATATTTATATTCTTCAAAAACAATTTTATAATTATAAAGAATCACATCTTACATCAAAACATGTTCTATCCCTAACATCACACTGCCAATAACCTGTACTACAACTATCTACACCAGGATCAATTGCGCCATGTTTACCACACACTTCACTTTGACTTTCAAAGCATCCAGGCATACTACATTTACAACAGCACATTACAGAATAAATAGTCTTGACAAAGGCAAAGAAGTAAAAAATCAATAATAGCAATTTCAAAAACACAGCCATAGTAAATTAAAAAAGAACAAAAGAATAAAAAAATAAAAAAACAATAATGCTCTATTTATAAAATTATAAAACCTTACTAAAATATATGAAATAGTTCTACATAAATAAACATAAATAAACATAAATAAAACCTCTAGTAAACGAAACAAGATTGCTTTAACAGGATTAGTCTTATAAAACAGGATTTACGCCGCAATAGGATTCACTTTTTTTTTCTCTTTAATCGCTTTTTGTTTTTTAGCTGTATTATATAAACATCTTACGGTTTGTCTCGTTATTTCATGTCTACCCCACACAGCCGTCGCACTACTACGCTAACACAAATTGAAGACTGGGTGAGGCAGAATGTGGTGTCTATAAGATAGATCTGATGATTTATCTCAAAATCAACATTTTGTGTAACAGCTGTTATGCATATGTTAAGGAGTTTTTTATTGCATTAGCTTTTGCTCTCATTAAATAAAAGATCTATATTTTTGTCTCACTTGTTTTTATTTAAGCCTTCAACTATCACACAGAGTAATATCTGGGTAGAGAAAGAAAAAAGAATCGACAACCAGAAAATGTTGCTGTTGAAGGTCGAAAACTATGCGTACTAAAGGACGAGTACTTGGTAAGAAGAACAAGAAAAAAAAAATATGCAATGCGCAAACAGGAGGCGGAATGGAGGCATATGTTTCTGTGCAGTCATGAAAAGTTCATCTTTTTTTTCTTTTTGTCAGAAACAAATACCTTTGAAGACTTGAAATAGACATCTACGTGCCAAACCCATGACGACAATTAGCTATGGCCGTAAGTCCAAAGAGCGAGAGAGAGTTACTGCCGGTGCAAGCTCATGTCAAAAATTGTGGAACAATGGGATTGTCGATGCTTCTCTACCAAGATATTCGTGTTACTATCTTCCACTGCGAATGAGGAGCCGGAAAAAAGAGACACTAACAGCTGCAGCAATAACAACTATCTAAAGGCATTACAAGTAAATGGCGATACGAAGGGTATGGCAAAAAAAAGAAGGGAGAGAAAGTTTTTTATAATTATTCTTTTTATATTGATTTTTATAGATCTATGTCACTTAACGCAAAATTCAAACCAATTTGCCTTGTCGCCATAGACTTCGCAGGTCTCGCCACGGAACCCAATGCTTTATGACAATTCAACTGGTAAGAAAGGGGGGTTGAGAGGCTAGTATGGAGAGAGAACGAAAATTTATGGATTAATAACCTCATTTGCGTCCTCATTTGTAGAAAATACGCACAAATTCAAGAAATAGTCATTGACCATGGTGTGACCTTCAGCATATATTCGAGACAACTATTTGACAGGAAAACGAAGAGCATGTGTCGTATCATGAAATAAAAGAGCCGTTGGATGAATGTAAATCTGAGACATCTACCACACAAAGTCTATTGTTCTTCAATAATCAATCTATTTTTATTTTATGAAATAATCAATCAAGTCATTCTTTTTCAATAATAAAAAATTAGAAAGAATCTCACCTATTTATTATTGTCTTTATTCATATAGCAAAAATCAACTAATAACACAATAACATTTTAAGATTTTATTCATTACGCCCTTTATGCAAATTGGAATGTTATTATTATCAAGTTCAGCAGTCAAGATTTTTTTTTGATTTGTTTATAACTTCAAAAGGTCTTTTAGTTCCCAGAATTTATTAAATATCATAATAACCTCCTTGTTATAAACAATTCTAACTTTGAAAAATTCCTTTTTTAATTCTTCATCGTTTATTACTAAAGTCAAATTCAGACTCTACATCTTGTATTAGATGTAATAAACTTTTAGCAGCTACAAATTTAACTCTTGCTTTCATTTCTGTGATTTTTTCAAATATATAATATGAACGAATTTTATTCTAAAATGTAACAACAACACTTTATTTATGGATAAAAAGGCAACAATGCTTTTATGCCTGATATTTATTTCTTCAAAAACAATTTTATAATTATAAAGAATCACATCTTACATCAAAACATGTTCTATCCCTAACATCACACTGCCAATAACCTGTACTACACCTATCTACACCAGGATTGATTGCTCCATGTTTACCGCACACTTCACTTTGACTTTCAAAGCATACAGGCGTACTACATTTACAACAGCACATCACAGCATAAATAGTCTTGACAAAAGCAAAGAAGTAAAAAATCAATAATAGCAATTTCAAACACATGACCATAGTAAATTAAAAAAAAAATAAAAATAAAAATAAAAATAAAAATAAAAATAAAAATAAAAGTAAAAATAAAAAAAAAATAAAAATAGAAAACAACAATGCTTTATTTATCAAATTATAAAGCCTTACTAAAGTATATGAAACAGTTCTACATAAATAAAACCTATAGTATGCGAAACAGGATTGCTTTAACAGGATTAGTCTTATAAAACAGCATTACGCTGCTCACGACTTTTCTCGAAATCGGAAATCTCTTTAACCGTTTTTTTGTTTTTTAGCTTTATATAAACATCCTACGGTTATGTCTCATTATTTCATATCTCGACCCACACAGCCGTCACACTACTACGCTAACACAAATTGAAGACTGGGTGAGGCAGAGTGTGATGTCTATAAGACAGATCTGATGATTTATCATAAAATCAACATTTTGTAATTTATCTTAAAATCAACATTTTGTGTAACAGCTGTCATTCATATGTTAAGGAGTTTTTGATTGCGTTAGCTTTTTTTCTCACTTTCTTCTCTTTAAACAAAGATTATTTTTGTCTCACTTATTTTTATTTAATCCAATCGACTACTTTACAGAGTAATATCTGGGAGAAAGAACCAAGAGCCGCCAATCACAAAATATAGTTGCTGAAGGTCGCAAACTCTGGGTACTAAAGGATGAGTACGTAGGTAAGAAAAACAGAAAGAAAAATATGCAATGCACTAATAGGAAGCGAAATGGAGGCATGTGATGTTCCTGTGCAAGTCATGAAAAACTCATTCTTTTTTTTTTAATCAGAGATAAATGCCTTTGAGGACCTGGCTAACTACAACAAGCATCTCCGAGCTAATCCTATCACAACTATTGGTTACGCTCGTAAATCTAAAGGGCGAGAGAGATTTACCACTCGGTGCAACCTCTTGTCAAAAATGGTGGAACGATTGGAAGCTCAATGTCTCTGCACAAAAATATTCGTGTCTCCTTCTTCCAATGCGAACGAAGAGTTGGAAAAAAGAGACACCAACTCTAACAACAGCAACTACTTAAAGGCATTGCAAGTGAATGGTGACATGAAGGGTATGGCAAAAAAAAGAAGAGAGAAAAAAGTCTTGTTATAATTTTTTTGATTTTTTATAGATCTCTGCCGCTTGCTTAACACAAAGTTCAAACCAGTTCGCCTTGTCGCCATAGATTTCGCAGGTCTCACCACGGAACCCAATGACTTACGACAATTCATTAGGTAACAAAAGTGGGGTTGAGAGGCTAGTATGGAGAGAGACGAAGGTTTATGGATTAATAACGCCATTTATGTCCTCATGTAGAAAATATACCCAAATTCAAGAAGTAGTCATTGATCATGGTGTGACCTTTAGCATATATTCACGACACGACTTGCTGGAAAACGAAGATATCATCAGCAAGTTCAACTGTCGTACCGGCTTTATCAGACGATCAAGCTAGATGGCGATTGTCCTTCTCTTTGTATTTTTATTTTTTTTGCTTTTACTTTTTTTTTTTTATGTATCACCGGTCAAGGATTTTCTTTGGGAATTCTTATTTTCACCCCCCTCAGTTTGTTATTCTCCCCCTTCCCAAGCTAAAAAATAGCCAATAAAACACGAGATACCTTTTTTTTAAAAAAATGCACATAATATATATTTTATACTATTATTATTTTATTTCTTTAGTTTGTTTTGTTTGTCTGAAATAAAACGTTGTTATATTTGATCCAGTCTTTTATTGATTCTAGTTGATGATGGATGATGGATGATGGATGATGGATGATAGATGATTACTTTGTCATTTACTATTCTTCTCTTGAACTATTATGATAAAAAAATATTACACTTCTTACCTTTCATTTAAAATAAAAACTTGTTTGATATCTGAAATAATCATAAAATTGTGGCTGCTTAAAGTCATGCACGTCAATTTGGACAGTCTTACCAGGATGCATAAAGTAGTCTTTTTTTTTCTTTACGAAATATGTAATATATTGGTAATGGATGATGGGTAATGGATGATGACTGAATATAAAAGTTTTGCTGAGATTTTATCAACTATATGAAAAAAAACAACTTTATTGGCTATTTTTTAGCTTGGGGGGGGGGGGGGGGCTGTGAGAATAACAAACTGAGGGGGTGAAAATAAGAATTCCCTTTTCTTTTTATATTTCTTTTTATGTTTCTTTTTTTTTTGCTTTTACTTTTTATTCATACCTTGACCGTTAAAAATAAAAAGACTTTTAAAAAACAAATGAACGTCTTTATGCCTGTGCGGATATTTATCATTGTATCCCTTCTCCCACTAATTGAATTATATTCTTTTTGTTTTACAGATGATTTATTGCATAAATCAGGAGAAAAGAGGGGACTATAGTCTGTATGAATATCTATAAATTTTCAAACAAAGGAGGGGAACAGAGAAGAAAACATACTTTTTCATTCCTTGTTATCTCTTTCTTGTCGCCACTAGGTGTATTTGATAAGCATTAAAAGCTGCCATGAACACGACAAGAGAAATGGTATAATATCAGTAAACAGACAGACAGACAAAACAGAAGTAACTATATATATGCTTACGAGAATATATTTTAGTTGTTTGATGAGAATATTGAGAACAATGTAAAAGTAATTGTAGAAATAAAATAACGTATTTATATATAAACTAAAGAAGGAGAGACTAATAACTAATGTATCATTGTTGAAATGAGGTGAACAAAAAGGGACAAGAAAAACAAGAAGGAAAGATGAGAAGAGAAAGAAAAGAGAAGGTGAGAAAAAAACAAAGAAACAAAGAGGTTTTTGGAGTTGCAGATGAAGAAGATCGGGGAGAGCCTACTTCAACCATGGGTTCCTGATATTTATCCGAAAGAGCCATGACAAGGAAACAAAGAGGGAAATAATTGTTTGGATCTTCTGGTGAGTGAAGGAAGGTGGGAGGGCTGAAATATCGAAGAGTAGTGCTTCTGTTGTGCGAAATGTTTTCCACATTTTGGTCACTACCGTACGTGTTGGTAGTGGAGTTTGAGGTTTTGTCGTTGTAGATGGAGAAGGTCGGGGGGAGCCGCTAAGTACCTCAGCGAAAGAACGTTGTTGAGTTTTTGTTTTTTCTTTGGAAGAAGTAGGTGGGGAGAGCCTACTTCAACCATGGGTTCCTAATTTTTATCCGAAAGAGCCATTGAACAAAGAGGAGAAAAGTAAATAAATAAAATAATAATAATGGAACTCAGACATACGCATGATTTTTATTTTTTATTGACTAATTTTTTTGAAAATGATATCCTTGACAATTACCACAAGCCTTCTTGTCATCATCATTCGTGCCTACAGTATGATATAAACTAAAGATGAGTATTCATATAGTTTGTTATTCTTACAGTTAGCTACTACTGTACCGTAAATATATTCATTAGTAGGTATGTCATCTTCTTTCAAGATCCAACGAGGATGAATGGCAGTTAACGGTATAGGAGAAGAGTCACCAGAAATCATATGAGCGCATGGTAACTTGTACTGGATTTTGATTTCACATTCACAGTCATCCTTCTTGTTCACTCTATACGAGGCTGGTACGACGTCGTTTTTCAATCGATTGAATGCAAACTTGCTGATTTTGAGCCGTAAGTGATTCATCCTATGAGCATCTTTATCTAGCATGAATGAAGGATTGTATTTGAAGGATTCGATCTCGGTACGCTGTTCAATCTTTTCCCACTATTAAAACGTACAACATAAATGCAGTAAGTCAGTTTCATTATTCACAATAGTCGCTCATTAAGATTTACCATTCCGAAGTACCATCTATCAATACTCTCAAACACTGTTTCCATACTAGCATTCGTGTGTGTCACAAGTTGCTTCAATTTTGCATGTGCACCTTTTTCTCACTCTTTGTCTTCTTTTCCTTGTCTCCAGAGATGCTTTCGATATGCTTGGAAAGCTACTTCGATGCTCCATTGTTTTTCCTCTATCATTACCAACCAATGTTGTTGCCATATTATGTTCATTATACGTCCAATGTTTTCCATGTCTGAGGCATGTTCCCAGAGCGACGACTTATTCTGTGGTAAACTGAGAAAAGTTATTTTGTTCCAAATGGACGGTGGATCCATTTCGTCCAGGCCAATATAACTAATACATTTCTTCCAGAAAACTACTTTGTAGGGGCACCCGACCACCATATGATACTCGTCTTCTTCCTCCGTTTTACATATTCGGCAATTAGGCAAGGGCGCATTTGGGACTCGTAGTTGGTGGAGTCGTTGTTGTGTTGGTAATTTCTTCAAAAGGATTCGCCACCAGAAGTTCCGTACCTTATGAGGGATGTTGAGTGACCAGAAAAAGGACCATTGATTCTTCGTTAGTGTGGTGTAGCTTGGATATGCGAGACCAGATGTACAGTAAAAACATAAAAAAAAGGAAAAGAATGTACTTATCGTGAAGTGTCACGGTTCAAATAAAATAAAAAAGTAATAAAAAAAAACTAAAGAAATAAGCGAAAGAAAGAAGGACATTAAAAAAAAAAAAGAAAATGGTATATACAGTATTATAAAAGGGCATAAAATTTAAAAGTCAATGAATAAAAAAGAATTGAAAATCATTAGTCAGCCAGGTTATCAATTTCCCACAAGGCCCAGAAATATTGCCCAGTCATAAGTGGACGGCAATATACTGGCCAATCAAAAATGTTTTTTGTTTTTGGCCAGTCAAACAAGAACGGTAAGAACGGTAATTTTAACCAATCAGAAATGTTTTTTGTTTTAACCAACCAATCAAAAATGAGAACCACCCAGCGTCATGCCCCTATATGACGCTTCAAGTTCGGCTGTATGTGATTTTGAATTCGATTTTTGGCAATCCAATACATTTTTTATATCAATATCTGATTAATTTTATTCAGTTGTTTAAGTTCATTATTCAAAATCGATGATTTGAACGACATACAGTTTTGCGCTGATGAGCACAGAATCTTCGTTTCCCTGCCTGGCGGAGGTAGGGCACGAGCTAGATCCATATATAGAAATTATATTAGTATAATTTGTATTTAGAAGTTAGTTTAAATTAATACTCTTTTAGGAAATTTTATTCAATGTTATAGATTGAATTCCCTAATTTGATATTTCATTTATTGACACGGGCCTTAAAAGGATATTATTTTATTTGATTTCCTAATACAGAATTAATAACTGATATTACCAAATATGGATTTATAATGTTAATGACACTTCTGTCTAGCAGGGAGTCTGATTCCAATATATACAGTAGAATATCATCTTTGTAAAAATTGATAAAAATAAAAAGGAAATCATTTTTTATACCAAACTCTGTTGAATTAAACGTAACTTCGAAGCGCCATGTGTAACGATGGGTGGCTCGCGTTTTTGACTGGACAAGATATTACCGTTTATGTATGATTGGACGGTATTTAACCGTGCATGTCATATTTGGGAAACGTTTTGTTCACCTGGAGATCTGGAAAAAAGGGACGAAATGGGATAAGCATTTAAAGTCCGTCATTAGCATAAAGGGGGCGTACTTATTTTCTGTCGACAGGCTCTTTCGCTTAAAGAACACTTCTTTGATCGGGTAAACTTTTAAGCGATAACAACAACTGCATACTTCACAAAAAACAAGTAAACAACACAAACAACAAGCAACAGAAGATTCCCCAACGTCTTCTCGTTATTTTCGTACTAGTTTCGTCAAATTCCATCGAAATTAGAGTACAACATTACGAAATGGCGACATCTCCCATCTCTTCCGCTGTCGTATCTAGACTGATATTATTGTGTAACTTTAAGATCTCAGCTTCTTGTCATTTAAGATTGGATTAGAATAGTTTTTTCTTTTTTTTTCTCTCTCATTCAATTCTTATTGAAATAAACTATATCAACAGTCTCATCGTATTTTCGATTTGTCTTTTATTATTATTTTTATATTTGTTAATCCAATCAACTATCTTATTTTTTACGATGAATTCTAACAACAACAACAACAACAATAACAACAACATCAACATCAACAACGACAATATGTCGGATACCTCTGCTCCTTTCTCCATTAATGGCACCGATTTTGTCAACAACATTATCAACAACCATTTGGAACGTGATGTCATTATGACAGAACAAAACCATCAACCCTCTTCCACTTTTCAAAGTGGTTTGGGGGCCTCAACCTATGCTTCTCCTGAAGCTAGGGCCGAGTGGGCTGTCGCTGTGCTTACGCACAAGGCAGAAGAGTCTGAAGTGCTCTACACTCAAGCACTTGCTCAATTGGATAATTCTGATGAAGCTCGTGCCCATGTTCAAAAACTTTTTGAACAAGCACAAAAGGATCAACAAGCCGTCGATGATGGTCGGGCTATGTATGAACGTAAGTTCCCACATAACCCAAAGTTCTTTTCTTTCGAACGCCGTAGAGCTGAAGAAGAAAGAACAAAGGCTCAGATGATGAATCGAAGCCTCGTTGTTCCCAAATACCTTCCTCAATTAAAGCTGGTCAACAGTTATGAGGTTGGTAAAGAAATAAATGACAAGTCGTTTACTTCGACCAAACATCTTTTCAGTACGCTGGAAAAAATTTTCATTTCTCATGGTTTACAACCTGAAAATGAATTTCGTCGTTTGTTTCCAAGATGTCTTGACGGCGCTCAAACTTTCTTTTTTGAAGGTTTATTAAAGAAAATAAATGAAAAGTCAGATGGTGAAACAGAATGGGCTTTCATAAAACGTCAATTTATTGACAAATATGATACTCCAGCTCAAAAGTTTAATGCTTGGCATAAACTTGTGTCGATCAGACAAAATTCTAAAACCATCGACGAACATAATAAGATGTTCGGTAATTTGTTAACCATGACTGAATGGGAAACAATGCCTGTCTCTCTTCTTTCCAATGTAGTTTATTTAGCTACATTAAACCCAGAAATTAGAAGACAAGCAACGGAGTGGTTGATCACCCGATCTGCCCCGAATTTTGACGTTGATATTCATCAACTGATGCAAACCGTTGCTGGTATGGACATCCAAAGAACAGAAAACCCTAGAGGTTTTGCTCAAAAGCGAAACATTCAAAATGATGTTTCGTTTGTAAAGAAAATAAAAAAGGCTAATACAGTCTCTGATGGTAAAAGAACAGGTGTTCTTTGTTACAATGGTTGCGGGCAGATATACCTTCCTGGACATGTCTGTCCTAAAAAGAAACTCAACGGCCGAGATGGCAAAAACAATTTGTTCTCTCGTGCTGCTATACGAACCAAAACGGTTGTTCAAAAACAAGAAGATGCTGATGATAAGTTGAATCTTATGTCAGAATGTAAGGCTAAGAATAAGAAACAAAATTCAGTTCAAAATAATCAAAACATTAATCAATGTCTTATTCCAATTTATTTAGAACAAAAACCTATCATGGCTTTGTTAGATGGTGGTGCAACTTTTTCTGCCATCGATGAAAATTTTTGTTTAAAAAATAATTTTAAAATAATTGTTCTAAATAATAAAAATAAAAATCCAAATGATTGTATCCATTTAGCTCATTCTGATCATGTAATTCAGCGTCTAGGTTATACAGAACCTTTAGATCTTTGTTATAACGGGAAAACTTTAAAATATTCTTTTGAAGTAATGAAATTAACCGGTGATCAACAAGTTAGTATTGGAGCTGACTTAATGCCTTCACTTGGTATTGGTTATTACGGTTTAGTACAAACATGGGATCCACTTCCTCAAAAGATGGAAGAAGACCCTGATAAAGATAAAGAAATCCCAAATGAAGCACCAGCAGGTACAAAAGAAGAACAGGAAACATTCCATCATTTTATTAAAAACAGTTTAAAACAAAATCAAGCTATCCCTACAAATGCTTTTTGTACACTCCCTGAATCTGTGATATACTTACCTATGCCTAAAGGTGTATCATGTTACAGAAGACAATACCCCATCTCTCATACATTGAAAGAAATGGTACATCAAACTGTACAAAATTGGCTGGCTGATGGCATCATTGAACCTGTTCCTGCTAACATCGATAACAAATGGAATTCACCATTAACATTAGCACCTAAAAAAGATATAAACGGTAACTTAACTGGTAAGCGACCATGTTTGGATCCTCGTCATATTAATAAATATTTACCTGATGATCGTTATCCTTTACCATTAATAAGTGATATCTTCACAAAATTGAGTGGTGCCAAAGTATTTAGTACCCTTGATTTAAAAAGTGCCTTCCATAGGTTCAAAATTCATGAGGATGATCGTCATAAAACTACCTTCACATCAGTAGACGGTAAACAATATATGTTCAGAGGTTGCCCATTTGGTTTAAAACCTATATCATCAAAATTCCAAAGGGTGATGAGTATTTTATTCACTGATCTACCATTTGTCACCACATTTGTGGATGATATCGTAGTTTATAGTGATAACATGCAAAATCATCAATTACATGTTAAAACTATAATTGATAAGTTAACTGCCGTTAACCTACTACTCAATCCAGACAAATGTCATTTTGCACAAAAATCCGTATACTTACTTGGATTCTCTATTTCAGAAAATGGACGATCACTTGATGAACGTAAACTGCAAAATATTGACATGTGGCCAACACCGCAAACAGGCAAAGACCTTCAAAGATTTCTTGGTGTAGTCAACTATTTCCGAGATCATATTCCAATGATGTCAACTGTTACCGATCCATTGAATCAACTGCGTAACCAGGATAATCTAAAAAAGAAGTGGACACCTAAGCATGAGCAAGCCTTTACAACTCTGAAAAAGCTTTTGCAAAAACATATTACCTTATCACACCCCAACTTTCAAGAGCC